ATTTGGGGAGGTTAAGCTACACGTTTTTAAAAGCACTTGTCAATGAACGAGTAATATTCAATATGATGACCTCTAAGGATTACTGCCCCCCCCCCCTTCAATTGTAAACGTGTATGAACCATAGAATTGCCAAATGATTGCCAGGGATTGCCAGAGATTACTGATTATTGACCGATTTAAAGTGTTAAAGCCCCTGTGATAATTTTTATTGCATTCAATAGCAGCGCATCAAGTCTATGGTTCCCTCATTTGGGGAGGTTAAGCTACACGTTTTTAAAAAGCACTTGTCAATGAACGAGTAATATTCAATATGATGACCTCTAAGGATTACTGCCCCCCCCCCCCCCCCCCTTCAATTGTAAACGTGTATGAACCATAGAATTGCCAAATGATTGCCAGGGATTGCCAGAGATTACTGATTATTGACCGATTTAAAGTGTTAAAGGCCCTGAGAACATTTTTATTGCATTCAATAGTAGTGCATCAAGTCTATGGTTCCCTCATTTGGGGAGGTTAAGCTACACGTTTTTAAAAGCACTTGTCAATAAACGAGTAATATTCAATATGATGACCTCTAAGGATTACTGCCCCTCCAACCTTCAATTGTAAACGTGTATGAAATATAGAATTGCCAAATGATTGCCAGGGATTGCCAGGGATTGCCAGGGATTACTGCATTCCTGCCTCATCTCAATTGTTTTTCGAAGGGACCGGAATACACGTATTTTCCTTCTAATTATAGATTTCACTCAACTGGATATGTAAATACTACAAAACGAACAAAGAAAACTACAAATATTCACGTGCAAAATCTCTTAAAATTAAACGTGTGGCTCTATATTATCCATTGCTCCGCCGTTCTTTAGAATGTTACCCTTTGCATTCGTTTGATTTAGCCTCTTAAAAGATAGCTTCGTCATGAAACGAATTCGTCTAAACTAAACTCTGCGCTCGGGAAGTACAATAATGAACACTATTTGAAACATATGGGTACTACGTTACACTTAATGAATACTATGTTACATAATAATGAACACCATATTAAACTAATGAACACTACATGATACTAATGGACACTACGTTACACTAAATGAATACTACGTCACATAATCATGAACCCTCTATTGAACTATTGAAGATATAAATGCTCTCATTTTGTGATTTTGTCATAATCCCACTTATTTTTTCAGAACGTGTAGATTATAATGTTAAAATATTATAAGTACATCTTGAATTACTTTTGAGATAAGGTTGCCATGGTAACCTGTATTTAGATATAGCTATAATATATATGCATTATATATATATATATAAATAATCTAGCTACAAGTTCTGAAAAAATGAGAAGGATATTCGAAAAAATTCATAAAATCAGAGCATTTTTATTAGGATATATGGATCGCCCCTTGTATATGACACTGGTAGGTGCAACGTTATACTTTTGCATACTACGTTACATGATAATGAACACTATATTAAACTAATGAACACTTTATGACACCAATGGGTACTACGTTACACTAAAAGAATACTACGTTACATAATAATGAACACGTAGGCGAATGAACGCTACACCAAAGTTCACTTCAATACACTTATGAAGACTTGAAAAGAAAAATGATAATTCCATGTGTATTACGGAAGAATCTGATCATGAACTATCTCGTTGAGTCCGGTTCTGACTTTAACTCAGAATAATAATCATTTGATTTTCAAGATTTTTTTAAAATTTAAATCTTTGATCAGATTCAATTCTTTTCTTAAAAAATAAAATAAGAATGTCTGAAAATGATTTCTTTCAATATTAAACACTCTCTATCCCCCTTGAAAGAGTTTTATCTAAAAAATGATCCAGCAGTTTTTATAATGCCCATTATTTTCTTTCCAGTTCTTGGTTGCAGACATTTGTCGCAAAAAGTTCCTTGAAATTAATAGATACTAATAATAGTGGTGATAGTTTAATTATAAGTTTATTCTTTAAACGACCAGTTTGTTTAGCACGATCGACCATGAGCAGCTAAAAGGTATGCATTTTGCCTAATTATATCAACAGTGTAATGATCAACAGCTAAAAAACATTACCAAGTTTTAAAGATAATCATATAGAATCTATATTCATTAGGCCTATTTAAACAGCTAATGACATGAAATTAATAAAAGATAAAATACTAATTTGTTAAAAAACTATTATTTGGTGATAATGCTATTAATCTTGCCTGAAAACATATTTTAGACAATGGTTTGTGATTTTATGAGTTTGGAAATTAAAGGCCTTGTTATTAAAGAACAAGATTCCATGCGATAACACGAGCAGGTGTATGCTGAAAACCGACTATTATTTCGGGAATCAAACCTTGAAAAAGGGATGGTGGAGATCGGTATCCCATACTGTTTTAAATAACATCACTTACCCCGGTTTTAGCTTTATAATCTTGTCGTTTCATTGACAAAGATATACAAATAGGGAAGTGTAACGCATAGCTACACTACACACAAAAAGTTTGGAAACACCAATTTTATATTGGACCATGTGATATTAAAGCCTGATTAGAAAAATCATCAAAGTCATAGTAGTCTAGCATTTTTAATCGATTTTTAATCCTTTAAATATAACACTTACATGCTATCAAATAGGGAGCCAATGTTGCAAGGCAATGGAAGGATAATTGAAAAAATAAGTTTTGGAATTTGAGAGGGGAGACTTGAAAATTGAAAATTTTGACTTTTTGATTTTTGCAACACTGTCTAGGCCTAGTAGATGAACGCAAATCTACTGATTTAATAAACATGTATAAAACAGAGTCATTCTAGGATCGTAAGATTGATTTGAAAAATATTCAAATACCCCAACTGTCTTTTAATTTTTTGTATAACCTCTGCTTCTCCAGATTTAGAATTTAGAAGTCAGAAGTCAGAAAAAGACCAGAATGGATAGAGAAGAATTAAGAAAACGTTTCTAAAATTATATTTAATATTTGGTCAGATCTTTGTAGAATATAAAATTACCATGCAAGATTTTTTAAAAGATAAGTTCAGAGATGTAAACACGCTTTATTTATCTTCATTCTTGATCTGAAATGTTCATATTCATTTTCAAAATTGATCAATCGTATCTGATTTATTTCATGTAAGATTAATTAACAATTATTATCTTATGAAAAGGTTTAAAGTATCTAAGAATGTCGCTGATCGTTGTGGGAGAATGTTCACTTTCATTATTGCCATAAGTATGATGAATTCCATTTTATGTTAAACTCTCAACATGTATGCAGATAATCATGTTTTTATTTTTGAGTTACGATGCACCTCCCCCATCAACACTTCCTCTTCGATCTTCTCTTAGACAAAACTTAATCTTGATATGTTTGATAATTCCTTGACCTTACCTTGTTCTTAATATTCGTAATATTATGCTTTAACATGTACGGGTATAAACATCAGAAATGATGTCACCTGTTAAACCTTTTATATGTACTGTATTTTATTATATTATTAAGGAATAAATTGAATTGAATTGAATACTAGTATTTCTTAAATCAAACATGAAAGTAAAGCGGTATTTTGAGCTTGAGAGACACGAGCGACATCTTTATAACACACTATTGGTGTTTTGACTTTCTGAGATTCAAGAAGTAAGCTGCAGGATGTACGTTTCTCGTACTGATGTATTTACTGACAATTCTTTACATTTTAATTCTCGATATTTGTTTCATTAACACTGGATTAATAGTGTGTCCATAATTACATTTTAGCATAACGTTTAATTGTTCAAAAAATTCAGAAAATTATTCAGAAAAAGTTTGTCTCATAATTATCATACTAATTGATTATTGAAAAGGAAATAACTTACCATTCTAGTCTTAACACTTATGGATGTTGAAAATGTATACATATAAAAATATAAACATTAAAACTAAAAAGGTTTGTCCAAGCTACATACACTCTCCTCCATAAGTTTGGCAACCTTTTTCCCCCATTGAACTACGTGTTAAAGCCTCTTTACCTTTGAATTTTTATTTACTTAACCTGCGATGAAAATACTTATACTATTGATGGAAACGTAATTTGACTTTAATTGCAATACCTCCAAATTTTTTCAATTTTTTTCCTCAATTACAATAGGTCGAAAATTGATGATAAATTTGATGAATTTTTGAAAATCGACATTCCCATGTTAACCAATGGGAAATGGTAGGTTTGCCGCAAGTCATATGACAGAATATCCATCCATCCGAGTCCTTGCAAAAAATACGAGTTAGGCAGGCAATTGAATTTGCTAACTTTATTTAACAAAAAATTGATATGTTTCTTCAGGTTCAACAAAGTTATAGGGCTTTAAAGTCAAAATTGTTTTTCAAAAAACCACACCCATTGAAATAACACAGGAGGCGAAAAATTATTTTCAAAAATGACTTTGAAGCGCTGTAACTTTTTTGATGAATCTTTTACTGAAAAGATATCCTGATTTCTGATTTGCCCGGAACCCTCCATTTCCCATTGGATTACATGGGAATGACGATTTTCAAAAATTCATCAAATCTATCATCAATTGTCGACCCATTGTAACTGAGGAAAAAAATTGAGAAAATTTGGAGGTATTGGAAATAAAGTCAAGTTACGTTTCCATCAATTCATAAGTTATTTCATCGCCGTTTAAGTAAATAAAAATTCAAACGTAAAGAGGTTTTAACACGTAGTTCAATGGGGGAAAAAGGTTGCCAAACTTATGGAGGGGAGTGTAGCTGTCACTTTGTTCAATTTTATCACCAATATCAGGCATATCAACATCATAAATTAATTTATTTTGCAATTTATCTGAAATGCTTTAAAAACTAATATCATGTAATGGTGAACCATTTTCTAGAGGTTGATCTTTATATATTGGTCCCTGGTTCAGTTATAATGCCGGGTGTCAATTGTACGATAAAAGTCGTTCGAGACCCCTGTCTCTTTTGTGGCGTGTCATGACAAGTAATGGTACTCTTCAATCAGGAGGAGTGAAAATATTTTGGAAAGCAAAACCGCAGAGGCGCATCATTTCACGGTTTTTAACCATTCAAGGGCCTGCGTAGGCACTAGATATGACTTCAATGTTTGGAATAGATAAACATGAAGTAGTGCGTATGAAAGTAAAGGTAAGAAGAGAGAACTTTGGTCTGAAAAATTGAGTTCCATTTAGACTATGATTTTTGGTGTTTTGTTTTCATTGACGTCAGACGTTTTCATTTTCAATTTTCATAAATCATTATCACATTGTATTAGCCTCGTGGATTGTGTCATTTATTAATGTCAGAAGGAAAGAATGGAAAATTATCTCAGGTTTTGTCTGATTTTGTCAAATGTACTGTTCACAAGATATCTGAGAAACGACTGAGACTAGATCTAACTGATGGTCTTAGAGTCCATTTCACTGCTTCAGTTCGTCAGTAGAACGGCAAAAATAAGAAATTGGGAGACTATTGTGCAATAATATATGGAAAAGTATATTCATAATGTACATGAATGACATTTGTATATTTCAGATTTTTTAGTTTTTTGTGCAATAAGCCTGTGCCGTCTTGTAATTTGAAGAATTTCAGCCATGTTAATCTTAATGAAAATAACATGGCAGAAAAACATCCAAATATAAGAGGCCACACACTTTATAAGCCAAACTAGAAGCAATCCAAGATATACAAATGTCATTCGTGTACATTATGAATATACTTTTCCATATATTATTGCACAATGGTCTCCCAATTTCTTATTTTTGCCGTTCTACTGACGAACTGAAGCAGTGAAATGGACTTTAGGAAACGATGATAATATGATTTGTTTCAGTTTCACAGAGTTCGAATATTAATAATATTAAATGTATCTGTTCATATAGGGGTTTGATCAATCTACATCAAATTATAAAGAGTCAGGTTACTTTTCGAGATATCATCGTCTATTTATTGTAATTCGCATTTGCTACCATATGCTCAGTTCTGAGATGACGAGCACATGTGTAGTAAACATGCCCATGTCGGAAGTATTTTTGATCTATATCACTGATTTTGTAAACAAAATTAGAGTTGAACTCCTCCTCTTTATTTTGATACCAAATAACGGCATATTATCTATAGGTACCCTAGAAGCCAGCGTTATTTGGAACAAAATGACTATATAGGGGCAACAACTTTTGGTGGATGGATATGGAAACTCACATAAAGAACAAGTTCATTTTGTAATTCTTGATCTTACCTTGCTAAGTTCTTGTACCTTGAATCTATAGCCTTCTATTTCTGGTACTCACTGAGTCAAATCGCGATGCACTAGCCAACTGGATGCAAAAACTCATGTGGTGTCTAGTACTACGAGTCAATCTGCAAGTTGGCCAGTAATTATCCCAGCACTTGTACCTGATCTATATATTCCTCAAAACAATGGGTTTTCAAGGAGGATTGTCAAGGTATTTCATGTATTTGACAATTTTGACCCAGAATCACCTGAAAAGTGCATGATGTGTTCATTGGTCATGATGTCATGTTTTATGCTTCCATTGTTGCAGAAGTGTGATGGCCTGGTCCAGCCAGAGTACAAAAAGCTATGTGTCGACCCTCAGATTACATCATTTGAAGTGCTGCTGCATCTCCTTGCAACTGCATTCAAAATTAAAGGGTATGTATAAACTTAAAGGTATAATGTAGAGGAAATAGAAGAGACAGAGACATAAGTTGAAAGTAAGTTTCAAACCAAAAAATTGCCACATTAAATTACGTAATAGTTTTTCTCTCATCATTCCATTTTATGTCATTTTGTTAAGTCCAAGAGTTCTGTTTCATGGTAATCATTAGATTTTATGTCACCACCAGAAGTGATGACATATTTTTATTTTATAATCTCAAACTTTTTTGTGGATGGTGTTTGGTGTCTGTTACAGTTTGGCGGTTGGCATTTGTAACAAATGACAGGTGGTGACATTTTGCTTGTTTATACCCTGTTACTTTTATCTATAAATAATATAATGAAAAGATTGCAATTGACATTTACAGTCTGTGTCCATTCTAATGCCTTGTGGGTTGTATCATTGTCATATACATTATGGAATAAACTTATATAATAAATTATATCACGGAATAATTATTTGTTCAATGCATCCTCTTTGTTTACAGAGTTTGCGTATAATTACGCTCTTCATAGGTGAACAAGCACTATGATTACCTTGCAAAAATGAACATTACTAATATTTTCAAAAAGTTTATATGTGGGTGTTAAGACTAGAGGTGCAAAATGAGGGTGTTTGGAGGTATGAAAATTTTCGATGAGGGGTTTTGAAGGTCCAAAAATGTCTTATGAGGGGTGTTAGAAGGGATGCATGGAGAATTCAATCATTAATCTTACCTTGAGGATGTTATGATATTATTCCTAGGGTACGTACATACAAGTACATACTTAGAATACTTATTATAGTAGAGATAATTAGTACTTATTGATACTATCCAGAAACAAGAGAAACTCATGTAGCTTGGGGTTTAGTATACTCCAACTATATTAATCCCAGCTTACTGTGAACCCGTGCGAAAAATGTCTGATGATCATGCTTTGAAACACTATTTAGATTAAAATCAGAACAGATTAGTGGTAACAGAGGTGTAATAAACACAGAAAAACAGACATATCTGCCAGATTTTAGAGAGAAAATACAAAAATAGGCATAGGGGAAAATTTGGGGGAAAAGTACTAATTTAGTTTTCACTTTTACATCAAATTCTTGTGTTGGAAATTGTCTCCAGAGTAAATCTTGAAAATTTCTATAAGAATGGTTGTTCCATTGCAAATATAAAGCAAAAAACGACTGCATCATTGAACCTCTCTGGGTTACTATATTGTGTCATTAACAAGAAATTACAGCCTCAACTTATGTTACCAGTCTTTGGCATCAGACTCATTTTTCATAAAACCATAACCCCATTTGTTAAAGTTTTTTTAATAACTAAATATACTACAAATTATATACAAAGTTGTTGATTTTCTTTCTCAGAGATATTTTTTTTTTTAAATATCTCTGAGAAAGAAAATCAACAACTTTGTACATTACTACCAGAGAGATGAACATTCATAGAATACAAATTATATAATATGAAAACCACATTTGTATACTTATATAGTTCTGTATGAAGTGGTTCTCGTAATTCTTTTGTTTTATGTCACCACGAAAAGTGCTAACGTATGGCCAATTTTTTCATGACAGCGGCTGGCATCCAGTATTCAGAGTTTGGCATTTGTAACAAATGATAGGTGGTGATATTTTGCATGTTAATGCCTTTGTAAGAGTTAATTGTAATAAACCATGGAGAAAATTGCCTAAAGTGGTATTCTGATATATATAGTAGGACCAGCATGAATAGACAATCAAGTTATGAACACTCTATATTATAAATTCCAAGAACACCAGACATTTCTGTAAGAATACAAAGAGAACATTGTATTTTTCATCATATAGCATTGGCATGTCTGGAGAGAATATAAGGCACTGGAGAATAGCTTAACATCTATCAAATATTAATTTTCATCACCACAAGTATATGAGGTCTCATAAGTCCATTCATGAAGTTGTTTACAATAACTGAGCCCATGGATATAATATCTGAACCCATTGATATAATATCTCAACCCATTGATATAATATCTCAACCCATTGATATAATATCTCAACCCATTGATATAATATCTCAACCCATCGATATAATATCATGTTGCCCATTTAAAATGGAAAATAAAATGGAAAAGGAAGAAATAACAAAAAATAAATCAAGCATGACATTAATTTTAAACATTCTAATCTTAGAAAAAATGGAAATATTTAATAGTAAGGGCAGTATTTTGTCCTCAGAATTGTCAAAATGAATATATTAAATATGTGTCACAGTGTCCTTCAACTTTTGATTTTCAACAATCTCTTGAATTATTTTCTCATCTATGCCATAAAAATTTATTGTTTTATGACAGTTATAATTTTCCTTTCTCTGTCATCATGTACAGTAAAACCTGTCCCTGTCTAATCCAAACACCACTGGGACCGGTCAGAAGTGTTCATATTATCAAGTGTTCACATTTCAAGGTTTTTAACATAGAAGTCTATGTCCACTGAAAAATTAGAGTGGTTAGATAATCAATGGTGCACAAAAACTTCATTTCATTTGTTATTCATTACTGATATACCATGCACATGCCAAGATAAGAGGCATATTGGCATGTATGCATGGGCGTAGCGCCTGGTACGCTAGGTACGCACAGGCTTACCAGATGGTTGCAGATTTGCTCCAAATACAACCAAATTTCAAAATTTTCCTGGGGGAGACATGCTATGTTGTTTAAAAGGGATGCATATTTAGCAAATTCTCCAATGAATCTGCTTTGTATGTTAATCACATGCAAAACCTATTGACTTATAAGACCAAGCTGGCTGCATTAATTCAATAATTAATTTAATCGATTGCTTCTTATTACTCCATTGTATTGTACTGGTGAAAATGTATTTTTATAGATTAACTTGCCAGTCATGATCATCGATGAATTAAGTCATGGTTTGATGCAATTTGCCCAAAGTATAATTATCCCATCGAACGAAGTTCGGAGGGATATAGAGAACGCCTCCGTCCGTCCGTCCGTACGTACGTCTGTACGTCCGTCCGTCTGTCCGTCCATCTGTCCGTCCGGGCAATAACTCAAATACCGTTGGCCCGATTTTGTTCGTATTTTGTACACATATACCCTATGGGGGTAGAAGTTCTGCTCGAAAGCCGATTTTCAAAATGGCCGCTCATTTAAAAATGGCGGCCATTTTAGTGCCGATTTTACAGTAATTTAGGTGCAATATGTAAAACTGTAATAGCAATATGTTTTAAATGTAAAAAATTATATAGGACATTGATAAAGCTAGAAATAGAGATATTAAAGAAGCACATGGCAGCCATCTTGAAAAATGGCGGCCTTTACTCGTTATTTTACGATATTTGCAGTAACTCAAAAAGTAGTGAAGCGATTTTGTTCATATTTGGTTTGTGAATACTATAAGCATGGCACACTGTCTAATGACACTATTGGTAGGATGCGGCCATTTTGAAAAATGGCCGCCATTTTAATGTATTTTACTATAACTCGAAAAGTAGTGGAGCGATTTTGTTCATATTTGGTATGTGAATACTATAAAGAAAAAGCATATTACTTCTTCTGATGACAACTTGGCTAGTGAGCTACCATTTTGAAAATGGTGGCCTTTCTTATATGTGTTATTTTATGATATTTGCTGTATATTTCGTTTGTTAAAATGCCAGCCATTTCTGTTCGATGGGATTCGCTACGCTTTGGCGTTGCCGTTGTTCTGGTTTTAGTATCATAGCCCATCTTGATCCATCAAGGTATTACATATTATGACTGAAGGAATACACTGGTTTAACAGTATGATCAGAGCCCAGTTCATTAGGTTCTGAATAAGAGAAATTAATATACATTGTTTAGATGAAATATATAAAATGGCCTACTCTTCTTTATTTTGCATTTCTATTCATGACTGTGACGCTGTTTAACTCTTGTTTTATCACAATTTTATTAGGTAATCATTGCTGCTTCTTCAAGCAAGGCTCAAAGTCTGTAGTGTAATATACCATTCTTTAAGTCTCCATTAAACCTCAGCAAATTATAGGATTGAGTTATATACAGTAATAAATGTGTTCTGTAATCAGACCCGTGACTTATAATTATAGAAGGTGGTAATAAAGTAGGAATTTACTAGTTGATTATGTCTTTGGAAATATTGCAAATTATTATCTACTTATTTTTATGATAAATTGTTACCACCAGTAGTTTTTTGGACAGTGTATGGTGGTTGCTGTTTGGTGAATGCTGTTCAGCCATCTGTAACAAATAGCAGGCAGTGAAATTTTGCGTGTAAATGCCTTGTTTAATTTTATTTTCAAAAACATTTTTGCCTCTTTGTCAATTTCCAAATTCTCCCCTTTTTCCTGTCAAAGCATCACAGATTTGTTAAATTGGTCAGACCAATTTTGAAGAACGCAAAGAGTATTCAAGTTCACACATTGACCCAACCATCTGTTGCACTTAGACTTGATAGCAAATTGTCAGACAATATCAACACCATAACTTCTCTATCCTTTAAATCAATATTTTCATTGATAACGTACAGTACATGGTTTCATTTAATGTATACATATTTCAATGAAGTGTCTAATTTTCACATATTCCTATATGCCTATTAGTATTTTATACCTGGATTCTTCCACTACTTTTGGATTTATTTGAAACCACTTCAATAGAAACAGCTTTTTGCCCCTTTCTAATAATATTAATCTGTTACTGAGAATTTCAGAAGTCAGTTATTTAATCTTTGAATGGCATTTCTATTATGCATATGTACACAGCCTGTTAGGCCATTACATATTAATTATGTGTTTTGTGGATTTTAGGGGAAATTAAGTCCACTTGATCAGGCTTTTGTTTAATTTGAAAATTACAAAATACATAAGCTAAGGGAATAAGCAGGTACAATATCTAGTAATAGAAAGGGGAGACCAGGTAAATGTTGGTGGTCTCCTTCTGGAGACAATGGGAGATACATAGTTACTATGGCTATTTAACTTTGGTATTCTATGACCTCATCTAATTCAAATTTCATGTCAAAATGAAAGAAAATCATAAAATATTGAATAGGTCTTACAAGGGAGGTTTTGAGGTGCTAGGCTTATAACACTAAACATGCTTGTAATTTTGAACGGCCTCATAGATTGTCATTGTTTTCATTTATCTTTGTCTTAAGTTTGTCTGATTGTTCCTCACTGATCATGTTCTCACCAAGTGTATTGAGGGCAATATTCACATTATATCGCCTCTATCTATTGAATCAATATTTTTACTGATTATGTGGCATCACATGACTTCATCTAATAACAATAATAAACATTGTTTTTCATCACGGGTTGGGATCGGGAGATTTGTCTACTATGGTGGAGCATGCTATTTTTCAGAAAAACTTCACAATATATTTTCACCCTATGCAGAGCCTGTGGGAAATATTGGGTGCGGAGCAAATGAGCGGAGGGTGCGGAGCTAACGGTCATTTTTTTGAATTTAAAATTGGGATATTTCTTATATTTTTTTATAAAAATTCGGAAATGTTTTTCAGATATGAGCCCCCTCTAAATATTGGGTGCGGAGGAGCTCCATAAACGTACCTCCGCACCCAATATTTAGAGGGGGCTCATTTTTATAAAATCACACAGATACTGCCTGGCTTCCAAGATGCAAAAATAATTTGCATGGGTAGTGTATCTTGAACACCATTTTTTATGAATGCTGGGGACGCAGTATTAAAAGGATAGTCTCAAAATATATAGGTCTGGGAAATGTTTAAGGCATACTGCGTCGCTATAAAATGAATTGCACTACTATTTTCACAATTTTATTGATATTTGGTGTCAAATACACATATCTTGGTATATTTGAAGTCCCAAAACGGCTTAGTTTCAGAAATATCCCAATTTTAAATTCAAAAGTGACCGTTAGCTCTGCACCCTCCATTCATTTGCGCCGCACCCAATATTTCCCACAGGCTCTGTCTGCATAGGGTGATATTTTTAACTAATACGTTTCATTATGAAAATTACCTACCTCATACAATGGGTATATCATTTGCGGTTAACCTTCACTTCTGTTTGAAGTCTAATAACACTAGGAGTAAAAGCTATTAACACAGTCAGAGTATCATACTCGAAAATTGGCAATTTCTTTTTTAACTTTTTAATGGCACGATATAGTGATATGATAATATTTACATATATTTTCATTATAACTCTGGAAATATTAATGATATATAGATGTATTTGGTCTTTTTATCGCACCCTTCGGGGGCTATATTGTGTTCATTAATTTTTTTGTAAAAAATAATGCCCTTGTCCGCTATGGAGGAGCAGTTTCACATGTGAAATACAAATAAGATTTCTAATATATCTTTTACAATTACACTTAAGAGGAGAAAATTTGTCATATCTCTCCCCACCATAGTGGACAAATCTTCAATCCCAACCCTTGTTCATACTATGTTCGTACTATTTAAAACATCCTGGTACCTGGTTATTTTGGTATTTTCAGTTAAAACATCACAAGTTGATTAGCTTGGTGAAGATGACTCATAGATAAAAAAGATTTGTACATTTTATTCAAAAATTTCCCAAGAGATTTTTATCCAAAATGAATAAATACGACTCTGCACACATTCACTTCACATCCCCAATGTCTATTTAGTATTAAACATTATATCTCCATATTCTATGTATTTTCAGGGATTTCACGGTATCCTATCTGTCTAGAGATGAGTACAACAGGGAGTGTTATCTTTCTCTGCTATCGGATTGGGATTTGGACGCTGCCTTCATGAGTGCCTCGGACCCTCTGCTCCGACTTAAAGTTGACTTGAAGCCATTTGAAGAAGGTGAGCTTATGCATGTGATGAAATATGTTCCTTCAAAAGTGAGTGGGGAAGACCAAAGAGAGGGCTGAAGGCTGTAAAGTAGAACCTGTTAAATGGAACACTTCAATAATACAATACCTCCATAAGTGACCCCTCCACAATGACCCATGACCTATTGACCTAATGTCAAATGAACCTCTGTAAGTGGAACACCTCCCAAGTGGAACACTTTGCAGATATACCAAAGGTGTTCCACTTACACAGGTCTTACTGTACACTAATAATATTCCTTATACTTTGCTTCGTTTGTAAAACTCATGTGTATGCCCATAAACTGACCAGATGCGAAAATTTATCAAATCTGCAAGCTTTTTTTCTGAGAACATTTGCGAATAATTCAAATAGTAAAAAATGTACTATTCTTTGTATTCTCCTTGATAATGTAATAAGTATGATAATCATGAAATAGCAGCAATGAAAACTGGATGAATAGGAGGCCACGTGGATAATTATTATACTCTTTGAATCACATCAGCCAGGACATTTTGACATGATAGACAATAAAGACCTATACATTGCGGGGAACGATTATTCAAAATTATCAGCTCCCGTTATGTCAAAATAACCTTGTATTGATCTCCCTAGGATTTGTTCTCAGCAGTGGTCAGGTCAGAATATCTCAATATTAATCAGTAGAATGTTACTTTTCTTCATTTTGTCATTGTGGCCAAATAATCTGTGATTATCACTCTATTTTTGTTACATCAGCTTTGGTGCCTGACTTTTACATAATGACACCTTTCGCAATTGACAACAACATGTGTGCTAACAATTCCATAAGAGTTGTCTAAGAACCTGACTAATTAAGGAAAACAACTAAGAAGGCAGTTTGACTATTTTTATTGCTGTCTCCTCTCCCAATGGCCATTGTTAGAATTCAGATAAAAGATAGGAAGTGATGATCATGACAAATGTGACATTCATGATTACTGTCCCTCTGTTGTTCACAATAAGCGTGCAGGCCCAAAGTCTTTCAAATCGTGCAGTTTTTGAGCATCTTTGAGTGATTTAGGGCCAGAATTTTTAAAGAACTCCCTGGAATTTTTATTTATAATTATACCCTCTCCACTGGCGGATTAGGGCCCAGAAAAAAAAAATTGGACCAAAAAAAAATTTGGGCCAAAAAAGGCCTGAAGGCCCCAAAAAGTGGGCCTTTTTGGTAATAACTGGGCCTTTTAAGGCCTTGTTCTTAATTCAAGGCCAAATTTTGAAGAAAATGGGCCTCAAAATTTCAAATTTTTTTTCTCTGACCTGAAATTTGGGCCCCCCCCCCCCTTGTTCGTTCCCAGATCCGCCCCTGCTCTCCCCTTAGCAAAAACTGGCTACAGGGCATGCGCATCCTCCGATCACAGGGCTTCAAAATCCAGAATATCTTCTTTCTTTTTACAACCTGCTATAAGCAGTTAGCATTTCCCCGATTAAGAACTCGCAATCTGATTGGCTGTCGCAACACTGCGACAGAAATCATAATTAGATCACGTGATTCAGTTTAATCGGGCGCTTCCAAATTGGTTATAGCAGGGGGAAGAAGGAGGTACGGATTCTGGATACCTGCTTAGGAGGATGGGCATGCGTAGTTATAAATAATTCATCAGTTCGACTGATTTGTCAGATGAGTGATAAAACCTCAAGAAAGGCATTGAACCGTGGCATGATTCTCTCCAAAAAGAAACACTTTTCATAGCTATTAGCTATGACAAAATGGCCCATGAAAGACAAAAAGTACGATCTCAATTCAGAAATGTGATTCTTACAATTCCCATTCCCAAGTATGCCCATCTCCAATTATTCAAGTGATTTCCCTCATGTTGAGATATAAACTAGCCAATCATAGAGAAGTGATTTATGTAATCATCATTACACCATTCAATTCATTTCAATCCTAGTTGGGTTGATGGTTTACTTGAGAATCGTTATATAATATGGTTTTCTCGTCTCTCTATTGATTTATTAGCCTACAGTTTATAATTTTGAAGTCTGCAACACATTTTGCCCTTTAGACTTTCGTTAAATCATATACAGTAAAACCTGTATATCAGAACAATTCTCTAATCCAAACATCTCTCACTGCGAACACTATTTCTCAGTCCGAATTGCTTTCTCTCATTGACTCCTATATTAATAAACTTTGAATAAGAAACACCTATTATCCAAACAACTTGTCCCACTCCCAGTGGAGTTTGGATTTAGACATGTTCTACTGTATTGTTTTGCAAGGCAGATATTATTTCTTACATTTCTGAAATTGATATAATGACACTTTCCCCTTAGAGCTAGGTAATATATAAGTGCCTATACTTAGCACAATTCTTGATACTCCATATCAAGCAAGACGTTTTCCCCAGGACGTTTTCGTGTATGATGCTAACACTGCTGATTTAATTTTTGAAAGATGATATTGCTGTAATAGGTTTCAGTGACATTTAACATTTTCTTGAACTAGATGTTCCTCGAGAAAAGTACATTTTCTGACATCAGGAAAATCTGAGAAATTAATAAACCCAAGAAGAAATTATTATTAGAAATGCCTCATATTGTGACTCATGTTAAGCTAGCATATACAGTGTACTGTGGAATCTTATATGGGAATAAAAATGAAGTAGGACTTGTCATTCTGGCATTCGCGATGTAACAAACATGAATGCAGTACAATTAGTGTAAGAATTCTTATAAGGAAACGTCGATTTTTAAAATGCTTTTGATTGAGGGAATATAAGTATCACATAGTTTTATGATTTTATCTAATGCTGATAGGAAATAATGTTGCAGGTCTAGATGATTGGGACATTGTCGCACCAGGGGACATCGGAACAAATAGGCTATCACAGCTGGTAGAGAAGTCATCACTCCTTGGATCTATTACAGCCTCTGTCTCTAGTCAGATGGGAAAGACTGTCTCAACTGTACAACAAGCTCTGGGTATGTAGATGTGCTTTTCTTATTAAGTCCTCAATTATCTAGTATGACCTTAAGGTTTAGTATCATTGGTTATAATGACATTACCACAACGGATTGTGTTTGGCGGTTCGCAGTCGATGTCTGTAACAAATGGCAGGTAGTGGCGTTTTGCATATTAATGCCTTGTTATTAATTTTTCAATAGAATAGAAAAGGATGTTTGATCTAATTTTAAATTTATTTAACAATTGTCATAATATTTACTCAATAATCTTTTTTTAGGTATGAAAGTTGAACCTAGTGAAGTGATGAAGCCTCTTAAGCTACCAATGACAGATGCTGAATTCCACAACTTTATGGATGCTGTAGGACATCTTGTTCAGCCCCAAGCTTTTCGTTTAAGTGTCTACCAGGGTGGGGTCGAGCCATCACTTCGTAAAGTTGTCTGGCGCCATCTATTGAATATATACCCCGAAGGTATGAATGGACGTGAAAGATTTGACTATCTGAAATCAAAATCGCAGGAGTATTTTAGATTACGGGATGAATGGCACAAAAAGCTCCAGTCCAGTGAGCAAAGTGAAGAGATGAGATTTGTGACGTCAATGGTGAAAAAAGACGTGCTTAGAACTGATAGGACGCATAAATTCTATGCTGGTTCTGATGAAAATAAGAACATTGTATCCTTATTCAACATACTAGTCACTTATGCCATGACACATCCAGACGTATCCTATTGCCAAGGAATGAGCGATATTGCATCTCCGATTCTGGTCATACAGAAAGATGAAGCCCATGCTTACATCTGCTTTTGCGGGATTATGAAACGTGTGAAAACAAATTTTATGTTAGATGGACATGTGATGAGTATCAAGTTCCAGCATTTATCACTTCTTCTACAGCACAATGACCCAGAGTTCTTTGCGTATCTTCAACAGCAGGATGCTTCTGATATGTTTTTCTGCTATCGATGGCTTCTCTTAGAAATGAAGCGTGAATTTCCATTCGATGATGCTCTTCACATGTTAGAGGTCATGTGGAGCTCTTTGCCACCTGATTTACCCGCCAGCAGCGGCCTTGAACTATCTGACCCCAACTACAATATTATCCAATATTCTATGTCACCATCTTCCCCGACACCTACAAACAAAACAAGCGCCTATGAGAGACTCCGTTCTCTTAAGAGGGGATACAGTCCAAAAACAAAAGACATTAGCCCTAAACCGCGAGTTGTTCAAAGTGGTACAAAGTCTTTAACAACTGTTGGCTTCAAGGTCAACAGTAATACAGGAAAAGATGGGAAAAATTCAATGAATGATACAATAACACCATTGGAAGAAGAGAAACTTCTTGTCGATGCAAAAGACTTTGAATCTATCGAGGACTCAGTTACTCAGTCATTATCAGAAAAATCATCAAGTATAGATCGTTCATTTGGAAGTGATGGGACCTATTCAGAAAACATGAAACCCTCATTGGAGAGCATTCACAAAATTGAAGAGGACATTACCACAATTGAAGAGGACATTCCAACAATGGAAGAGGACATTCCTGCTATTGAAGAGGACACAAACAGGGGTGAGGAAGGCAATCAAAACAGTAATGCAGTAGAAAATTCCATAACTGTAAATGCTGGAAAATTAGATGGTGCTGTTCAAAAGAGACTCGCAGAGAGTCAGAAACAAGACTATGATAAGAAAGCTACACAAATTTTCAATGAACTCAAGCATAATCCAAATGGACCAAGGCAAAATTGTGTTGGAACTACACAAAAGCGTGATGAAATTACTCAAAATTCCAAACCTGAAAGGCATTCTGAATTTTATGTATCTCTAGATGAGGACTCCAGTGGTCCATTGGATAATGAACGAATACGTCATTGCAGTAAAGTAAGTGATTCCAGCAGTGGAACAGGCCAGTCCCATTTTTATGTCTCCTTGGACTCCACGGGTGATCACGCAACTGGATCTTCAACTAAGCGTCCAAATGATATTCCAATTATAAATGTTCACCAAACAGAAGATGATTTCAGTGGAAATTCCACAGAGTCCACCATTCGTCATGGTAATACTGAGGTCCATACAGATTCTGGGTACACTGACAGTTCTTGTGAAGTTGCTGCATCAGATTCGGCGACAAATTCCAGTGATATCGCCCAGGATTCACTCTCAATGGAATATACAAAATTTACGCAAGAATTACCACCATTGCCAGCCCCAGATGAATTCGGCCAGGGCAACCCCTTTCTGATTTTCCTCTGCCTGACACTCCTGCTCCAGCATAGGGACCATATCATCCACAACGATATGGATTATAATGATCTTGCCATGCATTTTGATAAGATGGTGCGTAAACATAACATGCCAAGAGTGTTAAGACAAGCTCAGTCTCTATATGCTGCATATTTGCAGTCACAGGCAAGGCTTGCTGCTGAGAACAGAGAAAGCACAGAATATGGGAGTATCTAGAAATTGATCAAAATGCTTAAACTCGATGCGATATCAAGGTAGTCACATTTTCCCTTGATATATGGGCTCGATTGGACAAAAAAGCAAAATGCAATGGGTTGGACAATTCATTTAACTATTCCATTGGATAAATTAACTATTCCATTGGCCTATTTAACTGTTCCATTAGTTACGTAATGGATAATTTAACTCTTCCATTGGCTGATTTAACACTGTAAACTTCATTAATTACTCAGATCTGAGTAGGTAGTTACCAGTTTAGCCACCAGGTGGCTAATTCGGGGAAAATAACATGGCAGGGTATTACAAAGTTCCCTTAAACTTAAATATTCATCAGTTTTAGTGGTTCACTTTTCATATTACCCTTATGTATCTGATAGTTATACAAATTAAAATATGTCCAGTAAAAGAAAATATTATCTGCCCAACAGAAGAAAATATATTACACTTTTTGTGATTTTACAACATGGGGTCTATGGGGAATCTCCCCGACCTTTTCGAAGAAAATTAGATTTTCAAAGTTGATAAACTCCTTGAAACCACATTTCTAGATGCAATTTTAAATGTAGATTCCAAATATGACAACAGTTTGACTGAAAGATTTAATGACGTAAATCAAGATTATTATTTCATTGGAGGTTTTAACTATTCCATTAGATGAGACAATATTCCACTGGACAATTTTATTGTAGTATTTTGTGGTATCCACAAATTGAACATTATACATGAACAAGGACCATTCAAGCAATGCAACATTAGTTGAATGTAAATTTGCCCATGTGATGTCATGTTACCTTAGCAACCATAACTATGACAGTGTTCCATAATTCCCAATCCTAGTCTAAATAGTAATACATGAATTTATTGTGGGATTGTTGAACATAATTGGTGCAGAATTGACAAAATAGCAGCACTAGTCCTCTTATCCTCTTACTTTTGGGACACCTTGTATTCATTAAGATGACAGCATGTAATAAAGTAGTGCTGGGTAAGGACATAGGCATACTGTAAAAAGGTTATCTAAATATGCAGCTCAAAAAATAAGTAATCTTGTATTTACTGTAGATACATATACTACCTGTAGGTATGGTTTGAGAAAATAATTAAAGAAAGTAGAAGGGATATGCCTAGGTATCTACTAAGTTCAAAAGTTGGTACTAAATTTCTGGATAATTCTTTGAATTTTTGGGTTATCTTGTTTGCTTTTTGAAAGCATTTTACAATCTCTTTTCCTTCTAATTCCTTCAATGGTTAAAATCAGTTGTCCATATATGTTCCAATTTTACTGACTAAACATAAAGGAGATGCGTACAAAACTTCGGAAAATGGGAATGCCCATTATTTGGAGATCTGCAAATCAAAAGTATTTTACAGTAGACCAAAAATATTGTATCATTTTTCTGATTCATGCTTCGGAAATCCAGAGTAGCTGCCTAATGCAGAAATTTTCATTAATTTCGAGATCTCTTAATGAAATCAATTTGTGTCTAAAAATCCAAAATGGCATTCCAGATGCTTGTATCAAGAATTCTTAGAACTTCGATATACCCTTTATGTGTGAATCAAAGATATTTCAGTGTACAAATATTCTATTGTGACTTTCAGAATCATGAAAATTCAGCTTTAGAAATATTTTGTAAGTCATTTGGTATTTGCTTCTCCATGGCATTGCCATTTTCTAGTTCAGCATAAGCAGTATCTGTTATTTTAGCTTAACCATAGGTGACTGGTTGTTATGATGTTCTGTCAGCTTTAAGACATTGTGATGTAATAAATGCTTAATATGTATACACAAAGAGCACATCACATTATAGAGACATTCGATTATCTATGTACATGTATGTATATATATGTAGTATATAGGTGACCAGACAATGGTGCTTCACTATATACATATCCTACACTTAATTGTAATTCTGCAAATACTCTACTGGTGCTGGTGTACATTGTACAATGTGTTAAATTAATTGTAATGCAGGTTCTGTCTTCAGACTGAGCCCCTCAGACACATTTTCTCTACGGGGAGCTAACTTCAAGAAATCTATATATAGAAAATCTACCATGATTTATTCCTATATTTTATGCTGCATATTTCTCTCGATTTTGGGAGGCTACAGTCACCATATGGTTGCGATCGTAGATCAAATGTGACTGAGGCATTAGCCACATTAGTATCAAGATAAGAATTTCAATTTTCAAGAAATTAAATTTCATATTTAATAACTTAACAACTTTCCATTTACATTGTATCAAGAACTAGGCTTCCAGATCTAGTGTACAGTAAAACCTGCTCAATTAAGCACACTTCCATGTTGGGAATTCTAAATAATAGTTTTTGAAAGAATTAACGCCATTGACATCACCCATCTACTAGGACCAATTTTGACTAGTGTGAAGTGAGTTCCATGTACACAGGTTTTACTGTATTAAAGCATTGGTATCGATATGTTGAACTTTTTGAAGACACATTTCTCTTAAACCAGTCATCAAAAAATTCTAAAAATTGTACACGTCGTCAATTTAATTATCATCTTTTGAGTGGTAACAATATAATTTGAAAAAAATATATACTTTTCCCTATATTGTTTCAGAAAACACATCAGGCACTTCTTTTGTTTGTTCTTGGTAATATGTGTTCTGAATGAAATTCTTTCCGAACCTCATTGGAACAAAACAACACAAACACAACTTGTTTATACTATAGGTCTCTCAATATTGTAATTGTACTGTAAAATTTTGGTTGATTTTAAAAAAGTATCTTGTTAATGACATAAAAGGTTTATCTTAATTTTTATCTATTTTGGGAGGTTTTGTTTTAATTTTTTGAATACTTTTCTTAAATCAACCCAAATTTCCTTTGTATAACTATAATATTGAGAGGTCTGAGAAAATGTTGTATATGCTATTTTGTTCCAACAAGGTTCGAAAAAACATTTTATTTCATTCTCAAGAATTGGTAGAAAGAAACAAAAAACTAAAAAACAAAAAATGTTAATAAAAACAGTTATACAAAACATATATAAATAATTTTCACATTAAATTGTTGTTAATCAGTCAACATTACAAAAAGGACTGTTTTTTTACAGATTGTTTTCACTACACAAAAGTGTGATGAAATTATTCAAAATTCCAAACCTGAAAGGCATTCTGAGTTTTATGTATCTCTAGATGAGGACTCCAGTGGTCCATCGGATAATGAACATTGGAACAAAACAACACAAACACAACTTGTTTATAGGTCTCTCAATATTGTAATTGTACTGTAAAATTTTGGTTGATTTTAAAAAAGTATCTTGTTAATGACATAAAAGGTTTATCTTAATTTTTATCTATTTTGGGAGGTTTTGTTTTAATTTTTTGAATACTTTTCTTAAATCAACCCAAATTTCCTTTGTATAACTATAATATTGAGAGGTCTGAGAAAATGTTGTATATGCTATTTTGTTCCAACAAGGTTCGAAAAAACATTTTATTTCATTCTCAAGAATTGGTAGAAAGAAACAAAAAACTAAAAAACAAAAAATGTTAATAAAAACAGTTATACAAAATATATATAAATAATTTTCACATTAAATTGTTGTTAATCAGTCAACATTACAAAAAGGACTGTTTTTTTACAGATTGTTTTCAATAATTGTTTTAAGAGAAAAACATTGTTTAATTCAGTTCACCATATTGATACCTATCCTTTGCATGGTATTCTCTCTTTGATCTCAAAATGTTCATCCATGACCAACCCAATGTAAAATCTGCTGCAGGGTTCAGTGCTTTCCTAGAGGTATCGTGCTTATTTGAAGACATAGTGTTGCTCCAAAGCAACCCTGCGGCAGAGAAAAAAACTACCTGAAGACGAATCTCTCTTAGAAGTGATGTCGGACAAATGCAAAGGGTCTATGATGAATCAGATCCACACATCCTGAATGCATTTACCATTGGTCACACAGATACTTTGGAAGTGCATGTAAACTGACATTTACATGTAAGCCCCGATGCACATTCTATTTCATTGAAATTATTATTCTGGGTTTCACTTTTGGTACAATCGAAACTTACGATTCCAAGAAAATCATAGTCTTAAATGATGAACAATGACTGAACCAAAATTGGAAGTAATGATGGTTCCAAAAATGGATCTCTGTATATTGTCTTGGTCTATTATTCATTAAGGCATTGAGAAAAATGCAAGAAAGCACAGATATACTAGAAAATAAATGCTCTCTTAGCAAATTATGTACAAGAAAATCATCTTATTTGTGCAATAAACTTAGTTTTATGGACTTAACACTGTGTTGTAAGCTATTTATCTGAAGACAAAGTTTAAATGACTAATTAAGCGTACTCCATTTCATAAACTGCTATAACTGATTGTGTGGACAACAGTGCTGCAAAGGGAAAGATGAACAAACTTCAATCAGAAGATGACTCGTAAAGAACGATACTGTAGATACACTTATTTTGACGCTACTTTATTCGACGAATTTCAAATATTGGCGGCTATTTAATTTGGTGGATTCAGGACTGAAGTTTAATTTTTGTCTATGTTTAGATAACAGGAAAGTTAAGTATTAATACACACCTCATTGGCTTGTGGTATAAACCAAAACAACCCAATAAGGTGTGTATTAATGATTAACTTTCCTGTTATCTCAAAATCTGCTTGGAACTATACCATTGGATTACTATGGGAAATTCCTCTAAGAGAAATTTTTGGGATTAAGGAAGGGGTACCATTTACACAAATTGAGAAATTATTGGCATTCATGAAACCTATTTAAAACAGCATTTATATTATTCAAAAGCATTCGTAATAATGATTTCCAGTCCTCTGAAGTTTGAAAAATAACAATACCTGGGTGTTAATCCATAGATAATCCTTGAAAATGAGAAATATTTTTTTAGGATTATGGTATGTATATGGTGCATAGTCAATAAAATGTTTTAATGTGTATTGATGTTCTATAGATGAAAAACACAAGGGAAATGCATAAAAAAGCTCCCCGGATTTTTATCCAATCCGTCAAATTAAAAATGGGAGCCAAATTAAGTGTATCTACTGTATCCCATTTTATTTCGAAATGGTGAGTTATTTCACCAAGGATCTTTTCTCCACACCAAATCATAAAATAAATTCCTTCAATATATTTATCTGTTGGGAGATTCCTCAGTGAGATCTCTATAATGACCTGCCATTTAATTGAAACATAGATCACATTTAGTATAAATTATTATTTTATTAATAAAATCCTGTGGCAATTTGTATATATACAGTTGAATAAATGCAACAAAAATGTGCATTTCAAAAACCACTCCAAACACACTAAGGTAGGCCTAGAGGGTGGAAATACAAGTAAATTAATGAAGGTATTGGTTAGATTACTCTTTGCACTCTATCTACCTTAATGCCATATAAGGTGTGGGAGATACTGGCATTTTGGCCAAGTTCCTCATACATACAACTTAGTGAATCAAAGCGAATCTCACATAATAAATGTACATGCATGTACAGTACAGTGATATTCTTTCAAGATGTGTATGAATGGCTGAATTTGTTTTAAAACACTTGCTTCATACAGTTATACTTCATGTCTGACTTGACTCCATGTCACTGTACATTGTACTTTTACATACATTTTAATACAATCAGGTATTTATGCTCATATCAATGGTTTACTTTAATACCTTAATACAGCAATAGACTACATGGGTATACAATCAGTGATCTCCCCAGCACCTAAAAGGAACTAGGTATTGTGCCAGAACTTCCAAATTCACTTGCATAGGACAGAAAATTCACTTGCACCCAATAGAATATAAATGACCTCAATCCAATGGAATATACACTTGCACTAAGTTGAGAATTTGGGACATACTTTATAGCAAACAATGAATTTTAACAATTTTCAGACTAGAATAATAACAAAGAGAATTTTGCACCCAATTAAGAAAGTCTTGAGGAGAAAACTGAATCTCAGACTATAACATAGAAAAATAAATATTAGATATTGCAGAGTTGGTTTAAAATATTATATTGCATACATATAATATATTCACTTTTCTTCACATTCATCCATCTGACCACTGATCCAAAAATAGCACCAAGGTTTCCTATGGTTTTCCATATTAATGGAGGGGAGTGTACATTTATATTTTCTGGTTTAACACTTCAATGCTTGGGACATTTTATTTTAAAGAGCCTAAAGCTGCAATACTCATCCTTTATAGTTCTGAAATACAGTGTATATCTTAAATTATAATTCAGACTAATATGTTTGCAATCAATAGACTTATTTGTTGAAAATATCATTGCTTGAAAAAAGTCTTCACCTATGTTGAATAAGACAAGATCAAATTGATAAAGTATAATTTCACCTTTTTTTAAAATTTACATGTTGTATGAATTACAAACAAAAAATTTGAATTATTTATGATGAAAATTGCTACAGGTATTAGACCTTTAAAGTGAGCTGCAAAAAAATTCATTTCAAAATCAAATTTATAATTTTTCATACCTTTGCTGGGGAGTGTACATGCACATAAGTAACACAAAAAGTTCATACTCATATATATAAGGCGTACTGACAACTCATTCACTTATATTCCATATTTTTTCATACATAAAATGGGGAGTGTATATTCTTGTTTGTTGGAACAATTCATTCCGATTGTGACATGAAGAGATTCTGATGGATGGGTATTGATTAATTGGACACAAATAATTCAGCAGTGTATACATGTAACATGAAGAACACATCATTTCAACTCATTTTTATACCTTTTTGGCTTTAACCACCTCAAAACATAATTGTCTTTGCAGTCTGACAGATGATGAAAACATTTTTTTCATTCATATTTGGTTTATTTTTGAAAACCTCAAAAAACCTAACACGTAAGAAGTTTTATTTTTATACTAAATTCGTAGGTTAGGTCACATGATTCATGGTTACACCATTTTTTCCTTTGTTTTTCTTCATTTTTTTGTAAATACCATTAACTGGACCTTCAATTTCTTTCCTTTTCTTAGCTTCTCTTACATTATTTTCACAATCAAATGTTTTAGCAGTTGATTCTTTATGTATGGCACCATTTGTATTATTGAGATTGTCCTTTGTTGGCGTATCATCATCCGCATTTGTAGATTGCTCATCATCAGAAATATCAGTTATAGCCTCAAGATCCATTGTATTATGAGGAGCCTCTTCACATACTGTAACATCTGCATACTCATTAGGTTTTATTGCATTTATACCATTTACTTTTGGTGACACTGTAACATTGCTTTCAGATTCTGATATATCTTTTGTTTTAATCAGATCTTTGTTTGGCACATTTCTTCGCCTCTTTCGTTTAGGCTTTAGCTTGGATTGCATCGTCAGATCAACTGCACCAGCAGATGTATCGTCTTCCTGATCCCCATTGTTCAATTCCCTTGTTTGATTATTTTCAGCTTTTGATGAACTACACACATGCCTTATTAATCTAGACTCCAATTTGAATTTCTTCTTACAAAGTTCACATTTGTAGTTTTCAAAATGAGATTTCATATGCGTGTTCAATTCTTTACGAGATTTGAAGTCAAGATCACACTCATTACAGCTATACTGAGGCGCACTTTCTGGATGGACTTTTCTATTATGGGCGTAGAGAACTGTCTTCCTAGTGAACCCCTTAGAACATAACTTACAATTAAACAATTTTGAATTGACACTTTTCTCACCATGAGCTCGCTGGGTATGCTGAGTTAATCCTTGGACAGTCAGAAATGATTCCTCACATAACTCACAAACGATAACCGACTTTTCTGCATGCTTCTTCATGTGTGTATTGAGATGTGACCTTTGGGTAAATCGAAAGTCGCATACAGTACAAGGGAAGGGTTTGTTATGGTTTCGCGTATGTACCTTTAATTTCGCTTCTGAATGGAACTGCTTTTCACATATATGACAATTGTAAACCTTCCCCTCGTGTTCCTTCATATGGAGCGTCTTACGATCTTTCTGAGCATATGTTTTTCCACAAATCTCACATATATAAGGCTTAGTGCCAGTATGCACCCAGGAATGGTCCCGAAGGTGACGACGTTGACCAAACTGCCGTGGACAAAGATCACATTTGTATTTCTTTACTCCAGTGTGGGTAGAGACATGCTGTGTCAGCCCACCAATTTGAGTGAATTTTCTCGAGCACACTGGGCAAGTATATTTCTTGTCTTTATCATCAAGATGAGTCTGTCTATGCTGTACCAAGGTGTCTAAACGTCTAAAACTTCTCCCACATTCTTCACAGCTGAATGGCTTTTCATTAGTATGGCACACTTTATGTTTTATCATTGCATGTTTGTAACCGAAAGCTTTCCCGCAGATATCACACTCGAAAGGTCGGGCACCCAGATGCACGGCCCGGATGTGTTTCTCAAGATTTCCTCGTTGACTAAACATCTTCTGGCAATGTTGGCATTGATTCGATAAATCCTTTGATGGAGGGTTCTTTGGCGTACTTGAACGTGGCTCTGGGGTTGATGGTGGTGGATGGGGCAGAGGAGGGACAAGAAGGCACGATGGTGGTGGAAGACAAGATTTGACACCATCCTCAGAGGGTTCAGATTTTGGTGGTGCATGAGTTGCATAAACATATTCTGGAGGGGGAGATTCGATTGTCATTGGCATGTCAGAATTACTAAAATTGCTCAAAGCCTGTCGAATATGTGGTATCAAACTTGGCTTGTCTTCGAACCCCATAGGATGAACTGTAGTTAAGTTCTCCATTGCCACTGCAGCAAACCCTGAATTATCAATTCTATTTGGGTGTACAAGGTTTGTTGCAGCCAGCTCTGAATTGTTAATTCTATTTGTTTGTTCAACATTTGTTACGGCCAACACTGAATTGTCAATTCTATTTGGATGTTCCACATTTGTTGCATTTAGCCCTGAATTGCTTATTCTGTTTGGATGTTCCACATTTGTTGCATCCAGCCCTGAATTGTCAATTCTATTTGGATGTTCCACATTTGGTGTGGCCAGCCCTGAATTATCAAGTCCATTGTGTTCAACATGCATATTATGATCAATGAGATTATGTTCAACAGTATGAGCCTGATTGATATTGCGTTGATCAAGCTCAATCTGCAAGTCTCTGGCTTTGCTAGCCTCAGCTCTCAACTGAGCTTTACGTTTAATGTTAATATACTCTCCATATAGATCATTCTGGGGTGTCTTAACATGTAGGTGAGTAGTTGGCAAGTTTATATTTGGTTTTGAATTGCTGAGAATTTGTGATTGTTCATGTAAATGAGCAGTTGACACACTGTTCAAGTTATTCGGTTTTGCATTCAGAATTTGAGATTGTTCATTTTCTAACATAGAGACCACATCAGCTACTGTCTCTGCAATGTTTAACGACTCCTTTGGTTCGACTACTCCAGTTTTTGTGTCCTCCTGGTCAGAATCAGAGTCACTAGCACCAAAGTCCTGACTAGGTACATTAATAGATTTTGGCGACATAAATGAATTTGAAGCATTAATATCGAGTGGCTTTGAGAGTAGATTCTTATCTAATGGAAGAAGTGGGCTGTGCTGAAGAAAATTTGGACTTGGCAGATCATTGAGTAGACTTCTTGCCAAGTCAGGTTTTTGTTTTAATAATAATTGTACATCCAGGCCCTTCAGTTGTTCGTAAATGTCAAGCTGACCTTGGGGACGTTTCTCTGAGTAAGGTGCACTCATCAGATCTAGGGATTTAATGTTTGTGTAATAGCCTGAATCTAAACTCATGTTAATTGGTTCATTTCTGCGCTCGTATGTTGAAATCAGATCTAAAGCAGTATCAGTAAGTGCATCATTACGTTCTCTTTCTAGTGGGTCATTATGTTGAACATCTGAGTAAAATGTTTGGCCAGGGGAAAATAGATTCCCTGCGAGGATGGGAGGTTCTTGGTGCTTAGAGCTGGTTGGAAGACTGAATACTAAGGGTAAGCCTTGAGTAACATCAGAGCGTTTATCCCCTGTGAAAACACTATGTGTATCAATGTAATTATGACTGTCAGTTGTAGATTGCTTTGTTGGTCGATCCACTTGAAGCGAGACACTAGAGAGTAGACTCAAAGGGTTTGGAGCTTCTAAAGTCTGATTACGATCATTATGCATCGTGGAACTGTAGGCGGGGAGTTCAGGGTCACTTCCCTGGAGGCCTCCCATTGCACTTAAGTATCCACCATGGTTGGAGCTCCTGCTTGTATAGGTCGGTTGGGGCTCTGTGTGAGGGGTCTGATCTTGCACAGACAGATACTGTTTATAATAGAAATCTTTGAACGATATCGGTCTCTCCGTATATGGCTCCTGTATGGAACCTGAGATATATGTATCTGACACAGAGTTGGTTCCATCCGTGTACCCATCATTGAGAGTAGAGCCACTGCGGTAATCATGACCAAGCCCTTGTGAGAGTAAATCAGCACGCTCAGTGGGGAGATAATGTAAAGGAGTGATCCAGCTAGTGGTTGGAAGACTAGAGATTCGACCTCGTTCCTGGGTAAAGCTGAGAGATGATATAGAGGGTAATGGTCTAGTATGGGGCGGTTCTTCCTCCTCTGTGGAGACTGCTGGCTCCGTCATGATAACCTCCTGTGTTGTCTAAACTGCAGTAAAATTTCTGCAAGAAAATATAAAACAATTATAGAGAAATACATGTACTAAAGTAATATTTGTTAAATTATTCACAGCTTCATTCCTGTCACTATACAAATCTAATGCATCATCAATATCATAATGTTAGGAGAGAAAACACTGAGAAATTAAAAATTGAAAAACAATTTCCTACTGTTTGATAATTTGCTTATGACTCATATTTGACAAAACAAGTGATGCGGTAATTGCATAAAATAATACAGGTAGGCTGTCTGGTTCCTGGACTATACTCCTGCAAGCATCCGTATCCGTTGTCCGATTACAATATGCGATAATTTGGCATAAACTGTCAAAAATAACATAATTCTGCTGATAAATCCATACGATCGACAATTCAACTACATGAAAAGAATCCCAAAAAATTACTAAGGAAGTTATTGTCATATATTATTTTTGTCAGTTTTACGTGCCAAACTCTCCCATATTATAATCATAAAGATAACATATGGATGCTTGTAGGACTATAGTCCTTGAACCAGATCACTGGGAGGTACATGACAGTGGATAGACGATCATTCCCATTGGCTCACATTGTATTCGCATTTGTATCAAAATAAAGAGAAATAAAGAAGAAGTTTTGAACTCTCATTTTGCAATGTTGATCAAAAATATTCCCAAGTATTGATTGGGAATGTCTCGTTCCATGTTGGATGATGATACCCCAACATTCTGAATGAATGAAAACATGAAAAGTTGAAAACCTTGAAAATAAAATAAAGGAAGTCATTATTTGGTAACACTTTCTATCAGCATTTCGCGGTCTACTGGATTCAAAGTAGTGGAAACTTATTAAACTATACATAACCTACATACATACCTATTCTTGACCCCTCTGAAACCATTTTAACTGCGGAATTATTCGACTTTCTTGGGAGATTGTTCGGAAAATTTCGGCCATTTTTCTACTAAAATCTCCACTTTGAAGAGCTCTAATGGGGATCTGTCAATTTCTAAATGCCACGTAGAAAATCAAAATATTGAGCTTCTTAGAAATTTTCTTTGTATTCCAACACTACATACACTACAGTAACGTTTGATAATATGTAAATATACTGGAAATAATGTCTGATATACAATATTTGGATGCAAACTGCAACAAAACAGATAACATATTCTTCAAAGACGTATCACGTGACTTGTTCAAAATGGAGAATGAAAGTAAGGAAAACTTATTTCACATAAAATTCAACATTTCCTTTATTTCAGACAAACTGAACAACTGTCAGATGATTCCATACGATTGTTTAACCTACGTTGATAATGTTTACATATTTATGTATTCAATCTTCGCGATTTTTATGTTAGTACCCGTTTATTCAATTTGACAATTGAATTGGCCTTTGACTTTTGTACACTGGCCATAAAATAAAGGGCAAACAACCAATACACTGTTTGAGTATTCGACCTCTTTGATTAGACTACTAAATTTTATTATTTTATTTTTAGCTTCAAGGCAACAGCATCAGTTGTTGGAGTAAATAATGACACAAGACAATTATTATACATCAAAGATGGACATTGCAGGGAGTCACAATAAAACATATATTATTGCGCTTGATATTGGAACCACCACTCTTAGGGCACATGTCTATGATACACAAACAAACATTGTGGGTGCCGGAAGTAAAAAGGTTTGTCAGTACTTGTAAATAAAACTAAGAGGGGGAATAACCCAAGGGTTCAAAGAAGACATAATTACATGTATGTCTATATTGTAAATCTGTATTGAGAAGACATTGCTGTTGATTGGTCAAATGGATAATTAAATGACATCATTCAATGAGGGATTCAAAGTTTTCAAAACACGCTTCGAATGACAATATGTTGATTTCTGGGGTCATCCCTCCTTTTCTCTACTCTGTACTGTGTCAAATATTAAAAGAAAACATTACCACAAGCCTATGTTTTTCAGTCGTCTGCTGTACAAGTACCTCAACCCCAAATTCTCTGAACATTCTTTTCATTTTCTCTGTTTGAATCAGAATAAATAATGATAGGCCATTCAATATGATGAAATTCTCCATACTCGTTGGACAGAGTGTCAGTAGAAATGCACTCTACAGTTTGTGCTTTGTACAACATTCTGTCCAACTCGTGCTTAATTTCACCATATTGAATGGCCTATCATTATTTATTCCTTAAGTATATGCTATACCGAATAGATGTCGTGTGTCCCATTTTCACATACCCATTTTCTTCAAAATCGAAAAGCTCCAAATCAGACAAATGGGTACATCATTCTTCCAGGACCCCATGTTGTGTGTCCCATTTCAAATGCCTGTTTTCTTCAAAAACGAAAAGCTCATTCTTCCAGGAGCCCATCATTCTTCCAGGCTCTGCATTGTGTATTACACAGTTCAGGTCTCATAAAAAATATATGTTAACTGCAGATAGAACTCTTATATCCAAAGACAGGATGGGTGGAAATGGATCCTGGGGTTCTTTGGCAGCAAGTCCAAGATGTCATAAAAGAGGCCATTGCAGGTGCGTGTATTTTGTGTGGACATGTATTTGCAGGAGAAAATAATTTAAGTAAATGTTTGAAAATGTGTAAGTTAGTTTAAGCCATTTTAAACACTTTCAAAACATTGAAGCCTATTTATTGTGTCATGAATGGTATTTTTGGAAGTGGATCTCAAAGCCCTAAAAAGCAGGGCCACCAGACCAGACCTGCACTGGATTTGTTTATGTTTTTGCATTATTATAATGTTACAATTAACAACTAGTCAATAACATACATGTACTGTAAGGGAAATCTCACAATGAAATGTTAGTATTTCACCTTCAAATGCATAACACTTTGCTTATCAGGAAAAAAGTTCATGTGTATGCTGAATGAAATTTGAATACCTGTAAATTTGTAAAATGGAGTAATTTTGGACTTTATGTTAAAAGGTCTAATATAAAAATGTTAAAATTGTTCTTTTAGCTGCCAATTTAAAAGTTAGTGACATCGCATGTATGGGAATCACCACCCAGAGGGGCACATTTATCACATGGGACAGGTATATTTACAAATTCAAATTTTATATTAGTGTACAAATATTGAAATAGTCTTGCACCAACCTCTTCCCTTCAACACTAACAAATGCACCTTCTACACTACTTGACTGGAATTATGATTGACCAAAGTGATCAAATACTGATGTTATTTTGATCAAGTACCCGAGAATTTCTTCAGAAAATCCATGCGCTTTTACAATCGAACGTATGTATAAGTACAGCCATGCACATTCTCCAAATAAATGTTTCAAGTGTTCCCCATTGATGGTAACCTAGAGATTCTGCATCTGGAGGCATCATTTCGTACAGTGCAATTGTGATCAGCGCACCAAGAATTGATCAAAATAAACGTCAGTATTTGATCACTGTGACATTTTCAATAAGAGATGAATGGAAAAAACTTCTAAAACTTACATGTCTACTTTAAGCCATGCCTGTCAAAATCAGGAAAATATGGTAACGGAATTGTGTATAAATCTTCCTGTATGACATATAACATTATGTATTACTTCTTTATCTAATTATTTATCACGATTCTATATTGTTTTGTTTAAATACACAGTTTAGTTTTGGTATTTTTAAACAACCATGTTTTGCATGTTTAAGGGATTGGGTTATTGTATACAGTAAAACCTGTCTAAGTGGAACACCTAACACTAAAATGTGTTCCGCTTGGGAGGTGGTCCTCTAATTGAGGTTCATTTACCATAAGACTTAGAACTCTAAAAAGTGTTCCACAACAGAGGTGTTCCACTTACAGAGGTGTTCCACTAACAGAGGTGTTCCACTTCTAGAGGTGTTCCACTTTACAGGTTTCACTGTAATTTATTTGCAATACTTTTAATTTAACATCATTCTTTAGAATGGTTTTCTGCATGTTACAGGGACTCTCACAAACCATTCCACAACTTTATCACCTGGCAGGATTTACGAGGTAGTGATTATGTAAAACAATGGAATGAGTCAATCACTCTAAAGGCAAGCATCTCTTCATTTTCTATTTGAATCAGATGCGATGGTGGGCATTCTTTAAGTTGTAAAATATCAGTGAGGTTAAGTGACACATTTTTAAAAGAATATGTATAGGGTGGTAAAAAAAAATGGGAACCCTGTCACCATTTTCCTCATATCTTTGTCATTTTAGGGAATTACTCCCTGATATTTAGCACATTTGTACATCATTCAATTTCCTACCAGCCTTCTATATTTCATGACCATCAAATTGATAGTCACAATATTACAGCACTTTAAACAACATGCTCCATTGGCCAATATTGCACTTTCGGCAAACCTGCATCTATCATCCAAAATGTCCCTACCTAACTTCAACCTGTGGTGATACACCAAAAAAGAGTGTACGAGAATAACCCCAGGATAACTGCAGACCTCAAAAAGCAGATCATCCATGTCATTCAGGCCATACCTGCTGAAAAATGTAGTCAGATCATTGACAACCTGTTCAGATTTGCCAATAGCCCGATGGTGGCCACATTGGGGCATCTTGTTCAAAGTGCTGTACCATTGTGACTATCAATCTGATGGTCATGAAATATGATTAGCTGGTAGGAAATTGAATGTTGTACATGTGTGTCAAATTTCAGGGAATAATTACACAAAATGACGAAGATATGAGGAAATGCAGGGTTTCCATTTTTTTTGACCACCCGTAAGTGAGTATAAGTGTCCTCATCTCAGTATAATGTCACCACAAGTGGTGACATTATAGAGTCCGACTTTTTGTGGATGGTGTTTGGTGGTTGTTTGGTATTCTGTGGTAAGGTGCTCAGCAGTCAGCATCTGCAACAAATGGCAGGTGGTGGTGACATTTGCATGTTAAATGTTAATGCCTTGTTCTAGTCTGTATTTTAAAAACCTTAAAGTAATAAATATGACTAGGTGTCATACACAAAAGATCAAGAAAATGTGTGGAAATAAAAAAAATTAAGAAGACAAAAATAATAACAAATGGGTTGACTTACTTCCCATGGGCCCAGGTGGGATTTCTCCTTCTAAAGTGCTTGAAGGTGACTTAGATTGAGCAAGTAATTCCTTTATACTTTATTAAGAACTAACCCATATGGGTCCATAAATGTACACATTTACATACACCTTTTCTTAGAAATATATAGCTAACCTCCTAATTACATGATATATATATAAAAACTGTGCATGTGTCATGACTGTATAATCTCACTATCATTTTCTTATTTTTTTAAATTCTATTAATTGGAATTAATAGTGAAAACTGCTAGACTTTAAAAATGACTTCTTGTTTTTATTTCAATATTGCAACTTCACCAAATTAAGTAGTCGCCAACTCTTCAAAACAGCAAATCCGCCAAAATAGGTAGCACCAAATTAAGTAGAAGTACAGTATTTGGATCTGATAGAAACATATGTTTTACAGGTTGGAGCAAAGAATTTATTCTTCATTGATTTTTGGTCTATAATACTCAATATTTTAATCATCAAAAGACTAAAACTTACAAAACTGCATGTGCATGCTTACTGTACATTGAATATAATTGAAATTCGTTTGATCCACCCTGTTTTGCAGAGTTTCAATGCTGGTGCTAAACTACTACATGGTGTTTCAAGACAAAAGAGATTCCTCGCTGCAGCAGTGTTAAAGTTCCAAGCAATGCAGGTAATGCCTTGGTCACATTTGCTCAGATTTTCACCACGGCACCCTGCCAATTTGATCGGAGCAAATGTGACTTACATGTAGGCATTAATTAGAACATATTTCCATGCAGGAACATGTGTTTCAATAGACAGCTACAGTTTTGTACTCCACTTTTCAGATTCATTCATTGAATGTGAAAGATACAATTAGCCTAATCAAAGAAAGTAATTTTTGTGAACGTCCAAGGCACAAACAGATTTTCATTTGATGTTAAATAAAACATACCTTATGTAACTGCCATAATCAGCCATAATCAAAGTGTTTTTGTATTTGTATTTTTAGGTTTCAATGAGGCTACTTTGGGTTTTAAACAACAATTTAGAGGTTTGTATTTTAATTTATTGACCATTGGTACAGTACATATTTTTTATGTTTCCATGTTAAAATTATAGTTAATTGTTTTGATTTTAATGAATTCAACTGTAGAGAGAATGGCATTGAATAAAAATAAACCAGATGTCACGTTTGGTTATCTTATGGCTCTATATTTTAGATGCGGAGAAGATTGAATGAACAGAGGGTTCAGTTCGGAACATTGGACACTTGGCTACTGTGGAAGTTTACTGAGGAAAAATTATGGTGCACGGAAATCTCTTGTGCTAGCTCAACAGGAATGTTCGACCCATTTGTGGTACTTGTCATAAGACATTTTTTGTTAACATTAATTAGAAATCTAGGCAAGAAGTCAATTAATGACCGCCACCTTTCTTAAAGCTGTCACCAGCTTGTTTCAAAAACAAGGAAAATCAGTACAATTAAGAAATACAGACCGAAAAGCAGGGGTTATATCGTCGAATACACCTTGCAGGGCTAGGCACAAACGAACGACCGAAGGGAGTAAGGGGTTGGAAAGCTTTTGTGCCTAGCCCCAAGGGGTGTATTCGACGATATTACCCCTGCTCTGAGGTCTATATTATGATTCAAACATGAAAACTCACCAAATTGTTTCAAATATTCATCATGGTCCGCCATTACTACGACCCAACGTTATGACGTCACATATTACACGTATTAACTGGGTTATTAATCTTGAATATAACCCAGCTGAAGCATTGACTTCGTTTACAGTTTATAGAAGACATGAATACAGTCATGTTCGAATACAAATTACATGTACATTAGTTGAAGTGTAGGTTTATAACATTAAAGCCAATTTTGTTAGTTAAAAACATTATATTCAAAAGCACAATTAAATAATTGGAAAAAGGCACTAACTGACATTAAGATTTATAAGCCAAGGAAGTAATCGTTATCAATGGTTCTATTTTTATTACCAACCCCCCCCCCCCCCACCACCACTAACTAATCTTTGATTGCATGTTGCAGGTAGAATGGAGTAATATAGTCAACATGCTGCTTGGGATACCATTACACATGCTGCCACCTATTAAAGACACTTGGTAAGCAAAACTGGGCACTTTCTCAAATCCCACTCAAAAAAGCACCTGGAGTTGTCAATCAAGTAGGCCTACTGAAATCAAGAGATAATATCTGAGATCTGATATTTGCAAAGAGGTTATCTAACCCATTCTCATGAGCAAAGGTTTGATGGGGCGATAACCAGTGAATTTACCACAGGTATATGTGTATAGGGAGACATGACGATTATAATTCAATTTTAAACCCATACATCTGGAATCCTAGGAATGTATCATCATGGGAAAGAATATTGTCATCATAATGCATTGAAATAAATATTGCAATCTCTCATTTTAGTTGAAAATAATCAACAGTTTGTATTAACTTCTTTTGGGAAATGTTTGTCATGATAAACAGAATTTTAATGGCCAACCATTATATATTTTCAGTACTGAATTCTGTCGGATCTCAAAAGGAATATTTGGTGCTGAAATCCCAATCACATCCGTGGTAAGAAACCTTTATCGCTGTCAATGGATGGCTGCATTGATTTCTTAAAAATCCTCGATAATATCAATAATTGTTGGATATATTCACTTTCAAGCTTGTGGGAATGTGTATTTTTGCCATCTTAAACCATATACTTTTATAATAGCGAAGATTAGAAGAATTAAACGTGACTTTTATCGCAATTAATTATGAGTGGAGCATATCAGATTGCAGATCAACAAGGTGCGATGTTTGGCCAGTGCTGTTTTAATGTTGGGGACGTAAAATGTACGTTAGGCACAGGGACTTTCCTTGATCTCAATACTGGGAATAAACCACACGCATCCATTGCAGGTTAGTGTCTGCTCACACACTGGAATACTAAGATATTAAGGTGGACAGGCCAGTGAATTCCCGCTGGAGAATGTTAAAGTGGAAAAAATGGAATGCATTTGGAATACATTAAAATCTGCCTTAGTGAACACCTGTCTCTAGTGAACACCATTCGCTCGCACTTACTCTACTGACTACTAAAACTCTACACTTGTTGGACAGAATGTCAGTACAAATATACTCACCTTCGGTTCGTGCTTTGTACAACATTCTGTACATTCTGAATGGCCTATCATTATTTATTCCTTAATTCAAATCTTTTTGTGCCTATCACTTTTTTGTACAAACTTTATTTTCCTCATATTCTCTAATCTTTACCAAATTGTTCAGAAGATTAAATATGCTGTGCTGTAGTTTGCCTATTGTTAAATAGCTTTAAAAATGACGGGACTTTTTCGCAAAAATCATAAATTTATCATTCTAAACCAAAGTGATTAATATTATTGTTTGAAATTTTGGTAGTATATTCACAACATTTATCTTTTTCACATATATTCCGTGTTTTTCATCCTGAACCCCAGGGGCGGTGTATGGGGGGTCAGGAAAACAGAAATTTTCGCTAATTTTTAGATCTTTCTGAAGTATAGCTTTATTATACTCAAATGAAAAGCAATTAAGAGTAGATTGCAAATATTGTATCTTTTTTCTGATTCGAGCCTCGTAAAATTCAAAATGGCCATCTAATGTACGATTTCGCAATAATTTTTCGATCCCTTCAAAGTATGGCTATATTATACTCAAATTGAAGGATTTTTGGAGTAGATCACAATTATGGTATTATTTTTCAGATTTGTACCTCAGAAAATTCAAAATGGCTGCTTAGCAGGAATTCGCAATTCTAAAATCTAATTTTTTCAATTTTAACCAAAGTAATGAGTATAATTGATTGGAATTCGGTAATTGATATTTTGTTCGTTGGGATTTGCTACTCCGCGGAGTTGCCATTATCTAGTTCTTTCTGTTTTGTATTTTAGGATTATACCCTATTGTTGGTTGGAAAATAGGAAATGAGATTGTGTATATAGCGGAAGGGAGAGCCTCTGACACAGGCCCAGCCATAGACTGGCTTAGATCAATAGGTAAGGGTGCCAAATAAGTAGTACTTATTAAGTACCTATCAATGGTCAAGGTCAGAAATTCATTTTGGCAGGTTAGATTTAAAATGAATCCATCAATTTGTACCTGTTAGAATTGCGTGTATAGCATCATTAGAAAGTATCATATTTAATTTTCATATTTGGTGGGACAAAGATATCATTTCACCTTTATCCTTCCTCTTAAGCATGATATGATATTATATGATGCACTTTAACCTGTCTAATTTGAACGCTGCTGACAGTTGCCAAAAGTGTTCAGATTTGTAGCTATTCATGTTTCAAAGTTTTTTAACATGCAGGCCCATAGCTAGGGGGGGGGGTTCGCAGGGTTCGGGCGAACCCCCCATGGCCAAAAATTCTTTCAAAATCATGCAGTTTTTCACCATTTTGAGCACTTCTCAACTGATTTTAGCCATATTTGGGCCAAAATTGTCAAATGTGAACCCCCCTTGAAATCTTTGAAAACTGCACCCCCCTTGGCAAATCCTGGCTACGGGCCTGACAAGGTGATCTTTGGTAGATTGAAAAATTACAACTGAGAAAACACGTTCACATGGGTCAGATTAGAAAGCATTTGGATATACAGGTTTCACTGTGTCATTTGTAGATATGTATGATGATCTGAACGAATTGTCACGTGTGGCAGAGAGTGTACCAGACTCAGGCGGAGTTTATTTTGTCAACTCATTTAATGGCTTACAGGTTAGTAAAAGCTTAACTCATACACTGAATTGAAAATATACAAAAGAAAATGGAGGAAAAATGTGAAAGGATGACGAAGCGTTCTCAAATACAGGAGGACAGTGACAAGTACAGTAAAAAGCTGTCTGTAATAAAAAGTTACAGAGTTTAATCAAATAATAACAAATTAACTTCTAATTACAGGCCCCTATAAATGATGACAAGGCTTGCTCAGGGATTCTAGGTCTCAATCCAAGTACATCTAAAGCTCAGATTGTAAGAGCGCTATTAGAGAATATATCTTTCCGCTTCAAGCTGCTATATGAAACTGCACTCACAGAAACTAGGATACCACTGTCACACATCAGGTATTTGTGATTCGGGAACTAGGATACAACTGTTGCACAACAGATACTTGGTATTTGGTAAATTAAAGTATCACACATCAGCGTCGTGACAGTGTTTTAGATGGTATAAATACATATTAAATGAGACCAATCAAGTTTATGGAATGGTGGTAATGAAATGAAATGTCTTTGCTTTTTAGAGCTGATGGCGGTGTCAGCAATAATGATTTCATAATGCAGCTTATAGCAGACATCACAAACCAAAGCATAGAAAGACCTTGCCACACAGACATGACTAGTTTAGGTGCTGCATTCCTGGCAGGTTTAACAATAGGTTAGTGAATGAGCCCTAGCCCTAGTAATAGTGAACAAGCCCTAATGATAGTGAACAAGCCCTAATAGTAGTGCACAAGCCCTAATATTAGTGAACAAGTCCTAATGCTAGTGAACAAGCCGTAATGTTAGTGAACAAGCCCTAATATTAGTGAACAAGCCCTAATGTTAGTGAATAAGCACTATTATTAGTGAATAGGCCCTAATTTTAGTGAACAAGCCCTAATGTTAGTGCACAAGCCCTAATGTTCGTGAACAAGCCCCAATATTAGTGAACAAGCCCTAATATTAGTGAATAAGCGCTATTATTAGTGAATAAGCCCTAATGGTAGTGAATAAGCCCCAATGTTAGAGAGTATAGTATTTCGGACAGTAATTGTAAAATTGACCCTAGGATACCTTCACAATTACTAATAAGTTAATGAGTGACCTCTCCCTGGAAAATAACAAAATTGATGTATCTCAGCTATTGAAAGTTGTAAACTCATTCTGTCATCTTAAATTTCAAGGTTGAAGGTCAATGTTATCAAGCGAGATCACAAACAATGTCATTTAAGTTTCTCAAAGTTCAATCTACAAATCCATTCCACTTGCCTTGAAATTTCAGAAAAAACACTAACTTTTCAACTCATCTTCCTAAGCATGTGTCAAATATCCGAACCTCTTTGTTCCCCACTATAACCAATTTGTCAGCTCCCAATTATACTGAATCACATGATAATAATAGCACATCAAAAACCAATCAGTAACTCTCTTTCAAAAATATTTAGTATTCAAGATGTGAAGGAATGTATATGTGTTAGCACCATTTTCATTCGCTGTCCCAGTGGCATGACAACCAATCAGATTGTGAGTTCTTAATCAGGAAGATCTTACTGCTTATTGCATTTTTTTCACATGCAAGAGCAGACCAATGTCAAGATCTGATAAGGTTTCGAACATGCTGGGTGAATTATATATTTTCAAAGTGCGATATTTATCACTGTATGTCTTGTTATTCAATTTCAGGTATATGGAAGGACAAAGAAGAACTGCTTGCCCTACGAGTTGTCGGGAAGAAATTTAGAGCAAACAATAATAGATGGCACCAGTATAAGACAGTGATTCAAGATTGGGAACGTGCAATGAAACGATGTATGTTCTGGTATAAGGAAGACAAATGAGAATAAAATCTTATCGTTGATGGCCATTTTGGTAGCTTTTTTACAACTGGAAGTGCCCTGAACGAAATACATGTCGAATTCCAAGGGATTTTGGTGACTATTTAATTTTTGCGATTTTGTTAATTGGCCAAAATTCTCCAATTTAAAACGCTCGCCAAATTAAAGACGAATACAGAATCTGATCAATCATTGAAATTATAACACATTTCATATCATTATAGAGCCATATTGCTCAGTTTATAGTACCTGGTACTTAACCAAACAATGGGTGCAGTACAATAAAATCAGCCATTTTATGATATATTTTATAACTATATTACTGGATATACTATTTTGGTATATACTGTATAATATATATATATCATGATTAGAAAGTCAAATGTATTTCATACTTTCTGAATAAAATACTAATAATCAATTTTTTGTTTCTTTTCTGTAAATGATGATTGGTATCTTAAGTGGTCATGTGGATAAGAGGACAAGAACAAGATCTATATTGTCTCAGTCATCAACCTTATACAGGTGCTTACCTACAGAGTAGCCTTGATTTATACTGATCTTTTTGTTGTTACTTTTATCATTTTGTAATTTTTTGTGTAAATTTTTAGAATTTTCTTATTCTTTCTTAAAACATTTTAGGAGGCGCATCTAATTGCATTGAGGACCATTTTGGTTACAACAAAATACACGGAGGTGCTGCGCCTCAGTGATTTATTATATATTATGCATTTCCAGATCTTGTACCCCCCCCCCCCCTATAACCAAATATATCAACAGCACAAATACTTTTTTAATTTTATATTTTTATTGCAATTAATAATAACTAAATCAGTGTTCCTACAACATAGCATATAATCTTAAAATAAAACATTAAATTATCACAAAATGTTCAACTTTCTCTTACATTACACATGATTATTCTAACAAGCTAGAATTAACGTCTAAAAGTATTTAACAAATTACATGTAGATTGATTCCTTGCACACTATATTTTGGGGGTGTAAAAGTGAACAAGCTGAGAATCAATAAGTTATAAGTATTGACATTAGATGGCTTAGGGAAACTGATGACGTCACCTATTAATATATGTACAGTAAATTGTTGAGACCCAGGATTTATAAATGAAAGTAAAAGTGTTTTATAACACCCATGAATGTTCAACTGAAAGTTCCTTCAATTAGACATCCATGGATTTATGAAACAGCAGGCTCTCATAGCTAGAATCTCAAGAAATTATGAACATGCAAAATCTGAATTGAAAATTCATAAAAAATACATATTATATGCATGTACAATTTACATGTAATATACACTGCATATTACAGTATATACATGTACAATTTACATGTTATATACTACACTATACATGTATATGATATATACATGTTCACACATCTTATTGACTGTAATTCAGCCACTTTCACTCAGCACTAAAATGCCAAAAAGCCAAATATACATCTGATAATGATTGTTTCAATGGCATGACCATAAGTGGATTTCCCCAATTGGTAGAATTGAATCTTGTCTTATTGACGCATAGCATAATCTACAGTTGCAATCAGACTCTAGGATTTCGTAACAAAAATCAATGGGTTAAAATGCACGATGGGAATGCAGTCAGTATACTACAAAGTGTTGTTGTCGGTGCAAATACATTTAATGGAGCGACAAACCACTTGACAATCTAATTGTGACTGCTTTTAATTTAAGCCATGATTTGTCCTTCAATGAGCAATAATGCCTCATAGAGGCACTGAACCCATGGCACATTTTACTCCATTATTAAAAATGATGGGTACAGTATAATTTCACAAAAAGCTAAATAAAAATATAAAACATGATTATAATGAGAATAAATAACTCAATGGGGGGATTAAATTATGACACATAAGTTGACTAAACGGGCCTTTATATATCAGAGCCATATATACATAACCAAAACCGAATTATAGGAGCAACAAAGAAGAGATGAGTTGAAACTTTTTATAGAGTTAATCTTTTTCTTAATGTTTTTCTCAAGTCATCTCTCCTTTGTTGTCTCTTTAATTAATTGACAAACAGGAATGTTAAATAAAACAATAAACATGCAAGACATATTATCAATATTGAACACTTATCAAACTGTGCTGTATTATTTGCCAAATCATTTGTAACAGGAGCAAGTACAGCTTCTTTAAGGTCCCTAATTTAATTTGAGTTAATTTCAATTTATCTTAAATAATTCTCTTAAATAATCTCAAAACTGAAATTTCATAAGCAAGAAGCAAATTCTTATTCACCCAAGCAAATAGTCTCGCTTCAAGCCCTGGTAGCCCCCTCCCCCTTCCCTATACGCCTCATGTGCAGTAGATGACGGGAGGGGGTTCAGGGACTTGATGAAAGACAACTAAGGCAAGACTACTAATATAAGTAATGAGCCAAATCTGTGTACAAATAAATAAATGCTCTCACAGATAGAATAATCATTATGCTCCAAAAAATACATTGACGTTTAAATCAATTATTTATACAATATTAATGGAATGTTTGTATATCAGTTATTTGTAATAAATAAACAGAATATTTCTGTTTGTTGTGAAAAAATCACTTCTCTCCATGCAGGATTTGCACCTGCTACCTCTGGATAACACCTCAAGTGTTACTCCATGGACAGTACATAATATATATAAGGGTTATGTACTAGGAGGTTTTGGATATGGGGTTTATCCAGAGGGAGATATGCATATCTACCTGAGGGACTGTAGGGACCGAAGGTAGATGTGCATATCTCACGAGGGATGAAACCAATATCCAAACCGACCGTACATAAGTGCTTTATCCTATACCAAGTAGAGTTTTCAGTGAAATTACCGGAAGCGGGAAGATATGCACTGAAGCGGGAAGATATGCACCGAAGCGGGAGATATGGAGGTTCTGGATATGGGATATATCTTACCAACTTAACTCCCTATTCTGAAGAAATGTACCCACACATAGCAAATGCTGTAACAGATCTTGATGCTATTCAAGCCCAGGGTTCTGTACACAAAAAGGAGGCAAAATATACAACATATTCTAAAATATACATACTCAACAGAACCTGCAGAATTTGAATTTGCCAATGTACAATGGAGTGGAGTTTATATATAGAACTTGTGTATATATAAAATAATAGTAAGTGAAATATGTTTTCTCTTGGATATGTACACAGTGTCATGTCGCAAGTGTTAAGAACATACACAGAAATCCCCTCAGTTTCTCTCTGTATCACTGGTAATATTTTTTTATCAAATTTTAAAAAGTACAATTTTGATTAATTTTGTATCAACGGTAATATTTTTCAGTTCAGTTCCAATGGGATGGGAATATGACAAATCTTGCTCAAATCTACATCAATAATTTGCAAAAGACTAAAAAGCCCATTTCAGAAAAGTTATTTGCAAAAATGTATCCAGGATGTCTGTGCAACGCTGCATAATACAATGGTCAGATCTGTATGTGCCTGTATAGAATTAATCTAGCTAAATATGATTGAAGACTATTTTAACAGATTTAAAATTCATATAACTACAACATGGCACACTGTCTTCCCAATATCATTGATTCTATAGCTGCAAGACAGTTCCAGTACGAATAAATATAATTTTAAACTACTGCGATTCTTGATATTTGTTTCTTACATTTGTTTCCCATATATGGCATTGTCTGGTTCATTTCATACGGATTTCTTTGTATTCTGTTTTCATATGAAATTGTCTAATATAGTTTCCCGTATGGGTTTCTTTGAATCCCAAAAATGAAGTTGATTCATTTAGAAAATTCAGAGCACTGAGCAACCAGTTTTTAGTGAACCCCATATCTCTCCTTGGACTTCTGCATAAAATACTCCTCCAAGTAAACACCTGCCTGCAGTGATCACTTTTTGAGATACAAGTGTTCACCATACACAAGTTTAACTGTACATAATTTATGGTATTGTCAGGTGACCACTTTAAATCTCAGAATGTAAACAAACATGGGGGTCATTCAATAAATACTAATAATACTACCATAGGTATGAGAGCATTTGTATCAGTATTTATTGAACAACCCTTGTATGCATAGAAATCGCAAGAGATGATATAGTCGATGTATGTATGAATGATATCGTTCGTGCTATGAGCTGACTGGGGTGTATTCTGTTGGTTTGTATTTGTAATATGGTGAACTGGCTCCAATGAGAAATATGTTGTTTTTTCCTTCATAAGTAAATCTGAAAATAAATATCACAATGATCACTATTACCTAAATGAAAATAAAAAATAAGAATAACATTAAACTCTTTTGGTTTGTATAAATAATGTTTACTGATGACACATGTTGTTGGTTTTTTACCAAAATTGCAAACTAAAGTTCATAAAAGAACACACCATAAATAGACCTCTCACTCTGTGAATATTATTGTCAAGGGAGTTTGGTGGGTTCAAGCTAACTCTCTCCCCTTGGCCAAAACTTATATTTCAAAATCATGCTGTTTTTTTGCCATTCTGAGCACTTTTCGTGTTGATGTGATTATAGCCATTTTTGGGCCAAAATGGTTAAAATGGGCACCACTGGAATCTTTTGAAAAGTTACCCCTCCCCCCTTTGCGAAAGCTGGCTATGGGCCTATATTGTACTTGTATTAAATATGAACAGCTACTGATTTTCGAAAAAAAAATTCAAAAAATTAAAAGATTAAATGAATAACTAGTGAATGGGGTCTTTTTATTACCTACCGTAACATGCCATTATGAAGACCCCTTGGTTTAAAGTGATTAGTGCCATCTAAGTGAAACAACTTGAAACATCTGCATAGTGTCTCTAAGGTACTCTCTGTTTTGAAGTATATTGTATATGTTTTACTGAAACAGATGAGGATATGAATTAACATATAAATATACAGTCTGTAAATCTGAAGCAGCAAGCGTTTTGAATTTTTTTTGTTATAAGTTCAACTGACAGAAAGACTTCGATTGACAATAGGTAAAGTCATAAACTAAAAAATATGTAACATGTAGTTGGCCTTTGGAAATACTTTGAATTTACCACTTATGAAAATAAGTACAAACTTTCAACAGAACAATGAATTTTAGAAATGTGCATTCAATTTGGAAAACTGACAATTCAGAGCATGACATATGACTACTCTCGCTAAGCTCTTGTCAAACGCCCCCCCCCCCCTCAAACATCCCCCACAAAACAAGTAAACAGAGCAAACCAGAGGCTTAATGCAAAACTAGGGCACAACCTCCTTACCAGCATATGCATTTCAGAGTGTTACATAGGGTAGCTTACATAGAAGGTGTTTATAACTTACTCAGTAGTTGAAGGGATGGTGAATCCCAAACCTGTCTCCTTTTGACAATCACCAAAGTTTTTGGTATCTAGTGCTATACTGGTTTTTAATAAAGATTCTAATTCAGTCTCATAACTGTCTTTTTTAAGTTTCATAACATTCTGCAATTTGACTTTGCCATCTCTGGAAGACAAATCAATTACAAATTAATAATAAATATTTAAAAATTAAATAATCAAATTACAATTATGATTAAAAGATGCGGACGTTTTGTCATATGGTCATCATTATCATCTATTATAAAACTGAATATCTCGAACAGTTCTTATTCATTTTCATCAAATAGGTTTTCTATATTATTGTATAATAGGTTGAGAAAATGAAAAATATATTTCATACAAAAATCATGTTTCAAACTGTTTTTACAAATCTATGAGATAAAACAAGAGTATAATCCTTACAAGCTGGTGATCCTCTTTTGCCTGTTGAACAGTTGCTGAAGAAGACCAGCTTGGTCAGACATGCCCTCATAAGGACGTCTATAGACACGCGATACATCTGGAACTACCAGTTCTATCCCTTTCTCCTGTTGATTAAGCCAGCCATCCCAGGTCCTTTAAGACAGAAAATGTTATTTACACTCCCCTCCATAAGTTTGGCAACTGAACATTTTCATTGGATAACATATCAACGCCTTAATTTTGTTCCTTAATCACAATAGTTCAACTTAAATAATTGATCCAAAAGGGGAACTTCCAGTTAGTAAACTTATGGAGAGGAGTGTACTTAAAGCGGGGGGGGGGGGGTATTGAACAAGGTCAAACAGTCTCCTACAATGAAACTAAAATGATTCATTTTTATAAAGTAATTTGCCTTTTGGTATAACATTTAAACAGAATGATAAGGTATAGTATATTTTCCCTTTTTATTTTTGACTTGTATATACTCAGTAATAACAATATGTTTGTTGCACTATTATCTCTTGAATCACTGATATGGGACATTCATTTTCTGGTGCACAATTGTTGAGAGACATTATTTGTTGCAATATTGTGTGAGAGACATAAGTGAAATAGCATACCTTGAGCTGCAACATTCTTGAAGTTTGTCCTTCATGTACGTATCGTAGAATTCCCTCTTCAACATAAAGCCAAGGCCGGGGAACTGGGACACCCTGTATAGGAGGCTGCTGTTCCCTGAAACCCCCTCATAGCCTGAAATAAGGATTTTCAATATACTATATAGTTATTCTATTCATCTATACAGGGTGATACAAATATTTTTGGTATGTTACTGAAAGAAAGATATTGTACTTTTTCACCAAATTATTTTTTCTTATGCCAATCTGACTAACCATTATCATTCCAGGCTGATATGGCAGCTATGGTTGAGTCGCTCTCCAGCAGTGGCAAGGTCTGGGCCATATAGGAGAGGAAGTCTGAACCTAGGATAACTTCTTCTTCTAGGAATATTATATTTTGCTGGAAATGGATCAAAATATTGTATTTTAAAACAATAGGATCAATGGCTTCCTCAAAATGAATGGCTGAAGCTCAGAAGCTAAGAGAATATCTAGCATCAAATAAAAAAAATAATCTTCATTTTTCATGATATTTTTCCATGGTTTTATTTCATTGCTATTATATGAACATTAAATCAAATGATGGCATTGATCTTTACTCCCATTGCATTTAAAAGTGTAGTTATTTTTCTTCCACCCAGGAGTTCTTGAAGGTGTTTTTCATAATATTATAATTTCACTATGATTTAAAGAATGCAAAGACAAATATATGATTAATATATAGTATATTTATTTATTATGAGAAGCAATTATATATAAAAAGCGCTTGAAAAATGCAATTTTTAGGATGATTCTCAATTGGCTGTCCCAGATACAAATGTACTAGTTTACATTGTATAATTTAAAAAAAACTTGACTTACAGCATCTTTGAATTCTTGGAATGCATATGATATCGCTTTCTTCATCTGATCTGGAACGCAAAATATTATTGAAAATGAATGCACATATGATGCACATAATCCGACAATGGGTGTACAAAACTAAACTAGATAATGGCAATGCCAAGGTATAGCAAATTGAGACGATACTGAACATCTAATTAGTGTCAGACAAAACTGCTAGAAATCGTTTCTTAAAATACCCATCATACTGCATGAATTACTGATTGCTTATTTACTTTTGATTTATTACAAAAATGTAAAATGAAATAAGTCAAGTCCTGACTTGAAACTGTTACAATGACATTAGAACTATAGGCAGCATGATTTTGGGATTGGTCTATTACTTTGATTGACAGCATGTTAAAATCAATTATTCTATCAATTAAATGAACTGTGCAACAAGTGTACCTGTATATTTGACGCTACTGGAGAGTGATACTGCATTGTAGCCGAATACGTTGGTCAAAGCAGCAGATTCATCAAACTTTTCATCATACATAACCTACAATGAAAAAAGGAATCTAAATGTTATTTGTTTTTTCCTTGCAGAATTTATCATTTCATTTTGTGGTATAGAGACAGAGAGGAGAGGAGTGCCTAATACTATATCTTGAAAGACTTCATAAAATAACACTTGTTAAAGAATGGTCCAATACAGTAAAACCTGTGTATCCAAACACCTCAGATATCTGAGCATCTCTCAAAGTGGACACTTTTTGCTCCCCGTTTTGTTATCTCATATTGATTCACAATTAAAAAATCAGGAAACGTGAACACCAACTTTTCCAAACACTTCTGACTGGTGCTGGTCCCCGAGGCATTTAGGACAGGTTTTATACTTCACATGTCTTCAAGTATACACTCACATGTACATTCTTGGGTTGAATCCCAGGCTGCATGAGTATTGTCTCTAGCTGCATTCTAAGGGCATTATGGTTGAGCCCTGGGATTACCACAATCGGCACATCAAAGATGGCGTTACCCTCTAATGAAGGGTCAGAAAGCGTGGCAGCTGCCATGGGTTCATCGATTTTCCTGGCTGAAGGAGATAAATAATAAAATTCCCATTGAAAAAACATTCAAGTTTATAATATTTGATATTACAAGGCATTAACATGCAATATCTCACTACCTGCCATTTGTTACAGATGCCAACGGCCAAACACTGACTGCCACATACCAAACATCAAACACTGCCCACAAAAAAGTTTGAGACCATAACAACATGAACCACTTGTGGTGGTGACACAATAAAAAGGGAGACAGGTCAGTTGGGTACAACTGCTTGATTTTGTGACTTTTCAATACATTAGACTCTAGTATATTTACTATTTTTCTCACTGACTGCACTTGGCATATACTTGTACTTCATTCTTTTTCTCAAAACTTAATATTTTCTCAAAACATGACTCATTGATGGATCAATACTGTCTCAAGAATAACACAATTTGTGTTTATCATTTACTGGATGATATTACCATAAATAAAACCATAAAATTAATTCACTTACCATCACAGAACTCGCCATAGCCGTCATACTTCTTACAGAACTCTCTTTTCTGGTCATTACGGGTCACCAGAGGGTCTGGTCTGATCTTACTACCTTTGACTGAAAATATATGAGAATCTAAGTAAGCCCAGATTTAGTTCATCAATTTGAGCTTTGGACTCATAGCTCCTTGAGTACCAGTTGATTGCTCTTCCAGAGACTTCAGTGTGTCCATGAATCTACCAATGAGCAATGTATAGACTGAAAAGTTATGCTGTGAAATATCACTTGAAAATAAAACAGTGTATTACTGTAAAAGAAAAAATTGAGGTGAGCAATAGAAATGAGATCAATAGTAGACAATAGTAATGCAGAATTTCAAGTATCTCGTACATTTTCAACAAGAAATGCACTGATTGTAGAAAAGGGTTTATCAATTTGTTCCTGGGTCAGTGATGAGTGACCGAATAGATAAAGGTCTATTTTGTCCATCTGGGTCCTCAACTAAAATAGGTTTCAAGTGATTGATTCAACTTATCTATTCAATCAAAAAGCTGATATAATTATATAGCATAGTAAAGTAGACCATTTTAATGCTTGTATAATTTATGTTCTTACTTTGGGTAGGAACACACATCTTCATATCCATTTCTTCTGGCCATTCTCCATTTGCGCCTGCAAACTGCAACTGTAAAATAAATAAAATCCTTTTCATATATTTATTCAGGTAAAATAGGGGAAATATCAAAACTTTGTTGTAAGGCTCAAGTTAAACGATCAGGTCAATGTTTTGATGTTGTCTTAAAATATAATCAAATTACTTTGAGATAAACCTTCACTCTCAAACTATAAATGTCTACGTAATAGACTTTCACAGTTTCACCCCCTTCTTCGATATGTGTTGAATTACATTTGTGGCCAGCCATCAATATATTGACCTGATTAGTATTTGAAATAAATTTTGCAAATGAATATCAATTTCAGATTTTCAAAATTAGCAATGTAAAATTATGTTTTGACTTCAAAATTTGAAATGTTACACATAGTGCCTTTTCAAAAGTACACAAAAATGATTTTCAAACTATCCCTCTTTATCATTTTATTCCTTGCTCATTCCACTTTTTCTCATTTTTGCTCATTACAAAATGGTCATAATGACAACATGCATGAACTACAATGATTTAATTGTAGAGCATATTACTTAAAGCTATCAAACCCTACGTCATTATTACTACAAACATACCAAAGCATATGTATAGCCAAAATATTGATATCTTCAAATACATGCACATACATGAACCAGTAGTAGATCTGGGGTGCCCCCCTCCTGACTAAAATGGACCTCAAAAACAGTTCTCAATTTTGAAAAATGGGCCCAATTTTTGAAATGGGGTTGATCCATTTTTATTCAATTTCCAGATCCATAATTGTACATATAACTGATTGGATATTTTGGATATTAATATTTAAGCATACTAGGGAATAAATATTGTAGGAGTTTCATAGTGAGATTACATTTTTTCTACAGGGTGACCCAAAAAATGCCCCCTACTATATTTGGGATAACTTTTTCAATAATGGAGGAATCTTCAAATTTTTTTGTGAAAATAGAGTGTTCAGTGGAAGAAAGATTGGTGTACTTGTATAGCATCAACAACTTTGAGATTTAGAGATATCACATTTTCCATCCAGATATGCTGTTGTCCAACTCTTCAAAATATAAAATTTTCTGAAATTTGGATTTCTGTCTTTACCATTATTTTCTAATTTGATTTTCTAATTTACATTTTTGAGTGAATTTGTGTCAGAGCATACCTCCGCGGAAAATGAGATATCTCTTAATTTCCAGGTTGTTGAAGCATACCAATCTTTCTTCCAACGAACACTGTATCTACATATGCAGATTCCTTCATTATTGAGAAAGTATATGTATATTTTGGGTCACCCTGTATACACAAGGTATATCGACAATGAGACTTAAAGTATGGGTGCAGTTTATGGGTCAGAAAAGCTCATATGAATATCAAATAGCTGATTTAATCCATTTGAAAGCACAGGTTGTGGAACATTAGCAGCTTTCCAATGGTACACAATCAGCCATTTGTATACCATTTAAGCAACTTTTTTCTTATCTCCACTCTTAAAAGCCTAAAGAGGTGTACATGTTAAAAGGTGTGCCTGTGTAGATATACAGATTAGGAGGTTTAACAATGAGGTAAGAGGTTTAACAATGAGGTGTAGTCAGATTCTGAGTCCCCTCCCCTCAAAATGTTATTTCCTTTACAGTAGGATATATTCAAAAACAGTTCAAAAACATCTCTGAAAGTAAAAAATTGAATCCAAAAGCAAGACCAATGTCAATGGTTCAACAGTCAGGAAGCACTGCCAAAGTTTCTTAAATCACATTAGCAGCAAATTATCTTCTAAATCATGCAATATTTTTAATGGCAGGAATTTCATGAGTAGTTACATAATATCTAACTATTGCATTAGTGCATTATTTGATGAGCTGATCTAAGTTACATATTATAATAATATTAGATTATTTGAACTTTGAATACTCCAATTTATCACACTTATCCAAGTTATATTCACATTGTTATGAGAAGAGAAAATGAAGAGACAGCCCACAATTGACAGCAGGGCTCTGTTACGGGTCATATCAAGCACTTTTGCAATATCAGGGACCATCTCAAACATTTAGCACTTAAATCTACATATAATCTGCAACATTGTGAGATTGCATATAAATGTTGATGCAACATTGTGAGGCTGCATATAAATGTTGATGCAACATTGTGAGGTTGCATATAAATGTTGATGCAACATTGTGAGGTTGCATATAAATGTTGATGCACCTTATATACAATATCAGGTTAAAGCCATGCAATTTATACTAAAAGTACCTATCCATGCATATTCTGTTAATTATGAAGCTGATAGTATTGCAGAATTTATTAGATGTTAGATTCAGCCTAGCTCAAAGCAGATGTGACAGTGAATATTAAATTGTATTAAATTTTACAATGCAATGCACTACAAAAGCACTCAAAAAAGAAAATTTATTAGATAAGCTAAGGAAGGAAGACCAATGAAGGAACACAATGAACATATGCCTAAAACTATTGCCCTTATAAACTATGGCACATAAAATCAGTCTCAATAGGAAAAATTCACCTGCTCAAACTGGGTGAAACCTCCAATTCCCTTCATCCCCGCCATAGCCCAAGTGTCGCGGAAACGTACATTCTGAATCTGACTACTCCCTAGTTTGTTAAAGAGCTCTTTAGCGTGGTTGTTTAACCTGAAGGCAGAACATAGCCACATGAGACATGCCCTAAACAGATTATGCAAGGGCAGTATAACATGTACATGCCCTTGTATTGAAGGGGCAGTATTTCATGCTCTTATAAGAGATCAGGGGAAAATACTGCACATTGGGGTTATATTGTTTTTCCAAACTGCAAGCTGGCGCTTGGCCTAACATGCCCTTATAAGGGCATGTTACATGCCCTACTATAATTATGCAAGGGAATATTGTTACATGCCCTATGGCTCTGCAAGCTGGTAATACTGCAAGACCAAATAAAGGTCTGAGGATGAACCTATTTCAGAGTTGGGGTAATGTTACATGACATGGAAAGACAAGGGAGAAAAGATAATAGGAAAGGCTTTGTGAAGGCAACAGGAGACATTGCATTCATTCAAATCTTAAAAGAGAATATCTATAATGATCAGTAATTTGAATAAATCAAATATGATAAACACATAAAGAATTCATTCACACATACACAATTTGTGAGATAGACCTGGAGCGAACAATATCGTTCAAAGTATCAAACACATGCATTCAACCCTTTTCTAGATATCTCTCTCTCAAACAGACATGACAGAACACAATCATTCCTAGGAGAACACACAGATAGAGGGCAAACTATAATTTTCACGCAACATTACATTGCGTGTCATATAATTCCATGCAAGATTACATTATATATCAAATTCCCATAGCATATTTAAACTGCCAGAAAGTGAAAGAAACCTTGTCGAAATGTGGCTCTTTCGCTCCTTTTTCTCCTACGAAGCCCCAGACTGATCGAAACTTTAAGCCTGAAATTTTCTTGCTACCAATTGACTCCAATATCTTTGCTGCATGCTTGTTAAAACTAAATAAACAAAATGCAACACATTACACACTTCTATTAGTATCAAGTACGATGCAACCATTCAAAACTGCATACAATATTTCAAATGTTTGGCTTCTTAAAAATAGTTAGTTAGAATCTCTGTTGTCAACTTAAAACTCCTCAAAGGATTTACAAGTCACTTTTATAAGACATTATTTTCTCAAAAGGTGTCTGAAAAAATATATACATTGTGATGTATTAATATAAACAAAACCTTGGAATATTAAATTGTTAGAACAAACTTTAATCAAATCCTTATGAACAAATTAATAGAAAAAGTATTTAAAAGTGGCATGTCATTGAATAACAATAGTAAAAAATGCTGGGAACATAAATACCATATTCAAGAGCATATCAATTTTTTAAATATTATATATACAGAATGAATATCAAAAAAGCATTTATTTACTTGAAAATGATTATTTTACATGCATTCTTCAAACATCATGCATCTGTGCATTATTGGTTATAAAATGTTTTCGACTTGCAGTGATTCACAAACAATATGAAAAATAGTTATAGACTATTCTGACTCATGTTATTTAGCAAAAGCTAACTTTGTCGAGGCATTCAATAAGTTTCAATAAAAAAAGGTTGTTTTATATTTTGGACTAATTTCCACATAATATAAGCCTATTTCGTTGAGGCATTCAATAAGTTTTGATAAAAATGCTGTTTTTGACTCATATTTATATTACAAAAGCTTACTTTGTTGATGCATCGTCATTAGTGACTGCAACTACTATCTGCCCATCTTCCACTTGTTCAAGGAAGATCTCAAGCAAGCTACTATCTGAAAACAAAATTCAAAACATGATTTAAAAATTAAAATCACCAATTTCTGGAGTCCACTTTGGTTTTACCTAGGTTTCTCTCATTAGTTAAATGAAGTAATTAGAATTTCAATTCAATTCAATTTATTCAAAGTTCCATAATACAATATTTCATATAACATGAAAAAGGCATAACTATATATTCCATAGAAGAGATAGAGATGAGCTGAGTGAGTTTTTTTTCAAAAAATTGTGACAATATTTCAATATAAACATGCATTAAGCCTACTCACCTTGAGCATATGTGTCAAAGCGACCCAATCGTAGTATGTCTTTAGTGGTGGGGTCAACCACTGCAATGTTAAAACCTCTACCTGCATCATTCACTCCTTCCGCAAATACACTAGAATAACAAATAGGTCATATTAGAATATCAATTTACTACATTCAATAACTACTGTATTTACAAAATTCGATGACTTACTAAGTTAAAGGACCATTTAGTAAAAAAATGTAGTAACTTATCTTTGACAAGATATGGTTAAACATCATAGAGACGTTCCATCAAGCAAATGCTTTCCCTTATTGATGTTATCTTACTTTTTGAGAAAATGGTTTACTTAAAATTTGAGGAAAATATGTGAAACAACTTTATGATATTAAATAAATAATGAAAATGAATGAAAAAAACTTACTATTTTTCACTGATGCACATTTTGGGGAGTGCCTTGTTTCCTTGGCCTGCATTTATATGAACTGGGAAACTTGAGGAATCACAGGGATCTGGCATACCACAGTTCTTCAATTCGTCTCCTTTTTTAATTTCTTTACCAGCTTTAACATTGGCTTTTAGACCATCATCAACTTTGACTAAGTTTCCAACTGAAACAATCAACAAGGCATTAACATGCAAAATGGCACTACATGTCATTTGTTACAGACATCAAACTCAGCTGTCAAAAACAACCAACAAATGTCAACCAGGTCTATCTACAAGCCTCTGTGACCCCCACCCCCTCTACTTGACCAAACACCTTCTCTCACACTTGTGTGCAAGGGCTTTTATGTCAACTGCTTCTCACAAATTCACCTAACAATATGACGTTTCTATATGAGTTTAATTTTTAAATTACATCTCAAAAACAAGGAATCACATTTTACAGTTGCTGTATTAAACAGTTCCTTGTTTGTACACAGTAAAAGTGTGAAGAAATAAATATTTTGTCTAAAGTAGGTCATATATACTTACTGGGAATCTTCAAACAGCCACTTAGGTAAATGGGATCTGCGAATTCTCCGTCACCTCTCTTTCCAACCTAGAAAATAGTTATTAACTGAGCGACCTTATCAATTTTTATCATGTAGCTCATCTAATAAAAGCTCAGACCAGACCCTGTCTTTTAAATCTTAGATCAATTATATGTAATCAAAATCAAAAAATTGATCAAATGGTTTAAAATATAATACAAAAAAAACATTATAGAACAAAATATACAAGATCATAATTGGAATACAACTTAAAATATAGTTTGTACCATAAAAGACATCCATAAGCTATTTCCATCTTCTAATTTATTTCACCTTCACCAAATTAACAAACAATGAAACAAAACAATATTTATATGGCTTCATTAAAATGGCACACCCTGTATGTAACTGTCCTTGTGGATTCTTTTCTTGAATTAGTAAATTGCTTACATACATAGTTGAAGCTATTATTTTATAAAATTTCTAAAATGTGATTTTGTCTTTGTGGTTAGAACTTTTCTTCTACAAAGCCAATTTTGTATGAAGTTCTACTGATAAACAAGCTACAGAGCATTCAAATGTAATAGGGTAGTTGAGGATCAGAGTTATAGGGTGAGCCACTTTAATGATGATATAACTGCGCACCTTCTCCACACCATCGCCAGCTACTAGGCCTTTCTGACCAAGAAGAATGTACGATTCTCTATACAGGATATTGGTGATAGCCCCTGCACCATATTTCCTCAGGGATGTTTTGCTTTCTTCCCCCAGACTGCCGAAAATACAAGAAGCATGTATAGAAATACTGAGACACTCTGTAGTGGTGAAGCTTTGGAGAGCAAAATAGAAAAGCAGAGAGGGGATTCTGTTAAGATATTTAAACAGGTTTGATTTCTATTACTATTTTCTTAACAAAAGGCGATATAATGAAAGGCATTTCAAGTGCATATAACCACTAAAACCTCAACCGTAAAAATTAAGTTAAAGATCCACTCCAAAAATGAGGTATAACTACCCCCTCAGCCCCCTCACACACACAAAGGTATAAGGGCCCTAAATAATATATTGTACATTCAGAGACCTCTGGTGGCCATTCTCCTCCAATACTAGAATAAAATATAGCTGAAAAGTAACAACAAAGTTTGTGGAAACATTCAGCTATTCACCTAAACCTGCTTGCCATATACATAAATAACACAATATTAAAAAAGTGTTTATCAGAACACCTCTGTTATCTGAACACCTCTCAATGTGAACACTTTTCTCAGTCTCAATCTGCCATAGACCTCTATGTTTAAAATCTTGAAATGTGAACATTAATAATCTGGGGGTCATTAACAGAAACTTCGTAAAGTTAAGAATTCATAAAATCCATTGTTCTCTTAATGTGACATCATTGTATCCATGCTTACAACAATTGATTTATGAATTCGTAACTTTACAAAGTTTCTGTTAATAATTTTGTCAGGTCCCAGTGGTGTTCATTAAGACAGGTTTTACTGCAAACATTAGAATGGTTCCCATGCTAAATCAAAAAAACAATAATTCTTCATACTGTACAGGGTGCAAAAGTAGTTTAACAGTTATTCAACAATCTGTAAACTCTAACTGTAAACCTACTTTTGGCCCATCAAGTATTTACTATTTTAAAAACTAACCACCATGCTATTGTATAGATATGTATACATAGGCATGCAAATACCATCTGTTTGTGTGAGATAATGTTCGATGCATTGATACATTCATTGTTTGTATTGTACTACACATTCTGTGAGTTTCAAGATCGTTATCTAAATGTATTTAGAAATGATACACAGATAAACAGCCATTACATAGATTAAACTATAAAAAACAGTAATGTTGAAACACAATACCTTAAACCAAACAGATGATTCTTACAGGCAACAAAAATAAAACAAAAAGAAATTCCAAGAGCCATAGCCATTTCCCATAGTTCACCATTCAAAATGGCTACCTTATCTTCGGCTTGTTGAGGTAATAAACCCCTTTGGCCGGCTAAAATATAAGCATCTCTGAACTGGATGTCTGTCATGAGTTGCCTGCTTGCCCCATGGTTCACTAACCAATCTCTTCCCTCAATACTCAATCTAAAAATCATTCATGCAAGTTTGAGTTTTTTCTTCAAATCTGAGGCGGTATAGCCATGCTATATTAGCATCTAAGCATGGTGGATAAGATAAAAACTGTAATAAAAAAATTATCAACTTCTATGAAATACTTCAAAAAAAGAATGAAAAAACTTTTATCAGTAGCCAAGTTAATAAGGCACTTATTAAGGAGTCCCACGATACATTACAATATGTAACGATACGATGTGTATCTCGAAAATGAAGTCATGATAGAAGTAACGATACGATACATTATAAGTTAAATAGTCTTGAGGTACAGAGGGAGGGGGGTACAGCACTGTAACTGGGGTCAAGTCAGAGTTGAAAGTCTATCAGTTGCTATAACATTGATTCAACGGTAGTACAATAACTGTATGATGAAATATCGCAGAAGAAAATAATATGCAAGAGTGAATAGCCAACTATCAAGCCTACCTATGTATTTTAAATCAGCTATGCATATTTTTTAAACCATTTTTGGAATTCCATCCGTTAGTTTTTACCAAAGGGTATCCAAAGTTGTCCTAAATATATTTCTTTGGAGGGGGGGTGTTACGTTATCACAACTATCCATGCTTGGTACCTTAACATGTCAGCTATTGTAACAAACATGTTCAGAATTGTCTAATGTAAACTTCAAATGTACTACTTGGTCAAATATTTGGAAGATTTCAGCAAAATATGAGGTATTCTAACAATATTTTGGCGTATCGCAATTTAATCCTTGGTTCTTATCATCACTGAACGAGCAAGTACAGCATATCGATATATCAAGCAATCGTGGGACTCCTAGTGTTTATGCATTTCTAGATGTCAAGAATTAAAGACTAAATGAGCTCTGTTACCCTTGTAAAAATAGTGTCCGGCTTAATTTTAAATAAATAAATATTGATAATGTTTAACTATGTTTGGAAATAATTTAAGAACAAGACTCAATGAATTTTTAATTTTCAATTAATTGCATATGATTCTTATATACTGGCCTTAAAACTCTGTTGTTATGAAAGAGAATCTCATGCAATAAACCATAAACAACCAAGTTAAATATACATTATCATACCATATTTTATATGTTATGTATGAGAAATATTCAAAAATATTTTGTGTAATTGTATTTACAGAAATAGATTTTAAGGAAACAGGGAAATCTAATCCACCTACTTAGCTGTTATTTCATCCTGCGAAGCCACTAGTATTACATGGTGGTCCTTAACCTCTGTTTTCAGGTAGCGTATCAGTTCACTGTCTGAGACGTAGGTATCAAACACCTTTCTGTCAACCATCTTGCGAGACATATCTGTAAAAGCAATGTAAAAATGGGGTAAACATGCCTAATAGGGAGTGGCTATGTTAGAAATAATCAGTACTCGTTAATAATATAGCCCTTTGGAGCCTTGGGCTTACCATCAAGAATGACCATTCTAACTAGAAAGTGGCAACTCAACAGAGTAGCAAATCCAAATATTTTCTAAAATTCATCATTATTCAGGGTACCAAATAAGTCCTGTCCCCTCCCCTGCTACAGCTAAAACCTTAATAGATGGTACCTAGTGTGATATACCATTGGAAAGATCATCCAAAGTTATGTTAACTCATCAACTCTCAAGTATTTTGGATGAAATTCACCTATATTTTCATGATGTCCTTTATATTTAGCGTACCCTAAATTAAGCAGTTTTTTGCGTCAAAATTAAAAGGATATGACCTCAGAAATACGTCAAAAAGTTAACCTTTTTCACATTCCGCTTGTTACAAAAAAAGGTTTTCACCACTTTCCTTGCACCTCTATTTTCTACACATCTAACCTGATCCAAAGATTGGTTAAATTCATTGCCATTTACATATGTAGTCATCTTCAGGTCCTTTGACTTTTCATGTACACGATTCTTAAAATCCTGCAAAATACGCCAAATTGCCATGTTTCTGGGCCTATGGTCACCTCAATTGATACAATGTAAAAATTTGTGAGATTGATTGACATGTGTTGGATATATGCTAATCAACGTAACTTTGGAAGACCTTTCCAATGATATATAACACTTGGTACCATATATCTTGGTTTTGGCTGAAGAGGGGGGGACAGGACTTATTTGACACCCTGTATAACATTTTAGTATTACTTTAAAGAGATCTCGTAATAATTGAGATTTCTTGCATTGGGTGTCAATGTGAATAAGACAAATGATACTCAAAGGACACGTCTTGGTTTGGAGAACAGTCTACTGGGTTATTATAATTACTTTACTTCAAAGTCCAACATCAGGTGACCATTTTTGATTTTCTGAGGCACGAATCAGAAAAGCTAATTGGAATTTATTAATTGAGAAGGTCATACTTCAGAGAGATCTCAAAATGGTTTTACCATGAATACCATGTTAATTAGATTTACCATCAATGATTTCCACGTTAAATGGGCTTACCATCAATGACTACCATGTTAATTAGACTTAGCATCAATGACTACCATGTTGATGGCTTACCATCAATGACAACCATGTTAATCAGGCTTGCCATAAACGACTACCATGTTAATTGGGATTACCATCAATGACAACCATGTTAATTTGACTTACCATCAATGACTACCATGCAAATTGGGCCTACCATCAATCAATACCATGTTAATTTGATTTACCATCAATGACTATCATGTTAATCAGGCTTGCCATCAACAACTACCATGTTAATTTGACTTCCCATCAATGACTACCATGTAAATTGGGCCTACCATCAATCAATACCATGTTAATTTGATCTACCATCAATGACTACCATGTTAAAGGCTTGCCATCAACGACTACCATGTTAATTTGACTTCCCATCAATGACTACCATGTAAATTGGGCCTACCATCAATCACTTCCATGTTAATTTGACTTACCATCAATGACTACCATGTTAATTCCCCGGCCTGTGTTTCCTGACTTAGGAGTCATCAAACTGGAAAATAAAATAAAAAATGAAACATTTTAAAGACTCCATTCCACATATTGAACATATCTCTCAAGGTAATGACTGAACTCCACATAACATATTTAAAACTTTATAGTAATATATTGTTTATCATAAATTCATTGTATATCATTGCACGATTATGCAACTAGACTTCTCACTAACAGACTAAAACTACTACTACTTTTACAGAGGAATATAAAATGTTTCACAATATTGAAAGCATACAAAATATACTGAAATATTTCAGTGTGTGATGTACAGAATATGCTAATTATTCTAAACTGATAACAAAGTGAAATTCATTATAATACTGAATGGAAAATTATCAATGCAGGCCATTTAGTTGCATTCACTCTTTTCAAAGCAATATTAACTCAGCTTGTGAAAATCACCATAACTGCTAGGTTCTAGTATATTAATGTAACATAACAGAGTCTGTTAATTACTTCAACAATTTCATTTGGATTACTTGCTGCAGAGGTAAGCCAAGAAAGCAAGACATTATTCTTGGAGAATGCATCATTCTAACTCCTGTTTCACAAGACCAGCCAACGAAAACAATAACAGAACAAAGCAACATGACAGTGCAGTGAAAATATCTCTCAATAAGAAGCAACCGTTTAACTTACTATTCATCTTCAAAGCATATGGTAGGCCCGATATCCTTTCCCTCTCCTGACTTGATGTAGTAGGCATATGTCCCAGCCTCACAACCCTTGTCTAAACCACACTTCTTGGCTGAAAGAAACATTTATATACCAATCAAGCAGTGTTACATAAGTAAGAATTATGAATAACCTGACATGAGTATACCTTGACTCCACCCAGACTATACCTAGACTGCACCCAGGCTACACCTAGACTGCACCCAAGCTACACCTAGACTGCACCCAGGCTACACCTAGACTGCACCCAGGCTACACCTAGACTGCACCTAGGCTACACCTAGACTGCACCCAGTATACATCTAGACTGCACCCAGGCTACACCTAGACTGCACCCAGGCTATACCTAGATTGCACCCAGGCTACACCTAGAATGCAAGAAGGCTACATCTAAACTGCATCTATGCAATACCTAGACTGCACCGATTACACCTAGACTACACCTAGACTGCATCCAGGCTATACCTAGACAGTACCCAGGCTACACAAATGCATGAAGGCTACATCTAAACTGCATCCATGCTACACCTAGACTGCACCCAAGCTACAGTGAGATTGTACCCAGGCTACACCTAGACTGTAACCAGACTACAACTTGACTGCACCTAGGTAAAACATTAGGATGTTAAACCATTTAAACCAAAATGGTGCAACCAACAAATAACAAACCTAATTGATGTTAAAATAGTTAAAAGCATCTGAGAAAGAAATGTGCGATAATATCTAATGCAAATTGTATTGGCCTTATCTAGATTCTAAACAGAAGCTGTGCCAAATGGCCTTCGATTGATTAAAGCAGATTGTTGCAATGGCCTTTAATTAAAAACAAGAACTGTATAATCATTGCACACTTTGTATGGAAGCCATACAAATGAAGAGGTTGATCTAGTGTTGCAGAAAAACAGGAGACAGAATAGCAAAAGAATGAGTGATACTTCAATTTTTTTTAGAATATAAATTACATTCTACCATTTTTGAAACATTCACATGACAAAATAACAACATGAACAAAACTATTTTTTGAATACCATTCAGGAGCTCATTTTTCTTCAGTGTTGTCAAAATTCTTCTAATTTTGTCATAATTCTTCCCATTTCTGAGAAACAGCTCCAGTATAAAAACGAAAATAAAAACAAACAACAGAACAAGAATTTTAAATTACATTTGTTTGAATTTTACATTTTTACATTTTTTCAAAAATAAAACGACATGACAAGAAGTGTCAAAAGATCACAAACATGATTAAAAAGTAGTAATTGGAATACTTTTTCAAAATCAGTTTACCTGGAGCTTGTGGTTTAGAGTCCACTTTTTCCTGTTCTATTTGTTTCGCATCTTTTCCACCTTCTACAAATGGACATGCATGCAAACATGTCAATGCAAACATGACCACACAAAAACAAACATGTCAATACTAACATGTTGGCATGCAGGTTTTATTAAAGCCCATAGGAGGAAGGGATTTCTGGGGAAATCTGGAGTATAGTGTCATTCTATAGATTATAATAAATAGGTCAGTATTAGCTCATGTGCTAGAAAGGCTAGGGTAAATAATTAAAATGTTTAGCATATCATTCAACTTCTATTTTAAAATATAAATAATATTCCAGCAACATTTATGGAAAATACAATGTGATTCTGGAATATTTCATTTTCATTTCATATTTTATAAGAAAATCAAATACTGCCTTATTTCCACAATTGGTCACAAACTATGCTAAACATAAGACTTTCACTCTAGCCTTATTGCGTGGAAAAAGCAGTGTTCACTTAATTATGAGGGTAGGGTTGTACTAAAATCAATATTTATATCATATATTGACAATGCAGGGGTATTCCCAAGACCTAGAATCGGGTGTGGCAAATTTAGACTAGAGGAGGTACCTTCGCACTTATGATTTAGTTGAAAAAATCTGTAACATTTTGGTGATAATTAAGCGTTGAAGTGCACTTAATTAGTATGAGGGCAGGGTAATGCACCTTAAAACTACAGTTTGGACCATAAATAAATGAGAAGTCGATTTTCTATCACCATTTCAAACCATGGTGGTTTGAAGAAAGCCCATAGTTTCCAATATTGTCTAGATACAAATCCCCTAAAAATTGTTTAATTTACATTTTGTATATCCAATGATGTATGGCATCTTGAAAATTCTTATTTTAACATGGGAAATCCTTATTTCAGCAAATCCATGACTCATTCATTTATGGTCCATACCGTAGTCAAGAATATTAATTTCAAAAACACTTTTTGGATCACATAATTCCATATCATCCCTTTTTCTAAAAAGTCCAACATTTTTGATCTTCATTTCAAGATAATCATTCAATTTCAAAAATTGAAAAAAGAAATGACATCATTCAGTGTTAGTATCTACGGGTGATGGAGAGGGAAACAAAGGACGACAAATGGCAATAAAAATACTATGATTAGTACAAACAAGTTATTATAGAGAGGTTACAGTTATTATTTCCTGATAGAACAATTCAAACAACAGATAAAAAGAAAGATTGAGTATGAATTTCTTGTAGCATCATTCATGTAAATATACCAGGAACAAAACAAATCATGCAAAACAATTCCTTGCAATAACATAAGTTTTGTATGCCTTCCCCATGCCAAAATGATCTAATCCAATATCCATAAATTAAAGTTCTACGATCAAGTTTTCCCACAGGAGCACCATAGAAGAAAAATTGTTAAAGAGCCAGGTAAAAATATTAATTTTAGGTAAAGTACTTTCATACGGGAGTGGATGAAACTCCCTAAATGTCATAGCAAATGTCAACGTTTATAAGTTTAAACAAAGAGAGTGAGATATAGAGAGGGACCATTTGTATATTTACAAGTACTGTAAATTTAAAATTTGCTGAAAAAATATTTTGACCTGGCGCGCACCTCAAAAGCTAAAGGAAAAGAAATATTAAAGTTAAATTCCAAGTTTCATTCAAAATTTCATAAACATAGCCATTGTGAAGTTTCATTTAAAAGTCAACTTACGTGCTGGAGTTGCAGATCTAACATAATTGTCGATACGATCCTGAGTAAGCAGCCATGTGTCAATCAAATATATTGTCAAGACAACACATGACACCCATATAAGGAAGTTTTTTACACCTAAAAAAATAATTGATGTTTTTCACATTTAGTAATAATGCTAGAGATATCAGTTTTCAATGGTTTCCAAAATCATTCTCTCAAATGCTCATCAGATACTATTTCTGTAAAACATTCATGTTTGAAGTTTATTAATCCACTCATTTGCATGAACTTTCATTTTTAGATCTTCAAATCTTCTAATAAACCAGATGAATTCCAAACATGGGATTTGTATTCATGATAATCTATAAATCATATTCATTGATGAAGTGAATGTGTGTTATGCATAAAGGTATTAGTTCCATTACATCTCAACTTACTTATAATATCTTACCTCCAAAATAGCGAATGATAAGCCTGCGTAGGATTCGAATCATGTTGTCAATTGCAGGTGTCGAAGTGACGTATAATAGCCGTTTACCGAAGCTTCCATCAACACATGCTGACAATGATAAGATTGGGTCTGCTGTTTAATAACTTAGTGTAGAACAACCTGCATGCCTGCAATATTAAAATGTATTGGAAATTTATACTATCTGTAATATTAACTTGCTAATGTATCAATGTACTCTTGTGACCCCTGAAGCTGAAATGTAATCATTAAACTATTATATATGGTATCTTTCACAAACTGCTCCATACATCACCTGCCTCAAGTGGTCCTTGTAAAAATATTTACCGAGAAACCAAAATAGCAGTTTGGAATGAAGTTCACCAAGTTGCGCTCAAAATCTCCAAAGAAAAAATCATGCCAAATGTTTATACCTAAAAGTGCAGCCATTGGTGAACGTTAAAGAGATTTTGAACACTACTTCGTGAATTTTCCCCTATTTTGTTTTCACGGTATAAAATATTCCCTCGAGGAGAAGTCCTGATGGGCACACATGCAGCTGATAACTAAACTCACTCTCGCAAAGAGAGGATGGAGATGGAATGAACACTTCGAGATATAAAGTAAGCAGCTGATTTCAGTTTCTCACGATTATAAAACCAGTGAGAAGGGGCGTGTAAAGGCTTTCCTATCAGATCAGTCAGCCTTTGAAAGAGGTAAGCTAAGCAGCCACTGTTCTAAATAGCACTGGAAGACAAATACAGAAACCTCTCTAAGGAGCCAGGAGTTCTTTTATCTGCACTGATACCTACTACTAAGACATACAAGAACACATGAAAACATAGCTTTGTGTATGCGTACAAGTTGTTAACCACTCAGTTAAACATACTAAATCACAAATTTTTATGTTGAGACTTAAGACCCTGGAGTTATCTGGTGCCAGGACTATAGTCCTATGATTACAATATGGGAGACTTTACCACACCTTGCACACTTAAATAACCTACCTCAATAAATTTTTGAGTATTTTATGATTCTTTTTATGTAGTTGAATCCCTTATCGTATGGGTTTATTGGCAGAATGAGGACATTTTCATTTTTATTAGCAATTTTTGCATGTCATTAAATTTATTTCAAACGTCTAAATTGATCCAACTATTGGTACATCCATGCTATGCAGCATCAGACCCAGATGTTATGATGCATATCTCCAAAAGCAGTTTCATTTGTTGCGCATCTAGCTACCTCTCTGCTGAACTAATTCCCAGGGAAACCGGAACATATTTTATTCAAATTTTCTTTTTTTTCAAGATAATACTGAGACATATTTATTTGTATTTTATACCTTTGTATGGGAGTCAATGGAGATATATACACTACATATTCCTATATAGCCAACAAACGTTTGACATTAGAGGGGAATCCTGAGGACTAAAATTTGAGACTGCACAATTAACTGAAACTTTACAAATTAACCACTAAATTATTGAAATAACTCCATTTGTACATTTTTGGAATTGCACAAACAAGCAAACATTCTGATCTTTGAATTCTAGTTTGTTGTTTTTCATCACTTAATGTTTAGCGTTTTAATTTAAGGGGCGGTATTTTTCAATTCATCATTTTCATTGCATCATTCACCATGCTTGGTTTTTAAAATTTTAAAATTAAATTGAAATATCCGACGGGCAAGATCTAATCCAAGATGGCTGACTCCAGAAATTTGAATTATCGGCAATAGTAGTCAAAATAACCCCATGGTTGAAGTAGCCTCGTGACAAAGTCGGTAGAACTTGAAATATAAGAGTTACCTGAAGATTGGTAGTCTTACTTACCTTCAAGAGGTTACTACACAAATTTCCCTAGGATTTTTTTGGGGTGCAAAATTTTGTTGGCCTGAAAATCCTCCCCTCATTTCGCTCGCGTTGTTTCCAAATATAAACATGTAGCTCATCAATTGAAAATCCCTCTCGCCAAGCTAGACCCCTATTTCTCAACTTTCCAAAGAAAATCCAGGGTGCTTACTACATGATTTTATTTGTGCCCAGAGTCCAGGGCTAGTGTTAGATGGGGGTCTATATACTTTTCCCCTTTCATAAAAATGTGGGAAAATTTCAAACTTCTTGGATTCATTCTCAGGGATACTTTTGCAAGAGCATGAATTTTCTCAAATTCTAAAGAACATAAGCAAAAATGAATGGTCAAATATCTGCAGTTTAGCATATGACACAAATTGCAATTTGATACATTTGTGTGTTGAGCTTGTTTAATGGAGGACACTCACAGTCATATATAGAATATTGGGATTGTCCTTCCCTATCATAATTATTTTCACATCAGACATGGTTGGTTGACACATCGCCAAATTAAAGCTCAAGGGTCAACACCTTATTTTGTGATAGGAGCAACAGCTTCCTGGAAGCATGGGCCCATGCTGGAAGTCAACATAAGGAAAAATGGAAAGTCCATAAAGCATTTACACAAATTTCAATCAAGTACTGTACTTATGCTTCATCATGAACAATACAAAGGTGATAGAGTTTCATTGAAATGTGTATTCTAACCTCTAGAAGGTAAGTAAGACTCCCAATCTCCAGGCAACTCTTATATTTCAAGTTCTACCGACCCAGTCAGGCCATGATAAAAGAAGTAGCATTAGGCCAAGGGGTTAAGGGGTGTAACGTCGACACCATTTTGGGGTAACTTAGACATGTGGGGTAACTTCGACACCTTGTTGTTTAATTGCTCTAATTTCCGAACTTGGGGGAAGCCATGTTTTTTTTTCTCGCATGGATCGAGATGTCGCGAGACTTTAATTTTTCCGGATATCAAACATGGCGGAAAATGGAAATTCTACTTCTAATAAGTAAGTGTCGAAGTTACCCCGTCTCTTATGTCGACTTTACCCCAAATGTCGACGGTACACCCCTTTGCCCTAGTCATGGTTAGTATGTATCCAACAGACTGACTAGAAGTCAGTCTGTTATGATGTACTACTTTCCTGTGGAAATTGCAGTGAAATTTTTTGCACAAAATTATCAATTAGAGGAACCATTTCTTCAATAAAATAAGCATTCCAAATTTTCAATTAATTAGTAAGGTACAATTAAATGCAATAAAAAGTAACACAGCCTATTGTCAAGTGGAAATAAGGCTAGTTGAAGTAAAAATGTGCAAATTAATTTTACCAAATCGGCCATTTTGAATAGCACTTCCTATGTAAACAAATATTATAAATTACCAAACTTTAACATAGGTGCCTTATAGTCTGAATATAATTCAGACTAAATAGGATATAGTCTATACAGTAAAATTTTAAATGTTTGTGAGTACTTTGAATTTAGAAAATAAGCAATCAATTGACCAAATTGAAACAGTTTATGTAAAAATAGAAACATTTATATTTATCCCAACTTTTGTATATTTTAGTTTGTTTTGTAGTTTGGCTATCATATCTGTGTCCTCTCATATTTTGATACTTCTCTGCCATGTTATTTTCGGAAAAATTAACATGGCTGAAACTTTCTAAATTACAAAAGGCCACAGCTTTGCTGCATATTATACATTAGAGTCAATACGTCCAAATCCAAACAGGGGGGTAAACACGAACGGGTTCCAAATAATGGCAAGCAGATCATTGAATTGAATAATAGTACCTCTACTACCTCTACATAATATTTATAGCCTGAAAGATACAATATAATGATGTATACCAACAATCTTACAATAAAATAATCAATTATGATGATTTAGGTGTTCGGAATTACCCCCATGCTAGTGTTTGGAATTACCCCCACAAACTCTGTGGTTTAAATAAAAAGATGTCAGTAATAAATTATTTAAATTTGGGTTTCTTGATATGCAGGGGTGACAGGATCCAGTATCATAAGTTAAGGGTATCATATAATGATATACCATCAATCTAATAATTAAAACAATTAAGTTTAAGTTAAGTGTTTGGAATTACCCCCATGCAAGTGTTCGGATTTACCCCCCAAAAAAACTCCTGTTCGGAATTACCCCCCTAAAATACCTTGTAGTAAAAATGGAATAACCCAGATATTTTTTACAATTTTTCGTAATTTTTTCTGCAAATGCATTCTACAGTGGATAATACACATAATATATATAGAATCATAGCATAGTTGTGCAGTACAGCCAAGCTAACTACATTTTTTGATGGGGGTGTTTGGAAATAGACGTACTGACTCTACTATCTGAAATATACAAAAGTTAGGATAAATATAAATGTTTCTATTTTTACATATACTGTTTCAATTTGGTCATTTGATTTTCTAAATTCAAAGTACTCACAAACATTTACAATTTTACTGTAGTCATGGTGGACAAGATTTCTAAATTTCTGTCCTCATAATTCCTGAAAATGAACTTCAAAAGTAAAGATAAATTCTATGGCATATTATCAATATGTACTCTACCTTGTTGCCGTCCGGAATTTTACTGTATAATGTTGCACCTTAGTGGAATAAACGGCATGTAAGGTAAATATTTTTGGAAAGTAGAAAAAATGAAAAAATCAATCCCTGTTGTAATACGACTTCTGATTGGTTGATTTAGTAAAATCTAAAAGCTCAACTTTTTGGATTAGAGAAAAGTATTATTGATTTTATTTATCAATCTGTTATCAGTTTATCACACCATTTTGTACAAATGTAAATTTATTATTCAAATGCATATTATCTACCAGTTATTTTGTTGCAGGTTATAATTGGTGTAGAATGATAAGTGTATAACAAAGTAGGTTTGTCATTTCAGCTTCTTGGAGTTTAACATCTTGATACAACCTTGAACCAGGAAACCGAAAATGATGTCTTCAAATCTTCCATTTGAAGTCAAGAATTTCTGCAACTATACAAGACGATTGCGCCAAATACTTAGAGAAACCAAACGTTCATTTGAGGATATAAACTGCCATGGCAACTTTGAAGGAGGTGAGTGCTCGCTTCCATTCGAAATATTGGTTCAAAATTATGTTATTTCATTGCCTAATTTTTGCAAAAAACTTGGCTTGTTCTATTTTCTTTTTCATAGCTAAATAAAACTGAACTGAGCTGGGAATTTTGAGTCGGTATGGGGATTCCCTAACATTGTAAATTCATGATAATTATAGTGTGCATAATTAGGTAGAACCTCTGATCAGCCTTTGAAATATGTTATTGCATCCTACGACCCCTTTAGATTGTGGTCGTACGCCCGTATCATTGGTAAGCCTGTCTAACTCTAAGTGGATTCCCCAGATTATTTTACATTTATTTACAAAATGGACCCTAACTAGGGTATAATAACTGTTCTGTCATATTGCAATCGATTCGACATATTAACCCTTAGAGCGCTGATTTGTTTTGGACGTGCATTCCGTGGAGACTGACTTGTTTGGGGATTGATTCCTTTTTTCAGACATGCATATAGAACCTGATCATACCAGCTAATATCCGGAATGTGACGTCAAAGCGAGTAAACTTGCTCAGCGCACGTCTAGGGTTAATATATGATATTAAAAATGCATTATGCTTTCAAGTAATAAGCCCAAAAACGGCAATGTTATTGTATTTGATAATGAAAAGCATGATACATACACGGCAACATGCTGAATTAAGGCTTTGAAAAGGTGTCAAAAACACTTTGATAGTTATATACAACCTTTGAGTAAGGATGAAATTGCTGTAAATTGTAGAGGTACCATTCAAATAAGTGGCTGTGATTGAAAATTTCACGAGCTCCAATATTTAGCTGCAGTTTATCAATTTGAATTTAACCCCACAAATGTAGGGTTGAAAAGAAATTTTTCTTACAACCACAGGGGCCAATCAGGGGTTTCTCCACTTCACCAATCGAGCAGAGCTCCCATACATAATCCTATTTTAACTATTAATTTCTGAAGTTGTAATCTATATAAATTCTATTTATTCTTATTTTATATATTGACTTAAAATTGGCTTATTAGCCTCTTGCAAATTATTAATGTTGATGTAGATATTCTATTTTAACAATACACATGTAGATAGAGCCTAGATGATTGAATTCAGAATATTTTATGTTTTCAGAGACAGTTTCATATAACTCTATAGATACACCAATCAGCAGCTTATGTGAGTTTAACCAATGAGTAGTTTGTGTCTATATGTGTTCTCCAAAATGCTTGCTTATGATTTGCGTGGTTGTTGCTTTTCCTGCTTTTGTGTGTCATATTAACAATTGTATGTGTGATTAGTTTCATTACTCTTAGTCTTGGTAAGACCCCCCCCCGCCCCCCCCCCCCCCACCCCACGCTAAGTAAACAAAAGTTGTGTGTGAGAGTTTGTACAAAGTTACAGTTCGAATTTATGAATATCCCCCTCTCGATTGTTTTTTCCAGGGACCTAATTACAATTTTCAGGCAAATAAATTCTATAAAATGTGGAGAACTCATCCCTTGAGGACCATAAATCTACACATCTACATTCAAGTTCTCTTAAAAATGTGAAGCTATTAAACGATACAGGGGTGACATATTGTTATGGTCTCCGTTTTTTGTGATGGTGATCGGTGGTTGGCGGTTGGCATCTGTCAATTCTTAAAACTTCCAATAACTTAACAAATACTGTTTAGACTGACTCACTTTTTTCAAAATCATCTACAAGTGTTCAGAAGTTCAAATCTGACTTAAGATTTGAGATTTGACCTTCATTGACCTTCTCAAGGTCAAAAAAGGTCCAAAAGGTATTTTTTTAACTTGCTTCAAATTGACCTAATTTTTTTTCAAAATCATCTAGAAGTTCTCAAAAGTTCAAATCTGACTATAGATTTGACTTCAAAAAAGATATGACCTTCTCAAGGTCAAAAAGGTCTTTTTTCAACTTGTTTCAAATTGAACAGTTTTTTCAAAATCATCTCAGAAGTTCAAATCTGACTTTAGATTGGAGATTTCACGTTCAATGACCTTCTCAGGTTTAAGAAAAGCTCTTTTTTCAACTTGCTTATTGACCAATTTTTATTTTCATAATCATCTACAAGTTCTCAGAAATTCAAATCTGACTTAAGATTGAACTAATAATATTGTGAGCAACTAGGTGGTGACATTTTGTCATGTCATTGCCTTGTATGTGAAACATATTCCCAGTCACAGTCATTTTGTACATTTAGTCATTTTTGTAGGTTTAGTCATGAGCATGCGCATTTGTTATAATGTCTAAATCGAGAAGCCAACATTTGTTTTTAGATGACATTCTGTGTTTGTCTTTCAGCATCTGTAACAAATGGTTACACTTTATAGTTGCAACCAGGTGGTGGTACAATCACATTAATATCTTGTTTTATTTATTTGATCTAAGTATCTTACAATTAGTTTTATGACCATGAATTCCACTCTTGTGATCTGCAACATTCTTGCATTCATGTTGCTTATGTACTCATACTGCTTCTTGTGTATTTATATTTAATATGTACTGTACATGTACTGTACATTGTCGCATACTTTTATTGTTTACTCGTACAACTGTTGTACTTTAATCCTGCTTAATACCAATTATATATAGTTTGCTCATAATGTTTCTATAGTTTCCCCATTTGCTTTTATTGTTCACTCATGGTGTTTCTATTGTTCACTAGAACTGCTTCTATTGTTCACTCATTTGGCTTCTATTGTTCATGCATATCATAGTTATGCCCTACCCCTTCTTTCCTACAGCAGCTGACACGAAGTGTATTATGTGCAGTCCCAGAAAAGTGTAGATGGGTGAATTCCTGGGGAATTTTCTTCTACTTTGTTAATGTAGGTTTACTGGGATTATATAACAGTAATTGCCTAATCTATGCCTTATCTTTGCAATCTAAGCAAGAACATATAATTCTTTCACTTAATATTGAACTTGAATTAGTTCTGATATACAGTAAAACCTGTGTTAGTGAACACCTCTCTATAAGTGAACATATTTCTCTAGTGAACTCCTCTTCTAATCATATACTCCTCTGACTTCTGTATGGAATTCCCTCTATGTAGTGAACACCTACCTACTGTGAACAGATTTTTGGCTTCCTATGTGTTCACTATACACAGGTTTTACTGTATTTAAATTCTGAAAAACTAATATTCCTAATCTAGCAAGTATGATACTTGAATAATTAATTTTGATTATTTATTAATCATGGCAGAAAATATTAATCTTGGCATAATATTCAACTTGACCTCATATTAATAATGGAAAAATATTAATTGTGGTATTTTTGTTTTCAGTACAAGTCCTTTCAGCAGATTTGAGTTACGAGGAAGAAGAACAAATTGTATCAATCATCGACAAAAAGCCAAGTTTTCTCATATTTGGACAAAGCTGTTATGCCAAGGCTGTAATTGTCAACGAAATCTTTAATCAAACAATATTTCCGATATCAGACACTGTGAATAATCTGGAAACAAAATGGCGGAAGGTTCAGTTTAAATATGGTGATAAAGCAACGAAAAGTCTTGTTGCGGGAAGCTATGTATTTGTGGATAATCTAGCGTCTTTTAATAAACCATGGAGGACAATACCAACGGAGGATTTGATAGTAATCGAGGATTCTCAGCAGGATTCAGCGACATTGAGTGCTACATTGGAGGTCCAGATATGCCACCCTTTGTTAAAAGAGGGGGCTACTGTCTACATGGGGCCAACAAATATGAGTGACAATTTAGCAGATTTGTGTGCAAAGATAAGGGATGATTCTATACCGATTATAATATATGCATTGGACCAGGAGCAACTCAGCCCACAGGTCAGTATTCAACATTTTTATTATTAACTACCCTGATCTTCCCCTACCAGTTGCTTACTAAAACCAAATGTTGTGGTAGCAAAATTTGTGGAACATCATTGGTTCTGCCAAAACAGTGTTCTACTCAGGGGGTGTTCCACTTTTGGAGGTTGACTGGCATCAAAGGAATTTCAAGAAATACAAAGACAAATACTGTAAAACGGGTAATTTTGACACCGGAAATTTTAGCGATTTTTCAATTTTAAGGGGTTTTAGCCCGGGAAATTTTAGCGAAATGACGATTAATCTTTAAAAAATCAAATTAGCGAAATGCATTAGAAATTTTATCATTTATGGCAGAAGAATGAATAACGGACATGACAGAGGAATTATCAAAATGTCCTTAAATACTAGTATTCATGTAGTTTCCCGGGAATTTGCAAGGGGGTCACTTTTCAAAATATTCCAGGGGGGTTTGACAACTTTTCCCCAAAATCACTTGAAAAGCATTCAGAATGATGAAAATGGTGTTAATTTTTTGTGATGGTGTCTTCAAATTAGGAGGTGTTCCATTTTCACAAATTCAATTTACATTAAGCCATTATGGGTTTTAAAAATGACACATTGAAAGTGTTCTATATTTTTGAGTTGATGTTAATAGCCAACAGATCAGGAATTGAATACTATTTTATTGTCAACCATTGTAAGGAACAATCTTCATTTAAAGTTTAGTTTAGTCTAAGTTCTAGATGAGACAAAGGGCCATTGCAAACAGTTTCAAAGATCTCCACATCATACATGTCCCACTCACAACCACTTCTACATTTAGAATGTCTGATTACATTCTTATGTCACCACCACAAGTGATGACATGTTGTTATATAGTTGCTAACTTATTATGGACAGTATTCGGCAGTTGGCGGTCAGTGGTTGGTATTCGGAGTTCACCATTTTGAGTTTGGCATCTGTAACAAATGGCAGGTGGTGATATTTTGCATGTTAATGCCTTATTTTTACTATAATTCCTAACAAGGGTGTTTCCTTATATATTCTATATATCTACACTAAGCCAGATGTTGCCATCCTATGGGTTTAACCTTATTTAAATTGGATATATCCCAGCTTTTAACAAAGGCACCAAACCACTTTTGATACACTTAAACCTGTTGTGTTTGAACTTCCACTTGACCCAAATGAACTTTACAAGTTTTGAGAATTTATTGCATAAAGATTTTAAAAGTACACAGAAATTTGATACTGGCAAATAATGTTACATTTTTTCAGTCTTCAGCATGCCATGTTTTATACAATTAAATGCATCATTTGATTTCAAGTAGACTTTTATTGAGGCATTTAGAAAATTATAAGTGCTACAATATTTTTTATGAAACCTAAAATGAGTGGAAACAAGAGATGAAACATAATTTTTGATTGTTTTATTTAAATAAGGTTAATGAAGTAAATGGTTATGGGAGGAAATGTGATAGATAGATGTGTAGTGAAACTTGTATATCTGAACAATTCTCGAATCTAACAACTCAAAGTAGATGCTTTTTGGTCTTACTTTTTTCAACTGTCATGAACTTCCATGTTGTTGAACATATTTGGTCAGCCCCAGTGGTGTTCAGATGAGATAGGTTTTAATGCAGCTTTGCAGGATTCACCAAATCATTTTAGAAATAAACTTTTAAATTATCAAAACAAATTGAAGTGACTTATGAAAAGACTTGTTCATCCTTTAAATAAATTAATTTTAGTTCACTGTCAACATTCTTATTTTATTGAACTATTTTTTCTAATACAGGAAAACCTGTATATTTGAACACCCTGTCTAATGTAAAACATCTCTGACAGATGCCATTAACTCAAAGTATGAACACCTGCTAAGCTCAACACTTGCTGCCCAGCAGTGTGGTTGGTCCCAGTGGCACTCAGATTAGATGTAGTATTTTATTGAATATTATTGAACATTATATTTTTGATTGAACCAGTTTTTCTGAATTTTACTTACATTCTTGATTTCGCGAAGAGTAAAATTCTAATTTCATCACTGAGTGTCATCAAATATGATAGAAAATAACACCCGCATGTGACTCCATGAGCATAAAATGAGATTTCGAGATGAATCACAGTCCCGTTTTCTGTAAAATCTGTTAAATGTGTAGGTTTCACTAAAGTTCATGTATGTATTTTAGAAGATATTTTTCATTATTTGAGAATCTGAAAGCTTCTGAGTGAGGGATGGGGCCTATAAAAATGTCAGTGTGACTTAAAGGTTGAATAAATAGTGCAGAGACGTATCCAACGATCATGGTCCTGGTGTCAAAATATATCGAATTTTGAATATTTCATCAAGGCTAACATCTATTTTCATTAGCTACAAAGAAAACCCCCGAACGTACCTAATTTCTGCCGATATTCACAATCACTGGCATCCTAAATCCCCGGGAATCTTCTCCCGACATCGAGGGAAAAAATGCTCACGTACCTTTTTAATGATTTCCCGGTTATATTGTCATTGGATTCCAGCCCCGTTTTCACCTAACGTTCTATCCAACATTCTGTTTCCTTTATACCATGCGCGTGTCAAGAAGACCTTGAATATGGGCAGATTTGAGGTGTTTTAGTCTTAGATATTTTTTGATTTTTCTTCGTCAGTGGATCAAATCAACTGCAAGAGTCGCCGGTAATAGACCGTCGACGGCGGTCATATCGTGTACCATGCATACGGTTATATCAGACAACCGCGGTTATACTGTAACATGCGGTCTTACCTATCTCAGCTGCAGCAAGAATTTTAAATGGCGGAGATTTAGAAATGTTTCAAAAAACAAAATGCGGGACGTCCAACCTTTCAATTGCTTATTTAGAAGTATATTTGCAAGTCTGATTGGTGGTATTCGTCGACAAGTGCATATATTTTAAGAAAATAGGTATGGCGAAGAAGACATTAGGCCAAACGTTGCACTAATACCTCGGGAAAGGTAAAATGACTCCCAAATTTCCTCTATAGTCTTTATTCAACCTTTAATTAATTTCTGTATTTGAACTCAGCTTTTCGTCTTTGGAATGTTTTTGCCTTTTATTTTATCAATTGAACAAGAGATCTCTTTCAATGCTTCAAAATACTTTATTCAATGTACTAAAGAAGGAGGGGATCTATTTGGAGAGATCACAGCCTTCTATTAATTCCTTGCTAGAAAGCTACATGTAGTTAGAAAACAGAAAGATGTGATGAGTATCAGATAGAAGGGCTCAAACTATCCTCATTTTGTCAAATCTGTATCTTTTTAAATACACTGCTTTATATGAAGTCCATTAAAAAACAATTTTACATGAAGTTAGTAAATCATTAGACTTTTTAAAACTGAGTCAAAAGGCATTCATGAAATATTGATATTTTTATGATCTGGTATGTGGGTAGGTGTTTTGACCATTAACCTTATCCATTTTTTCTATCATTTGGGTTTTAATATATGATATGTGTTTCACTTGTTTACTTTACCAGTTAAATGCACTCTGACATAGCATTGAAATATACAGTTGTATATGAGGTGAATCAGATGTTTGGCATTAAAACATTTTAATTAAAAGTGACAGAGGGTTATTCAGACCATAAAAAACTACAATGATCTGTTTATTGCACCATCAATCTTTTGATATAAACTTTATTTTTTTCCAAAAATGTCAGTGCTTGGAAAACTCTAATCTGGTAAGCAGCTGGACATGAGGTCAAATTGAATTTTCCTCATCTGACCTTTTTAGTACCAAAAGGCAATTTACAATTTTACATGAACCTGTAATTGTCCCAAAGAACAAAGTTCAGGAGGGTCATAGTGAAGCCCTCCGTCAGTCTGTCCGTCCGTTACATAACTAAAGTAAAAGTTGACGGATTTTCTTCATATTTTGTGGAAAGATGTACATTGGTTAATAGTTTTACTCAAAATGGCGTATAGCTTTATTATACTCAAATGAAAGACAATTTAAAGTACAGTAAAACCTGTCTAATCTGAACGCCCATGGGACCAGCCAAAACCGTTCAAATTTTGAGGTTTTTGTTAGTCGTGGGGGGTTCATTGCCCAGTCCACTATATTGCACACTTAATACTAAGTCAGAAAATGCATGTTGTTGATGAGTTTATTCTACAATAGGCCTCTAGCCTATATGTTATGTTTTATTTACATTTTGAACAATTTCATTATTTTATAAAAAATAACTTATCTCTTGGTAAAAATTTTGTAATATACTGTATATTTAGTATATGATAGTCTCGTACGAAATCCTAATCAAATGACTTATCCCATATTATGGTTATACAGCACTGCTTTACTTTTGCTTGGAAAAGTTGTTCATTGTTGTTTGTTTTTTGGCACTTTTAGCATTAGCAATATTTGAGTAGATTACATCCTCTTCAAGTAACAAGAATTTTTCATGAGTTTTCATTCGAGATGATGTATAATCCTTCAAAATATCAAGGGCATTCAGGATGTCAGATGTATGCCTTTTTAGGAGGCATTTTAGTGAAAGGTTATTACGAAGTTGAATTTTTTTCTTTCTCGTTATACGATTGTCTGCAAATGTGTCTGTGTTGTATTTGTGATTATAAAACATTTAATGATTGAATCTTAGCTATCATAACAGACCCATGGGATATAAAACAGTTAAGGCCTGCTCATAATCCAAATCAAAAAAAATTCCAATAAGGATAAACCGATTATCTCCTGGATTCACACCCTTCTCTTAATCATGGGCTTTCAATTAAAAAGTTGTTAGTTGAAAGCCCATGTCTTAATTCAAGAGAAAGCCCATGAAAACACATAGTGATAATTAAACATCATAGTGTGTCCCTTTAAATTGTATTGTTCAATGTAAAATGTCTGATTCAAATTAGGATGCTATCTAGAAATATAAAACTTCATTGGGTGATCTCCATTTAAAAGTATATTGTTTACATCTTAATGTACACATTTCTATGATTTACAAAATGAAAAGATGATGTCCCCCAAAAATTATTAACTTAAAACATGTTTGCAGATGGCTCAATACTTTTTGAAAAATGAACCATCATTTACAAATGTCATGTTATCGCTTGACATGTTCTTAACTATTTCAAATAAACAAGAAACTCCATATTATGAAGCTGAAATTTTGAGTCTCACATAGCTTGAAAAAATCTAACCTAGTATACAGCTGGACAGATCATGTACAGGACAATTTTAATTCAAATGTGTAAGTTTAATGAAATCTTGGTCACTATGTCTCACAACTTTAGACGATATAACATCAAGGTGAAGTTTTTGATTCATTAAAAAGGTCTGTGTCTAAAAAAGGACCATTGCTTATTGATCACCCCTCGTATATTTTCAGACAATCATGTACATTCAATTCATTCAAAGGGTCTGTGTAAAGAAGTGTCTATTACATGTATATTGATCACCCATTGTATGTTTTCTGACAAACAATTATATTAAGTTTATGCATTCTTACACAAATATCTTGTACAATTAATTATATATTTTCAGGATCTAGAAGACCTTTCAGATCTAAAAGAGGAAGATGCAGTTGTATTCTTCATCAAAGTTCCGCCTCCTGGCAACCATGATACAACACAAAATTGTGACTCGCAAACAGCATTAACAACATCTGACATTCAACCTTCTACCTCACAAACTGGCTTATACGGCAACGAGAGCCCGAACTCTTTTAGTACTTTGAACCTATTTCAGCAGCTCTGTGACTTAGGATATATCAGTATGCTTCCAAAAGAGGAAGAAAAACGACGACCGATAAGTTATGACTACAGAACAGGGTTAAAATTAGATAGTGAACTAGTTGAAAAGTTTGAAAGTTGTCACTTGTTAGTTGATTTCACAAGACAATGTTTGAAATCCAATTTAGCCCAGGTGGCTGCGAGACTTAATTACATACATGAACGATGCCTAAAAATGTTTATCTATACTGCATTTGATATGGCAAGAGACATGCTTATAACGCCTCAAAGACTGAAATTTGCCCGAGATAAAGAGAGTGAACTGTACCAATCATTGATGGATATAGCACTTAAGAAGCAAGATGAAATGAAAACATTGATAGCTGATACCATCACTGCTATGAAGGAGACTCTCATTGAGAAGGCTTGTCTCTATGACTTTATAGGTAGGAATGTATGCCTTAATATTAAAGTGATTTGGGCACCTGTTGGGGCATTTTGGCTGAATTTGGATTAATTTAAGATTCTTGAATCTTTAGGTTACATTTTTTTAAGTTATGACATTGAGTCAGTGTTGTAGGGAATGGAGATAGCCAGTGGCAGTGAGCCTTGATTGGTCCGCAATATAATTGAACAAACTTTGCTCTAATGAATGATTATTGCCGGGATTATTGATTAAAGGTCAAAATCCAGCTGCCCACTCAAAACAGCATTCACTGGTTTTGAAATTTTTTTAAGTGGTCAGTAGTGTTTATTTTATTTTGAAACTGATCAAAGGCATGTATAACTACCTTAAGGGTATATCAATCAGTTAGTTGAAACACAAAGCTTCTTTTCTTTCCATAATGATTTTTCATTGAATATTTTAATCCTCTCTGTATTGTGAACAGGATAACCTTATTTGATAAATCTTGTGTATTATTTTTTCAAGGTGTAAAAATGACAGAATCATGTGAAGTGAAAACATCACGTGATTTGAAGATTTGTACAGGGCAGATACAAGAGTTGATTCTTAACAGTCTGAATTGCGCTATTGCTGCCAAACTAGTGGAATCTATTGATATTTTGAGAGACAGCTACACAGGTTGGTCAGTTATGTATAATAAGTATAGACTCCAAAGTTTGGTCCCATTTTTTAAAGACTCATAAATGTACGATGGGTGCAAATTATTATCACATTGCAAAATTAGAAAATCCCCACAGAGTTTGTTAAAAATGTTGTTTGTGATACAAAAGGAGTTGAGGACTATGACAATGCTAAAGAGTTTAAGTCACAGAGAGAGGTATGTTTTGAGACAGACAGACAATATACCATTATAACCATATGTCGCACATATTTTAATAGGCACTCTAACCAGATGTCTTGAAAGCCTAGAAAGAGACAACAGTGAGAATTCAGAGCCATCTGCAACCACTGAAGCCTTGAAGCAGATTCTTAATACAGCTTACCAGGTGGAGATCACATTTAGGACTAGCTCTTCTGTTGTAAGAGTCCTACTGGAGAAGATGAAACAGGTACTTGTATACAGGGTGTCAAAAGAATGGTGGCAAACGGAAGGAGGGTCTGTACAAATTTACCAGGTGTCACCAGGATATCAAATTTTTGTCTTTTTCTACTTTAAAAAATGATGAGTTGAAATTTCTTTATAATGATATTACCTTTTAATAGTGACCACTCCTGGTCAACTCTTAAATCTCACATTCTCTAACCCAGAAATCAGAAACAACTGGCTTTTACAATACCACGGTCTTAATTCAATCCCATAATAAAGACAAAGGCAGCAAATCCATGAAGTAATTATTTAATTCTATATATCCAAATTTTAGATTATAAAAACTATGCCATGGAAGACCACAACTAGGATAGACACTCATTGGAAACAGAAGGTGGCAGATGACATGTTAAACAGTCTAAGTTCTGCCAGGTAAGATTTGAGCATCATATTTTTATGAAATTATAACACTCATCTACTGTACTTTTCTGTACTTCATGTACTTGAAATTGTTTCAGTAATCTACATTACAAAGAAAATGCATTTGAAACTTGTCTCAATCAAAATTTTTTGAATTCTAAAATTATAACTGATTTATTCAAAATTGTCTCTGTGTTAAAATTGGATAACCTTATATATGTATACATGTACATATATGGACTTTCATTCCTTTATTTCAGACTTGCTAAAAGTATATGCTCCCAGATCAAAGAGAGGCTAAAAAACTCCCATGATGCATTTTCATCATCGTTGAAGCAACTGGAAGCAAAGCATTCTGGGAGATTAGAAAAAACTGAAGAATCACGACTCAAAGTGCGTAAGGTCCATGCTCCTAAAGTGGCGAGACTTGCTCTGGAAAGTACCTCTCTCAGAGATATTATACTCTATGGTGAGTAAATACTTGTGCCAACTGTAGTAGTGGGTCTCTGAATTTCTTGTACTTCATTGCCCATGCAGCATTTAAGAATGCATGGAGGAACAAGTTAATTGTCATGAATGATGAAACTTTAAAAAGAGAGGTAAAATAAGAGGGCAAAGTTGTAAATTTATTTTGATTTTTGACTCAATCATGAGTCTATGGAATCGCCCACTTGTATAAGTGGGTGCTGCTATTCAAAATTCAAATTGGCACTCAGACCAGCCAAAAGTGTTTGATTGGTAGCTGTTTCAAGTTTTTATAGCATGGAACTCAATGATAAATTAAAAATGGCACCAAAATAGTGTGCATATATAACAAATGCTATTGAAATTTGTATTTTAGGAATGCCAGACATGGGAAGAGAGGTAGGAAGGGGTCAGTACGGAGTGGTCTATTCCTGTGAGAGATGGGCTGGATATTCACCATGTGCAGTCAAATCTGTAGTTCCTCCTGATGACAAACATTGGAATGATCTTGCACTGGAGTTCTACTACACAAAGTATGAACAAATCATTTTTTGCATGCTGGGTAAATTGTAAGGTGGTCATTTTGGATTTCAATATGTAGGAATTGTGTCTTGTGGTTTCTGCAAACAGATCTAACTGATAAGCTCCTAAGCTGCCAACAGCCTGAGCGTTGCATAAAAACATGTATATTAAACCCAATAGGGTTAGTAAAGTAATCATAAGTTCAGATTCTGTTAAATGAAAACATTTTTTATTTAGTGTACATACATTTTTACACAGAGTGTTTCATAATGGCCATCATCGACCATCAATCTGAGATGGCATACCCCCATGTGTATGAAAGCTTGTTCATTTGTATGTAGTGCCATTTTGACATTTACAGACATGTACCAGACCATGAGAGAATTGTTGCATTGAAAGGTTCTGTGATTGACTACAGTTATGGTGGGGGCACCTCACCTGCTGTGTTACTTATAATGGAGCGGATGCAGAGAGATCTCTACGGAGCTATCAAAACAGGACTGGATTGGTGTGGAAGGTATGGACATTAGCTCTTACGAGGTCAATTTGTTCTTTGTTAGTTACAAGTGGTTGTCTGTCATAGGTTTTCTTCTATTTCTTTGTACATGTAGTACCATTACAAATTATTGTAAATTAATTTGTACTTACTTTCAAATTTCCACTCTTTTTAAAATGATTTTTAACAGGACTGCTAAAATCGTATGCCAACTACTGTATATTTATTTGCAGGCTCCAAGTGGCCATAGATGTAATAGAAGGAATGAGGTTCCTACACAGCCAAGGTCTCGTGCACAGGGATATCAAACTAAAGAATGTCCTGGTATAAATCTTTGAATATTACAGTATATTTCGCAAAGATTAAGAATGTCCTTGTATAAGTCTTTGAACATTATTACAGTATGTTTTGCAAAGATTGAAATAGTCAATTTTATGACATTTGAATTATGCGACAAAACAGCACATGGTCTAACAAGATCTTAAATATAAATTAGTTTTCCAATAAAATATTTTATAACTACTATGTAATATTGAAAATTATAATTCAATTTTAAAACACTTACTTGATATTTAAATAATACATAAAGTTGCCATTGAAAATTTGTGTATCATTGGAAATATTCATGTTAATGATCAGGCGAATTCTTATTGTGAATTGATCTATTGTTCAGCTTAGCATTTTTTACTTGTGTACCTTTATAACTAAACATGCTGCAATTCTCTGCAAGTGTATTAGGTTACTACAAACAAAAAGAAATCACATAAATATTTTGTAAATAAATATCTGCTATTATCTGCTTATAGCTTGACAGGAGAAATCGCGGGAAATTGACAGATTTGGGATTCTGCAAGCCCGAGGCCATGATGAGCGGCAGTATAGTAGGGACACCTATACACATGGCACCAGAACTATTCAGTGGCAAATATGATAACAGCGTTGATGTCTATGCATTTGGGATATTATTTTGGTATGTCTGTGCTGGACATTGTCGGTTGCCCTACGCTTTTGAACAATGCACAAGTAAAGATCAATTATGGACACACGTCAAGAAAGGTAATTATTTGTTTCTGTAAAATCTTTGTATGTTCATCAGTCTTTTATTTCCATAAACTTTTTGTAAATGCCCTTTAGAGGTCTTGGAATTTTGTTGTCCGATTTTGTATTGCATATTTGTTAGAAAAAATAGTTTTGTCCAGTGGATTGTTTTATTATGTCACCACTACAAGTTTTGACATACTATTTTTATTTTACATCTTATCAGCCTAAAAACGTGGGTATGATCGATTTGTGTCCGATTTTTTTAGGGCCGTGAGTCAGATCAGGTTTAATAATGACAGTCAATGAGTGAGGATGTTGACCATAAATAAGCCAATATTAATTGCCCAATATCATTTAATTCCTTAGACTATGGTCATTGAGATTTATCAGCTCACAAGAGGGTATAATTACAGTCACCAAGCCTTAAAGGAACATTCCTTGCCAGACTATTTCTCTGCTGATATGGTAGCTACAACCATATATATACTTTACATATTTAGCAAAACACGGGAAAATATTTTCATATGGTCAATATTGATCATTTAAAAATGTAGTATTCATTCCCAGTAAGCTGCCATCTTTTCAGATTTCTTTCAGGAAGTGATGTCATTGACTCTCACCTGTTATAACCTTGTCTATTACAGTATAGGAAAGAAGTACAAAATCACTTCTACACAAGAAGACCTTATCTTCTGTGTAAAAATATTTTCAGGAGTTGTCAACTTAGAACTAAAGAAGAGATCATCAAAAGGATTTTAATCAGACCAAATTGAAAAAAATACTCAGCTGGTTTAGTAATTCTAATAGCTCCTTACCTAATGTTATAAGCAAAGTTGAGAGTCGATGACATCACTTCCTGAGTGAAATTTTAAAAGATGGCAGCCTACTGGAATTGAGCACTACATTTTTAAGTGATCAAAATTGACCATTTCAAAACATTTTTCTGTTTTTTGATAAACTTGCAAAGTATGTATATGGTTATAGCTACCATATTAGGAGAGAGATGGTCTGGCAAGGAATACACCTTTAAGGGTATCTTACCTGTCTTGTATACATACAACATATATATTGTATACATATACTACAATATGGTTTAAAAAATTATTTTCCAGGTGTACGACCAGAACGTCTTCCACAGTTCGATGAGGAATGCTGGGAATTGATGAATTCTTGCTGGGCAGGGGATGCTGGGAAGCGACCTCTTTTAGGAAATGTCCAACCTCAACTGTACACAATTCTAGAACGCTATAGGGGAGCACCACCCTCTCAGTTTGAGAAAATTCGCAATAAAAGTCGGTCACCCAGTAAACAAAGGTTAAAACCGACAGAATTTTGACATGTACAGGGAGTAGGCAACTATTATGATGTGGAGGTGGATTTGAGCGGATCAGTCAGATTTTAAAACAGATATATCTGTAATTTATATTATGTATGGGTTCTGTAGATATAGATATTATTGAGAAAGTGAGATACTTAAGGTGCCAATTGACTCAGAACTTCTTTACCTCTGAGGGACTGGATCAAAATATCAATATTTTAACAAAATGAATTTAATTAAGTCTTCGATAACCCTCCCCTGTTCATTAAATCTTATAGCAGTGATCTCCCCAGCATTAAAGCAAGTAGGCGCAGCACCCACCTTTGATTTAAAAAAACAGGCTTGCACCCACCTGAAAATCCATTTGCACTCCCTTGAAAATGAGAAAACCATGAAATATGGGCATATTTTGACCAATTTTGGTCTGAATGAGAATTTTGCACCCACTTGAGAAAACATCCTGTGGAGAACACTGTAAAGAATATTGAAGTTGTTAACTCCTATTTAATGTTCCGTGATATTTCAATAATAAATTCTGTTTTTTACCCCCACTCCTCTCTTGCATAATTATTTATTATAAAAATCACACATTGGTATTTGAGCCAGTCCCTAAGTTGTACAGCAGTTATCATCAAAATTGTTATTATCTCAGCTTATAAAACAGGTAGGGAGATGAAATGTCATTTATTAAAACAATTTAATTGAAAAAATGGATCATAAATAAATGAAATTATTCTTTTGAAGATTGTAATGCTATACATATTAGCTGCAAATCCATGAACTGCATTCTCAGTTTTATTATACCGTTGCCTTTGAAGAAGTTTGGTAATGACCACATATTTTTCTTTGCTTAGTTGGGTAATATTTTCAAAATGTTCCCCATTGTTTATGATTTCAAAAGCATGTTCCCTTGACAATGAGAACTTCAGAAATCCAAAACGCCAACAATCAAAAAAATGAAATACCAAAAATAATGAAATTCCAAGTTTGTCTTTTACTAGAATATTTTGATGCATTATTTGGTTCAAAGTTTTCAATTAAAAAACGACCTCTCCCTCCATAAATGTTCTTCAGCTGCATTTCAGTCAGACTTCAGTGGTGCCAGAGGCAATATACTACACTAGTATACTTTATTTCAACTTAATTGAATTATTTGCCATGTTTTGATAGATTTGGGCCAGATTCTTTTGTAGTACTGTCAGTTAGCTCAACAATAATTTTTCAAGATGAGCCACCATATAAAATTTCTAAAAATGACCAACCTTAAACCTTCAGAATGTTCTTTATACAAAGGTGTACCTGCTTTCCTGTACTTATCTGAAACTACTACAAAATGATCTGGCTGGAATCTGTGTTTTGAGAATTTAATGTAAAATTGGGATCTTTCAGACCGTAGGACAAATATACAATAGATATCTTGTAGATATTTTCATACATCAGTAAAGCTTTGAATTGATATCTTCTTACTCTTACTCATTTGCTAACATGCCAAAATGAGTAAAATTTCATTATGTTTACCTTGGGAGTACCTCAGAGGTTTATAAGCTTAAAATTCAATCCCAAATAGTAAAAGGAATTTATAGAATCCAAGCATGAACTATACTTATTATTAAGCTTGTGTGATGAATTTGCATTTTCCAACATCTTTAGCATTGGTATGCAATATATCCAACCCTGATGTTAAAGGTGTCTATGCAATTCTTTTATTAAGGGTGTTCATGTTATCCTTTTGTTAAAGATGTTAATGCAATCCTTATGTCAAAAGTTTGTATGCAATTCCTATGTTAAAAATTTGAACTAATGACCAAGAATACTCATTCTACCTGGGCTCCTTTGAGTACCAGTAAATAAAACTAGATCAATTCACAAAGTGTACCTGAATTTATTAAATCAATAGACTTGTCTTTATAAAATGTAGGTTGAAAAGATTACTTAAATCACAATATTACCAGAAATTGCAAAAGCAATTCTTTACAGTGAATTGTACACACAATGTAGTAGCGCATGTACAATCTTTGAGATATGAGACATAAAATAAGTCCTATGTTCATTATATACAAGTGTATAATTACTATTACTGCTCAGCTCTGACTTAAAAATGCTTAATCTATGATGTGTATATTTTCTTGGAAATTCATATCTGAGATTCTTCTAATGATGTCCAATTGAACATAAGTGCCCATGGGCACTAAACTGAAAGCTTTTGATTTCATATATGTACTTCCCATATTCAACACTCATCTATTACTATGTTAACAATAAAAACAATTATGGTTTTGAAATAATGTTGCAGGAGATCATGTATTGGAGTTTCTTACTAATACTCTCGCTGAATGTTTATTTCCCATGGGTGTTTATTTGAGTCTTTTCAAAAAAACACAAATGGGCTTTAAAAAGGGTGCTGAAAATGATGTACCCTTTTTTCAATGGGCATATAAACATGAAACTCTCTTAGCCCATTCTGTACTGAAACATTTTTTCACAAGAAAATCATTTAGAGGGGAAGAGCATTTATTTGTACCCTCCATGTAAATCCAGGATGTCATTATGAGAGTCTCAGGTATAAGTATTCTGGACACTTCATGAATTTATAATTATGTCTACTCCCGCTTATCCGAAGAATAAAATGTTTTTATATCAGTAATATTTGTTTGTAGATGTGACGAATATCTTTCCATGTGTGCACTGCCTTTAAAAGGTGTTGTGATGTTATAAGTAAAATGTCTGGGTTTCTTTGCCAGCACATTGTATCAATGATATTTCACGTTTTCATGAATGAAATATTTTGTTTTTCCAGTCATTTTTACCAGTGATTTGTATAAATATTCAATTTATTATGTTAACAGAAAAGAGATAGATGTGGCTAAACTAATAAAGCACTTGTTAACAGCTTTTATTTGGTGTATAACAATTCAGTCTTTCATTAGTTACTCATGAAATCTGACCCAAATCAATCTAGAGTTCAGACCCTAGTTAAAGGCAGAATCAGATCTAAAGGGAGTGACAAAGTTGCAAGCAATATCGACCAATGTATTCCTTACAAGCTCAAATATAATATCTCCCAAAAGATCTGTGATATGTTATCGATTGGTGAAGTTGTTTAAGATTCAAAGTGCAAAAATTTGGGAAAAATAGTTAAATTCTCCCAAATACTAAGAATGGTAACCATTCTTGTAGACAAATGATTTCATTATAATGTAAGAAATAATGATATGAGCCAAAAATATTCTAAATTTGAAACAATTTTCGTCAAGGTGAAGCAGCAAAGTAATTGCTAGATCTGATTCTGCCTTTAAGTCACATTTCAGATACTATATGTTTAAGTTTATTCATGTCGTATGGAGGGGAAAAATGATTTTTTTTAAGATTCAACAACTTTTTAGGACATATTTTGATGTTTGGTGTTTTGATGTTTGCCCACTTAGGCTTCTGAATAATTCTAGGATTATAAGTTATTGAATGATTTGAAGTGCAATACAGGATATATTCTGTTCGAGAAATTTTGTATTGAAACGAGACAGAATATATCCTGTATTGCACTTCAAATCATTCAATAACGTTTTTATCGTGTGCTCATCTGTATTGCTACTGAGATTGTCCCCTCCGTACCAATATTTTCTGTATTGCGACGAAGATGATCAACGGGGACAATCTCAGTAGCAATACAGATTGGTACAGCACAAGAACTGACAAATCAGAGGGCTTCATTTTACAGATCATACGATAATAGGATTTATCATTTGATAAATATCTAATGGACTCAAATGCATAAATAAAGAATTATCTTAAGTATTTCAATGAGTACTACTTAAGTAGAAAGTTGCTGTTAGCATATGAAATAATTAGGTCGGGTGAAGTTTTAGCTACATGTAAACATATAAACCGATAATTTTTTATGAGACACTAACGCCCACCAGATTGTGCATACCTATTGAGGTTCCAGGAAGATCTGCTTGCAGCCTAATCAAAAATAATTCTTAAAAATACCTGCTAATTGAAAAAGGATTCAAGGAACCTTAAATAGGTATGAGATACATCTGTTATGTATACTGGTTTTAGATACATGGTTTATTCAATCATGAAACACACTTCTCCCAGGTCTCCCAGGATAAACCCTGTATCTAAATAAAATAGTACATAACCCTCAATATATAAATAAAATAAAAAAGTCATTGATTTATGTATGTACATATGACTATTTATTGATCTTTCAATAATAAACTATAACAACATTTCCTGTGATGAATCACGCAATGTAAGCAAATTTAACATTAAAATGTATTTGCAAATACAATAAATTATAGAAGTAAATACAATTTAACACTATGACAAAATCAATTGAGAAATATAGTGGTTTGATATAAACATCTGAAAATTGTGGTATCACAATTTGATCAAATTGATGTATTGAAGTCACTAATCATGTTGTGAATATTTTGTATTGAATAATAAATTAATAATAACTAGTGGTAAAGCCAATTTTATTTGTTGTTTATTGATGCAATATTAAGATTTATATTAAGCCTTAAATGTCTTATATTGAATGTTTTCCCACAAATACCTGTGTATCTTTGAATATCCAGGCCATATGAATTAAAAAAACTCTTGAAATATATTTTGTTGCATTTTGTTGAAGAGAAAACTAATATTGTCTTATTCTCAGCTCCAGGAGCACATGAGTTCACTTGGTGCTATGGCAAATATTGCTAATATAAAACAGTAAATATAACACAATTCAATCTAAAGAATCTATGCTAGGCTACACAATGGCATGATAACAACATTTAAATATGAAACTAAATCCCATGAGGGTGGGTCATAAAATGGGACACTGATCATTAAGGACCAAATGGATGAACCATGTGTAACATATGTATTTGAGTGTCCCATTTTTGGCCCACCCTGTATTAAAAATATTTTGAGATGTTACATTACATATTCAGCATTCATGCATGTAACAAGCTTGTCAGGTTATCTCCAATTAATCCAAGTTTTGCAAATATTCTCCGAAAAGTGGATACATGTAGTTATCGTTTTCCCAAGGTCCATATTTTGTCCGATGTACAGCATATTAAAATTCAATGACCGTTGTTCTTATCAATCCAAATCCTTTGGCAACACAGAGAATATATGCAGTTTAAATTCCTCCTATAAATCTCGAAATAAATAAAATCCTAAAGTTATACATCATATTTCTAAAATTTCCTAAGGGACACTCCTTTTATTTCTTTGCAACTTGGGGTGGTACCCAACTTTCTATTTTTGGCTTAGTGGTACTAAATGGTACATAAGCCTTGTCCGAAGCCGAAAGATTTTCTGTGTGATCAATGATCCATTTTCTGTCAACAGGTGGCGCTTCTGTAGGAGGCTTGTCAGTGATATAGTGCATCCAGCGATGCCTGAAAGAATAATAATAAAAATATTTTATAAAGATGTCATTTGAAAAAGAAATTTAACCATTCAAGTTCAAAAATTAAAGAGCTGAATTTAAAGATGGGATTTTAAGTTTCAAGTGCTACTGCATACTTCTACTTCTAACTTGATGGTTTTTAAAGCTTATAGGATATCTAAATTTTAAATACATATTTCAATCCCCATGTGCTTCAATGGCACTGAGAATGAGAGTGAAAACTAGTAAACAAAAAATACATGTATGTCAAGTACTGGCCTTCATCAGGTACTTTAGGATTAGTTGATACATATAGATACAGTAATAAAATAAGATAATATGATACCCTATCAATATTTCGATGCATGGTAAACAATTCATTTAGTATTGATTAAGAGATTGAAAACCCAAGGTTGCTTATTGGTTCAAAAGATGTCAATAGGTTTCTGAAGATAACTGGATAAGTCCTATATAATACATATGCATAATTTAGAAGAATATTCTACAGTAGAATATTCTAATTGATTAATTATTCTAAAAATCTATTCTTCAAAACTTTTTACATGAACAGGCATATAATGTCAAAATATCCTGAATATTTCAGTTACCATTCAGCAGGGATTTGACTTCCATCGTAATCCATATTCACTCCTGGACTGTACTGAACCCAGCGGTTACGACCTGAAAGAATACATACCATATAATCATATTGGTTGATAAACCAATCAGACTGAAGAGACCTTAAGAGAAAAGCATTATGCAAGGACAATTGATTATAAAATATTCAACAATAACCAAAAATTCTTTCAACCATGTACCATGTATCAAATTGCATCTATTTATATTACTCAACAAGGAATGGTTATTGCATCCTCCGAACAGGGGCGAGGGAACTCATAAGAAGATATTCTGGATCCTGGAACACTGCAATTGGAGGATGTGATTATTGGAGAATAACTGACCTTGTTCGAGGACCATTACTTTAATAGCTACAGGTTGCTACACAAGTCAGCCGAGCACAAAATCAGAATAACACTCTTTCATTATTAGACAATTTCAAATTTTAATTCATTATTTCTTCAATAACTTACCATAGAAATACATGTTGTTTTCATAATACTTATTGCCATATTTGTCTTGACCTACTTCATTTCCTAGTTTCAGTTCATCAGTTCTGAAAAACAATAATATTCCCATAAAAACATACTTTCTTAAGAAATATGTTCTTCATTTGTCACTGCAGTTGATGTACAAGTATCAAGTCAAATGCAAATTCATTCATAGTAATTTGAGAATTTGGGACAATACTGTGACATATTTGCAATTTGAAGAGATGAAGTTCAAGTAGATTTTACTCCAATTGGTTAAGGTGCTATGGAAGTTAATAGGAAATGACAAAATAAAAAATGTCAAAGCCATGCTAGTGCTGGATTTTGAAAAGTTTTTGAACCAAGATAACAGAGTTCTGTTTGGACCTCCAGTCAGTTTAACTAGTTCCACATATCATTTATATGACCGGGAACACAATGGAAATGGTCAGAATGACCATGAACATGATGAAATAACCTTTTCAGCTCTCTGAAAATGTGACTAAAAAATAGCTAAAAGTAGGTGCTCAGGAAAGGTCAATGAACAGAATCTTTTGATTTTGTCATTTGGAATTTAAAAAATCGTCTGAAACAATATTGGCTGTAGTTAAGATGAACTATGAAGATTGAACTTTAAGATCAGTGATTATGTGTGATATCGTTACACGTTGATATTTAAATAATCACTTTCTATATTTAAAAGTAAATCTCAACTCGAGATAGGTATTTGAACAAGGCCCCGTGAGTCCATGGGCATCAAAAATGTTCTGTGACACGGACATTGTATTTTACAATATGATTTCCTCGCCAATTTATTTATTAAGTTCACTGGTACTCACCTAAGATGGAAGAACTTCCGGGCTTCATTTTCGGTAAGATATTTTTATTTCTCGATTCTACACCACTTATAAGTCAAGTTGTGGACAATAATTTGACTCAAAGTTAAAGAAGATAGTCTAGTTTGAGAATATGCAGGCGGTTCTATGTTTGGCACTAAATATGGGACTAAATATGTGAATTGCGTTTTCGTTAATATACCAAACATAGAACCGCCTCTATATTCTCAAAGTAGACTATCTTCCTTAGCTTTGAGCCAAATTATTGTCCACAACTTGACTCATCAGTGGTGTCGAATCGAGAAATAAAAATATCTTACAAAAAACGAAGCCCGGAAGTTCTTCCATCTTGTTACGCTGACGATACGTCAGCGTAACTAGGTGAGTACCAGTGAAGTTGGAATTATACATTTCTGCGATCGCATGTGGTAATCTTCCACTGAAGTTGCGATCTGCATTGCGACGAGCATGTGATAAGACGCAACTCTGGAAAATTCTCCCATGGTTGATGTTGTAATCGTACAGGCATAAAGTTGAGACGTTCTCAGGACGGGCACGGGATAATCAAAATCCTGGTTACGCCACTGCTCACTGTGGATCAGACCTACTGCTCATTGTGGCAAAAAATTATTTAAAAAAAATATAAAAAAATAAAAATAAAAAATCAGTCAGTTGAAGGTCAGGCTTCATACTGAAAATATATCTATCCAGGACAACGCAGATAAAATCCAACATGCAAATATTGAAAAATACCTATAGATCTGCAAAAAGTTTCCTATGACACCTCCATGTTGTTTGTAAATCTTGAAGAAATTGCCAGTTTTCTCCATTAACTGCTTTACTTGTTTCCCTACGGCGGCCATGATTGGAGGTGAATACAGTACACGATTTGATTTGTTAATTGGTATAAACTGAACGAAAAGTACTACAAACCCCGGGAATTATCTTTAATATTATCACATGCCAAGCCGTATAGTACCCAGTTTTTTATGAGGGGAGGAAGGCACGAACCCCTTCAGCAAACCCACATCGACAAACATATATTATCTGCCCAACACAAGAAAAGATATTTCATTTTTTATGATTTTACAACATGGGGTCTATTAGTTCAACAAGTTAAACCTAGTCTGGGCCTTATTTCTTATCTGACATATCTTGTGGCTTGTGGCCCGCCCTAGGTTTAACGTCCTTGCCTATTCGGCCCTTGATGCAAAAAATTTTAATGGTGACCTATGGCAGCGCATGGAATTACATGCGCGTTTTATTAATAATTGATAGTGAGAATTTGCAACCAATGAAAGCATAGCACGGAAGTTAAACCCAACCACGGCAACAAGAACACTCAGATTAATAAATGAAAGCCGTGGTATTGGGTTTAACCTGTTGAACTAGCGGTCTATGGGCATCTCCCTGACCAAGAACTCACATTTTCAAAGAAAATTCAATTTTCAAACTTGATAAACTCTTAAAATCATATTTCTAACTTAATCAAGATTTGATCAATCTATTTTTGATGCCTGTCCCAAAAGATGATATATAGCTGAAAGATGGAATCAATCACGGACGTCAAGTAAGTTTCTGGCGAAAGCCGGAGCATAGATTATTTAGAGGACTGGAAACAAGAATGTCCTACCTTTTTATTTCCCGAATCTCGCCTGAAATTAGCTCATCTTGGTGACTGTAACCTGTATATCTGTATTAGATAGAGTCTTTTCGTATCGCATCTGCCTCAATTTTAAAGTTTTATTGGTATTTTTAAATATGTGTTTTCAATATGTTGCCATTTGTGTCCTACCTTAATGATAGTTTGATATATCGATTGATTGAATGGTCAATATACTTAAAATAGTCATGAGTGAAGAGCTCCTGGCCGGGGGTACTATTTTATTTTATTGGACGACTACTATTTTAAATGAAAACGTTCAATATCTCATCAACAAGACAATCCGTTACCATTTCAATTCATAAAATATTAACATGACAGTTTTTAGAATATTACTTAAATTTATTGAACCCCGGCTAGAAATTTTACAATAGTTCACGGTGTCCCAGATGCAGGCCTGTCAACTGTCCCGCAATTTGCGTATTTGTCACGCATTTGCTGAAGAATTTGAAGTCACGCCAGTTTTTTTTGCGTGACACAAAATGTCACGCAAATACGCATTTTAGCTGGTAATTGTCACGCAAATATGTTTCTGTAAAAAAATTTTCAAAATATGTTTATGATACGGTAAAAATACGAACGTCGGAAAAAAACGAACGCAATTTGTTCGGATTTGTCACGCGAATCCCGTATATGTCACGCATGTTCATTGGAAATTTTCGTACCTACCCGCCCCCCTCCCCCCCCCCCCCCCCCCCCGTTGACGATACCGCGTGCGTAGCGAGCGCGAAAAAATTGAGGTGATAAAAGTTTAGCAAAGGTGCTCAAACTTTGGCCAAAGGTGTTTAAAAGTTGGCCAAAGGTGTTCAATATTTGGACAAAAGTGTTCAGATTTGGACTTCGGTGTCCAACATTTGTAAGTCACTCATATTAGGTGGTCCCAAGTTGACAGCCCTGCAGATGCAATTACTTCTAGCCAAGAATTGGCTTGAGACTCAAGTAAGGACAATGTGTTCCACTTAAGGAGTTCTACTTGATATAGTGATATTCCACTTTTTACAGGTTTACTGTACATAGTAGAGTCCAGGCAAAAATATGACAACTGGCCAGTATTTCAGCTATCACCTAAATATCTGAGATCATTATAATGCAGAATGTACAAGAACAGTTTCTCAGTTCTACTAGAAATGAGTTCATTTTGTTCAAAAATCTATTTAAATCAGATTCTCAAAAATCAAATTCTAGATTTATATCTCCTATATATTCACATATATGGTCATAGTCTACTGTTTTTATTTGCTCCCGGTCCTGCAGGAGTTGAACTGTAGCCTGACAGATAGACTTGTTCCTCTTCAATACTTCACATAACTGGAAAACATGTTGAGGCAAACTTAATTAATATTAATAACATTTTATGGAACAATATTTTCTTCAAAAATCGATATATTATCCATGTAGTTAAAGAGAAAGACCAATCACTTCAAACCAACATAAACTGCTAATAGTAAAAAAGGTTAAACACATCAAATTATTTGTGTACCACCAATTTCAAATTTTTGCATGTAATACTAGATCCTAATGACTGCAAGGTAATATTAATATTGCAATTTTTATTAAAATCTGAATATGGAATACAGAGCAGTTCAATAAAAAGATTCGGGAATAATTTCTAAACATCTTCAAAACATATTATTTTATGATTTATCCACTAGCAAATAATTCTCATACACACCTGGCCTTTGTATGTTCCACTTATGATCATGGCGTAAGATGGTTCAGTTTTGGGGACAACTGTCTCTAGCATTCTCTGTGTAACATCATCTAAAACTCTCCCTTCTTCGGTTTGACAAATACATGTGTCAAGGCTCACAACATCTACGATCTTGACCTGAAAATGGGAATGAGAAATTCTACTTGAGAGCATACATATTATTTCATGTCGACAACTAGGGTTTCAATGGTCCATCCCTCAAGTCCATGTTTTCTGTACAGTAGTTGTTTTAGTAAGAGCATGTATAAAAGAAATTGTTAACAATCTTGGAGAATATACTTTGCTTTCAATTCAATTCATCTTTTAATTTCAGTCCACTGCCTCTCATGTCAATATCAAAGCAAATGGGTGTTGCACTCAGTTGCAAATACAAAAAAAAATATATATGACACTAGTGGTGTCAATTAACCGCTTGAGCATTAACCGGTTAACCGGGGGTTTTTACCGGTTAAAGTAGGTTAACCGGCGGGAAATTTGAACTGATAATTTCAAATGAAATCTTCATCTTCGATCTTGAAAGTTGAAAAAAATTGGAAAAATGATATATCGGCGTTTATTTTTTACGTTCGTCAAGCTTTACTCTATTCTATGTAAGTAAGCGCGGGAAAGCAATGTGGCAGGGATTAAAGTTGCTGATTGGATGTTTGTAAGGAATTATCGGACCTATCATGTATGAGTAGCTCACATGAAACTGACGCTTGAAAAACAAACAGATTAAAATGCAAAGTAAGCGCGGGAAAGCAATGTGGCAGGGATTCAAGTTGCTGATTGGATGTTTGTAAGGAGTTATGGGACTTATGACATGTATGAGTAGCTTACGTGAAACTGACACCATAAAACCAAACGGATTAGCATGCAAAATAAGCGCGGGAAATAACAGAATTATACACGGTCAACTAACCGCCCATAAAAACACAGACCGGTCAAGGCATTATCGGCGGTTAACCGGTTAACCTGTTAATACTTGACACCTCTATATGACACCCTATAGAAAATATGTTAGCACCCCATCAAAAGAAAAACATTCTGAGATATTTTGACCAAAACAGGTAAATCCCTGTTAATCCCTATTGTGAATAAAACCTGAGGAGGACATTGGTCAGTATCATATAGACTATATAGAGCTATAGCTGATCTTAATATTTACCTTTGTATTGTAGTATTTTCCTTTCTTATAATTCTCGTCTACTATTCTAACCCTCAGATGAGGTCTCAGCCAATAGTTCTTCTGCTTGACTGATCTCTTAGATTCCCTGAAATAAAGATTATCTTTCAAATAAAATCTTGTACTCCTCAAAATCTGAGAAACTGGAGTTTAAGTAAGCAAAAAATAGTAATACAGCTAACAGTCTGTTGTTAGTCCCATGCAGAAACGTAACCTTAACTCTCCAGTAAAGAAGGTGCAGAACTACATGAATGTGAACTCCTAACAATATGAATGGTATACCTTATTTCTGTAAGCTCAATATACATGTACATATAGTTGGACTAGACAACAGCAACGCCAAAGCGTAGCAAATCCCATCGAACAGCCATGGCTGGCATATTTACAAAGTATATAGCAAAAATGGCAGCCATTTTTCAAAATGGCCACCTTCTACCAAAAGTTTCATTAGACAGTGTGCCATGCTTATAGTATTCACATACCAAATATGAAAAAAATCGTTCCACTACTTTTCGAGTTATAGTAAAATATGTTAAAATGGTTGCCATTTTTCAAAATGGCCGCCTTCTACCAAAATTGTCATTAGACAGTGTGCCATGCTTATAGTATTCACATACCAAATATGAACAAAATCGCTTCACTACTTTTCGAGTTATAGTAAAATACGTTAAAAATGTGGCCATTTTTCAAAATGGCCACCTTCTACCAAAAGTGTCATTAGACAGTGTGCCATGCTTATAGTATTCACATACAAAATATGAAAAAAATCACTCCACTACTTTTCGAGTTACAGCAAAAATTGTAAAATAACGAGTAAAGGCCGCCATTTTTCAAGATGGCTGCCATGTGCTTCTTTAATATCTACATTTCTAGCTTTATTAATGTCCTTTATAATTTTTTCACATTTAAAACATATTGCAATTACAGTTTTACATATTGCACCTAAATTACTATAAAATCGGCACTAAAATGGCTGCCATTTTGAAAATCAGCTTTCGAGCAGAACTTCTACATCCATAAGGTATATTTGTACAAAATATGAACAAAATCGGGCCAACAGTAAATGAGTTATTGCCCGGACGGACGGACGGACGGAGGTGTTCCCTATATCCCTCAGAACTTCGTTCGATGGGATAATGATGAGAAATAAATAAACTCTAACAGGCTGAGGGGTTTCACTAGCAGCAGGCAACAGGCGATTTTCACTGGTTGTTTTCACAAAATCGCTTTTTATTAGAGGTGTAACTCGCCAGAAAAATCCAACTCGAGTTCAACTTGCCAAATATTTCCAAAACTCGAGTAAAACTCGAGTTCATTCATTTCGTCCAGTACATATTGTAAACCCGGGTATACAAAATTACTGTAACTTCAACACGCCTAACCATCGCGTAGGTAGGCGTCACCGTACAGCGTCAAAAAATAGCGGAGTACAGTTTTCTGTACGGTGACGCAAATTAACTGCTTTGAAGCAAAAACTATGACATGGGTTTAAAAAAAATTAATTTGATGAAAACTAATACGATATCATGTGAAATAAAAACAGCATTCTCTTAGGAATGGTTTTAACTTTGTAATTATGATAAATGTTTTACGAGCACTGTTCGGATTTTTCTGAGTGAATCGGCCCACATAATCGACCAGAGTGAAAAAAGGTTGTTTTTTCACATTTTGTTTGGTTATTATTTTCCGTGCCGTCTGAGAGTATGGATTATTTTTATGAGAATATGTATTTGTATTCATTATGTATATTTAAAAAATATCAAATTTGTACGATGACGCATCAGCTGTACGTTGACGATTCATTATAATTTGTGAGAAGTAATTCATTATTTATTACTTCAAATCGCATAAGTTTTGGAGTGGAAGTTCAAATGTTGATCCAATCAGGTATCCCTCGTATACATGTTGTCAAAATGATCAGTGAAAGTTACTGCAGTCACTTTTGCATTTAAGATGGCGGACAGGAAGTGTCGATCTCGATATTTTTAGTTTTCATCGAATTCTTTATAGTTGGCGTTATGCTTTGATGAACTAAATGAGACTAGGCTTTTATGAAATGGAAACTCTGGAGTATGATCATTTGTTCATATATAGTGCATGGGCGCTACAATTCAACGATATCTTCCATCGCTTAATGGAAGGTTACTGGAAATGTGTGATACGGTAGGGGTCATGAAACCAAAAACTCAGTATATTTGATGCTATGTTATTATTGTTTTAAAACAAGGGATGTCACAAGTAAATCTCATCTTGCACGTGTGCATGGGGTAAAGATGGCTATGTAGGCTATTTTTGTTAGTCATATGAGAAAAGCCTGGTCTTTATTTCAAATGATATCAAAGCATTGCGTCAACTTTCAAATAGTTAATTCCATGAAAACTAAAAATATCGAAATTAATACTTCCTGTCCGCCATCTTAAATGCTAAGGTGACGGCTGTAACCTTCGCTTGATACTTACCAGTGATAATGTAGATGTGACGCTTCTTTACCTCTTGTTCGAACAGTAAGCTTAGAGTTGAATGTGTTTCAGTATTTAATCCTTGTTATCAGACATAAGAATTGATCTTTTCAATGTTGAATGGGATACAACATTTGAATTTCCACACAAAAACTTATGGAATCTTAAGTTAATACTCAGGGGTAATGTATTACACTTCATGAAATCTAAGGAATCGTCACCGTACAGCAGATGCGTCACCGTACAGATCTGATCTTTTTTAAATAAATGCAGTGAATGATTATTTGCCGAATATTCATCTGTTCTAAAATGTGTAGATAACAAATACATATTCTCATAAAAATAATCCATACTCTCAGACGACAGGGAAAATAATAACCAAACGAAAAGTGAAAAAAACAACATTTTTCTCTCGAGTCGATTGTGTGGGCCGATCCAGTCAGAAAAAATCCGAACAGTGCTTGAAAAACTTTTATCATAATTAGAAAGTTAAAACCATTCCTAAGAGAATGCTGTTTTTATTACACTCAAAATCGTATTTATTTTCATCTAATTAATTTTTTTAAAACCCCCATTATAGTTTTTGCTTCAACTCAGTTAATTTTCGTCACCGTACAGAAAACTGTACTACTGTATCTTTTGACGCTGTACGGTGACGCCTGCTTACGCGATGGTTAGGCGTGTTCAAGCGGCAAGTTTCTCTGGTTTAGTCACATCTAAAAGGTGTTTAACACGTTGGGCCCATAAGAAAGTGTGGTATTCATTGCAGTTATCTCATATTTCAATCAAAAATGATCTGGTATGAATGTCGCCGCATACGGTAAGGACGAGAGATCGCTAGAATCTAACCAAATAATATTTTAGAAAACCCAGAATGGCCCCTCAAATTAATGAATGGTTTTCCTGGATTATATCGATCTTAAGTTAAGACTCATGATCTTAATTTAATGATCTGATCATCTTTTTTATGTAAAAGTCGTGTAAACGACGTGAGAATAAGGGCACCATTTTTATTCAATTTTAGTGACTACTCTTTCTATTATCGCCTGTTGAGTTCCTTCGATAGTCGATCTTTTTCTGATTTTTTTGGTGTAACTCGTCATTCCACAATATTTGTTGAACTTTGTGAAGCTTTGAGAGTGTTTTTTAGGTGGCGGGAGCTAAATATGGCGATCATTGGTATATTTATTCCACTAATGAAGTAGTGTTGCACGATCTCTGGGACCCGAATTCATTTTACATGCAAGATAGGCTAAAACTCGCGAGTTGACTCGAGTTATAGCTAGCTCGCGAGTTGAAATAGATTGCGAGTTTCTAGAGGACAACTCAAGCCAGTGTATAGGCAGCTCTGACGAGCTGTACTCGAGTTACTGACTCAGGAGTTACACCTCTACTTTTTATAACTTTTCCATGTTCAGTTTATGATTTCCATTAATTTTGCCTGTTGTTTTCATTTATTTAGCATGTTGTGAGAAATTCTAGTGAAACCCCTGCTCTAAGAATTTTAGCATTTAACTTTATAGACACATTTACTGTAAAATAATGGACATAAAACACAAACCTTTCTCCTTCGTGTTTTCTCTTTGTGCCGCTTCTCTCCAGATCTCCATCTCTCTCCCTGCTATCTCTGTATTTATCCTCCTTGTATTTATCTTCCCTGTGTTTATCAGAATCCTCTTTGTGTTTTGAGGATTTATCTCCATGTTTAGAGTCTCTATATTTGTCTGTATCTCTATGTTTTTCAGAATGTCTGTGCCTATCTCTATGTTTATCGGAGTCTCTATGTTTACTTGAGTCTCTATGTTTATGTGAATCATTAGATTGAGAATCAGAGTCAGTGTCTTTATTTTTGCTGGACTTTCCATGTCCATCATCCTTATATTTGTCAGACTTGCCTTTATCTAGAAATAAAATAGGAAACTTAAATCTAAACATAATGAAGCAAATGATTTTCTGACAGTACCACATTCTAAATAAAAGAGTGTGACCTAAAACTGTGCATCCCATTTAAAATAGTGAATAAACTTCAAAAATAAAAAAATCCTTTATTAACTGAAAGATAACTTTGATAACAGCCAAAATGTTGCTGTGAATTGCTAAGCATGTCTAAAACTTAATTGGCAAAGCATTATATCATAAACAGCTATTCTGTTCCAGTGTGATATTAACAGCCTCTATAATTGTTAGATTAAGAGGAACTCTGGAAATAACATTACTGAACTCTTTCTTCAAGTCACTTCCTTGTCTCCTTGATACTTACTGAGGTATTTAGAGTATTTTTCATATTCTTTACTGGACACTAGTTTTATGATGTATTGGCTCAGTGATACAGATTTACCACTCAGTGCTAGCTTAATCACAACTCTGCCTTGATCACCATCTATTCCCTCCACCTGAAATATATTCCCACTTATAAGCATATGGTTTACATTGTACAATATGATAAGTTATTCAATGATTCAAGTAAAACAAATAAAACATTTTGCACAAGAAATCTGTATTTCATGAGACTTCAGTCGAGTGAAATATATCCTTTTAAAGAACATCTTTCTGAAGAACACAATACAATTTTTCTTGTATTTTGCAAGAATTCATTGAAAAATGAAATAAAGTTTTAATTCAATGGAATTCCATTATTCCATTATGTTTAGTTATTATTGGAAAAAGAAATACATGTATAATGGACACATGGGAGTAGCCCCAGATATAGCCTAAGAACGTATCAGCGTCATGAAGTTCAATATTTTACTTACCTTGCCATACAGGTCTCTATTAGCTCCACCAGTAACAACAACATAAGCTCCTATACCCAGTATCAACTTTTCCTCTTTCTCATCCTTTTTGCCCATATTTGTCTCTTCAATTGTTTTCAAAGCACTTCTATCAGCTCCCAGCCCTAATCCCTTTGGCCGGATATTTACTTCTATGGGCTTGACTTTCCTATAAGAAAAATCATGTCTCTTTATTTTTATTTATTTTCTGTATCATTATCTTCAATTCTATACAAGCAATGACCATGGTACATGAAATCATCAATAATAATGGCGCATGTATTCTGTATTTTAAATTGTTATATTAAAGAGAGAATCAGAGATAGCGAGCAGGCTAAACAAAAAATTGTTCCAATAACGCAGATGCGAGTAGGTAGTTACCAGATTCCCCACCAGGTGGCTCGTTCGGGTCAGATAGCATGGCGGGTATAGTAGAAAGTTCCCTTTAACTTAAATTACATCTATTTGCGTGGTTCAATTTTCATATAACCCCTATGTATCTAATAGTTATGCAAATTAAAATATGTCCAGTAAAATAAAATGTTATCTGTCCAATACAAGAAAAGATAATTCACTTTTTGTGATTTTGTAACATGGGGTCTATGGGGAATCAACCCGAACAAGAAGTCACACTTTCAAAAAAAATTAGATTTTCAAAGTTGATATACAATTTTCGAAACCACATTTCTAGATGTACTTTTACATGCAGATTTCAAATATGACATCACTCTGAATTTTGAATATTTAATGACGTAAATCAAGATTATTTCTACTCGCATCTAGTCTATTTTAGAATACTTTTGGCTCATGTCATTCCTTGTCATGTCTATTTTCTAAAAAATCACAAAAGTGCATACTTTATTCCAGGAAAACTAACGATTTTTACAATAATGTATTATTTTTCTATAAGAATGGTTACCATTCTTATTATTTGGGAGAATTTAAACATTTTTCACTCATTTTTGCACTATGAATCATTAATAACTTCACCAATTTATAACATATTGTGAATCTTTTAGGAGATATTGTATTTGATATTGTAAGGAACAGATTGGTAGGTCAATTATACATGTTGCTTGTAATTTTGTCACCCCCTATAGATCAGATTCTGCCTTTAATACAGTAAAACCTGTCTTCTCCAAATGCAATTGAGACCAGTCAAAAGTGTTTGGGATAGCAGGTATTTACATTTCAAGGTTTCTAATAGGTGAGTCAATGGGAAATAACAAAATTGAGACCAAAAAAGTGTTCACATTGGTAGATATTCAGATCAACAAAATGTTTAAATATGCAGGTTTTACTTTATTTGATTTTTTGTTGACTTTCAATAGACATATAATTTCACTAAACCATGGACTGAAATCATCATTAAAACTTGTCTTGCTAAACTTACGAACAAAATTTCTTTATTTGAAATGCTGAACCACCTTAAGGTGAACTGATCTTGAATAGTACTTGCCTTTTGGAGCTTGATCCAATGCCTTCCTCCTCTGAGAATCCCATGCCTCGAAGCATGGCCATTCCATATTGTTCTATGGGCACTTCATCGTAATCTGCCTCCTGAGCCTAAAACACAAATAACATTTTCATATTGCTAAAGTTATGGGTTTTCATCTGCAATTGTCAAAATTTCAACTTGCTCTTGCCTTTACATCTCGAGAGATGGTATATTGGAGGAAATTGAATTGAGGTTTCAACCTAATTATTCCAAAATTGAACTCATAGGAGTTATATGTTGTACACCTCTTAGATCGCATATTACAAGCACAGGATTATTCTGATATTACCTTATAGACTCTAGTTTTACATTTTTTCTATTTAGAAGACTTTTTTTTGCACGTAATACGTGTATATGCCACTGTGGTGTCTTAGATTGTGACATGTTGCATGTTTTGTATATATTTTTATGATAAATAAATAAATAAAAAAAAATATTTGATTCTACAGTAGCAATTATATATTTTTCACCCGTTATTACCTCAATCATATATTCTTACATTATTACTAGTATATCAACTAAATATAAATAAAACTAAAAGATGTTTAACCAAAGATTCTTACACCATCTGGTCTAAGGTCTACATTGAGTTTTTCGTCAGTTTCGAAGCCCTCTGGAACTTTGTTCTGCAGGAGTAGAGGGATGGCAAGGGTCTGTTTCTGCTTTTCCCTGTCTTCCCAGTCTTCTTCATGTTTCTTTGCATCTAGAAAAAGCAAAGTCCACATTGGAAATTAGACAAGAGAAGTTGAAATAACTTCCTTTTCACTTCCATTGGTCGATGACTGACATCATCATCACTGATTCAACCAACCTCTCACATTACCAATAACCATCTATGATTACTGTAATTAACCCTCTATTGTAATTTAAACTACCTAGAATGCCTATGGCGATTGGTAGTAGATATTTTGTGTATTTTTTGTTTAAGAAGGAAATAAATAATATGTTAAAAAAAATCACTGATTCATCACTGATCATCATTCATTGATCATGTCACTTATAACAAAATTTTGTAATTGTTTCGATCAATAAAATGTTAGTTTCTGCCAGTTAAACTATATTTTGCCCCATTACATTACATCGTCAGTCTGGAGAAAAAGTACTAAAACTGCATTTTACTCTTATTTTACTAAAAAATGCCATTTTGACCAGATTTAAAAAATATTTTTCGTTAAATATTAGAACATCATATATCTTTCTTCCACATACAAATGAAATTGGTCCACATGTATTTGAGTTATCATCCAATCCAGGATGATAGACTGATGAAAGGATGAACTCGCCACTATCATCCATTATATTTACTGGACACTGATAGGCTGAAATATAATGTCATAAAGCCCTGAAATGTTACTGACCGTTTACTAATTCTTGTATGGCTTCAGATTCAAGGTCATCTTTCCCATCATTTATTGAGACCTTCTCATGTTTTGAGACCTTTCCCTTGTCTGCACCACCATTCTTATCATCACCATTAATTAACTTTTCTGCTGTCTTTGTCTTCCAGTTGTTTGTTGTGATAAGAGGAATCACGAGTGGTTTCTTTGGCTCAGCTTCTGGCCTTGTACTGGAAATGGATAATTATTCTATCATTATAAAATGAACTGGCAAATCTTTTTCTTTTGGAGAGTAAATTGTATAGAAAAGAAGATTGCTTATATCCAACTATAAACAATTTTCTCCCTGGACTTAAACAGAAATATATTCAGTAGGCCAATTATGATCATATCTATCATAAATAAAATTGTTTTAGTTCAAAATAAAACATTTAACATGATTTTATAATAATGGGTTTTATGGGATATCACTTTGACTAGTTAAAAAATTAATCATAAAAATCATGTTTATTTTTTCTGGCATCTAGTCTATTGTAAACAATCCAGACATTGAGTTTATTTCTCTATTGAAATTTCTATTTATTTTGAAACACACACTTAGAAGTTGTCATTTCTATGCCTATTGAATCGCAAAATGATAATAATGATGTTTCACTCAATGAACAATAACATACAAAATTTTATGGCATTTCATTAAAATAAATGCATGTACAATTTGCGTCATTAATGTACCATTGATATATTGTCCCATTGTTCTGTCACTTTCTAAATATTTATTTTGCATTTGAAAATATTTCATTGTTCTAAATTGGGTTTTTGATCTCATAAATGTGGTTTTAGTATAATGAATGTGCCTTTTAAAGTTTGTACATTGTATGTAGGATAAAATAAGTAATTATCAATTTCTGTCAACAAGTTTATCGATGCTATTATTTACTGCATACAGAAAAATATTTTTAGACTTGCATTCAATATTTTATCTATCCATGTGAGCCTTTACATAGTTAAATTGTATACTTGTACATGTTTTAACCTCTTGAATACCCAGAATGACGGATATATCTGTCACAAATAAAATCCATTTGGAACCCAGAACGACAGATATATCTGTCACAGAATTTTCCACTAAAACTGCTCTAACTTTGGCATTTTCTATCCAATCTTCACAAATTATGTATTAGAATGTATGTAATAGGCCTATGTTTACTATTCTCATGAAATCAAATATCAAACATTGTGTTTTTAAATGGAAATATCCAGAAAACTAGCAGAAAATGAAAAAAATGCTCTGGTTTCAAACCCTTTTTAGAGGCTGGTTTTCAAGAGGTTAAAGGGCACTGAAATATTTTTGTTATACTAAAAATAGTTGTTATACTAAAACAATGTTTTTAAAAAGCCTTTACTGATATTGACAAAAGTGTGACCAATATCCTGTCTACCAAGGTTATAAGTCTCAACCCCAATAAACCATTTCAATTGCTGTAATGGAGAGCTTTCAGAAAATATGTCAGCAAGATTTATTGGTATCGCTTTGGATATCATTTCATGAAAATTACAACGTTCTTCTTGAAAATATGGACATGTGTTAAGTCTGTGCTCTAGATTTTTTGTTGAGCATGGGCACCATTCATACATGGGAGATATGGGGGATTTATTTTCTTCCATTTACATGAATACTTTTCATTGCGCAAATTAAACTTGCCTGCTCAGGCTAAGAACTTAATGTGATCACTTAAATATAATAAATATCAGAGGTGTCACTGGTCAGATATTCTTCAGGTGGGGTCGGGTTAGGTAATTTCAGGACGGGTCAGAAGAAAACAGGAAAATAAATAAGACTTAATTGTGGAACCATCTAATTTCTGTATAACATCTTTTAATAACATCATTACTGCATATCATGCTTTGGTAAAGGAGAATGATAGAAACTTAGCATTTTATTGTTCGGGAAGAACTGTAAATTATGTCCGTTCGTAATTCATTAGTATACAAGAAATAGGCAAGCTAGAATTCTGAAATTTTTGCCGAGAATATAAACCATTTTACAATGATTCACGTTATTCCTGAGTGTTCTGACCCAATCCAAAATTGGTAAGTTCTTGTTTGTGACCTGAGCCCTCTAACGCAAGAATTGGGTCGACTTCGGGTCGGTGTAACACCTCTAATAAATATACCTGGAATCAATTATGTTTTAATTTGATGTGTCAGTTTAATTTTACGATCCAGGACACTCAGACGAACAGACACAATGACGGACATGCGGAAATGTCACTTTAGAGATTGGTAAGTGTAGCCTCATTTTACTCGTATAAATGAACATTTAACACAATAATATTGTGTTCAATCGCTTGATGTTATCATGGGCTTTCAAAGCCCATGATGTTATGTGTTTTTATATTATTGTCAAGTATCAGTTGCACGTTATCGCGGAAAAATGGTTTCGATGGATTCAGAACTTGCATCAAAGGAAAGAATAGTAAGGAGGTTAAACTCAATAATGGCCCCAAGAAAATTCCTAATAATAAAGAACGCCGTTATTGAGTTTAACGACGTTGAACTACTACTTTTTGCAAGGCCTGACTTTGTCGCTAACATGCTAAATATAAGAGTTAGCTGACGTTTGGGAGTCTGACTTACCTTCTAAAGGTTAGAACCCGAATCTTAATAAAACCATATCACCTTTGTTTCGTCAACCATGGAGCATTTGCCACAACATCCAAGAGGTAAATCATGGACCGAGAAAATGAATGATTTCCTTGTAAGTTCCGGAAGTTTCAATACGAAAAATTACCGAACATATATGAAAACCGAATATTTGTTCGTTGTTTTCACGATTTACAGGTTCGTATGTTCTTCAATGTTTTGGTCTAAATTATAAAGCATCACCAACAGGTCTTACTCTATTAATCGACTAATACAGCAGACGGCTCATATTTCTACGTAGCATTTCGTTCAGACAAATAGTGGGACTGTAGATCACGCAGTTTCGTTTGTTGCGTACTTCACTCGAAATTGGTAATTTTATATTGGCTACTTCACTTAGCTTGGCGGATGTAGAACATTGCTTAATATTCTTTTAATTTTCACACCAGACATGCTTGGTTGACACGTCAACAAAGTAAAGTTCAAGGGTCAATGCGTTATTTCGTGATAACTACAACGCCTTCCCGAAAGTCAACATTGATGAAAAATGAAAAAGTCGGAAAAGCATTTACACTAATTTCTATCAAATGCTATGTTTATGCATCATCATCGACGCAACAAAGGTGATATGGTTTCATTAAGATTCGGGTTCTAACCTTTAGAAGGTAAGTCAGACTCCCAAACGTCAGCTAACTCTTATATTTAGCATGTTAGCGACGAAGTCAGGCCTTGCAAAAAGTAGTAACAAAAAATGTGACAAAAAGTTTAGTTGCCTTTACAAAATTTACCTTTTCACTTTTGTTCCCTCAACAGAAGTTACAAAATCGGGATCTCCTTGCACATTGTTTTCATCACTTTTGATTGCCCCCGACTGAAGTTTCTTTGTTTCGATCTTCTTGCTAAAACCAAAGGAGAAACTTGGCTTTTCAGAACCATTTTCAGCCATTTTCAACGTGATTTCTACGTTTGAAGAGCTCCGTTTGAAGAGCGCATATCCCACTAAGTCACGGGTGATAAACCTGTTGTTTCGTACAGTAAGATTTTATTGAAATTACAATAACAATGCAATTCTATCATTGTATCAAATTAAATTGCGCACTTTCTCTCCAACATATACACGGGTGTAGCTAGCTATGAAGACTTTGAGGTAGTCGAGAGTTTTAGACTGATATGCTGTCACAGGGATCTGAAAACTAACAGGGGGGGGGGGGGGCATTTCAAGTCTGAAAAAGAGAAAGGCCAACTAATATTTGGAGCCCTTAAATTAGGTCATCCGCCCAGTGATGTCACATTGGTAGAATTATTATAGACTATTTTGCTATTTGCCTAGATATTAAGATTTACCCTGAGTGTTGTCAGCCAGGGTATTTTGGAAAACGATAGCTTTTCAAAAAGTAAAAATAATTCGAAGTAAAATATTCTGTTAAACATCAACATATTCTGTTTAACATATTTACATTTGCACGAAGAGTATTTTGATAAAGTGCATATTAGTCTTATAGATGTGTTTTCTCATCACTGATATTTTGGGTTCAATGAAGACAGTCAATCAACTTGCCCGAAGCCGGGCCCGAAGCCTCTGATCATAAAGCAGGACTAAATTGACCAATCAATGTCAACGCGGAAGTTTAAATTGTTTTTCATAGTATCTTCATCAACAATATATTACACCCTTGGTATACGCAGCTAACGAAAATTGACCGGTACGGGTCAAAAGCTGGACCGGTACGGGTTAACGGTTTTATTTGAATTCAAAATAGCCATAACTTGCTCAATATTGACTTCCTTGTGTCTAATTTGAAATATATGATGCCTCCCGATGCTTTTAAGTACCCCAATTTTTTACAGATTTTTAAACGGACCAAAACTCTCTAAATGCGCGTTTATGCTCTTTTCTCTCGAGAAGGACTGTCTCATTTTCACGATAACTTTTATTTAGTACTTCTAACATATAAGATCTATTTTTCCCCATCAAGGTATGATGTAAATGACATGCTATTTACATCTTGTGAGTTTCAATGACGCGCGTTTGATTTTATAAAAAATGCCAAACTTTGTGACAAAGAATTACATCAGCTATTGCCCCGAACCGGTCCGTCTTCTCGTTGCAAGCAGATTGCCCCGAACCGGTCCGTCTTCTCGCTGCAAGCAGGATGAAATTCTTTGACACAAAGTTTGGCATTTTTTATAAAATCAAACGCGCGTCATTGAAGTTTTGGTCCGTTTAAAAATCTGTAAAAAATTGGGGTACTTAAAAGCATCGGGAGGCATCATATATTTCAAATTAGACACGAGGAAGTCAATATTGAGCAAGTTATGGCTGTTTTAAATTCAAATAAAACCGTTAACCCGTACCGGTCCAGCTTTTGACCCGTATCGGTCAATTTTCGTTAGCTGCGTATACCAAGGGTGTATTATTGTGTGATCAATACATTCATTGATTTGTGAACGTTCTGCCAATAATTATTGTGTTGAATCTGTATACATCAATATGAATTAAAAAGTACAAATTCAAAGGACGCCGATAATTCACAACCGTCAATGCTATTGGTGGTAGTCCATCGGTATCGCATGCATGGGAAACAAATACTATATCAAATGAATACCAGAGATTCAAATTAGATCCAAAGCCATGACTAGAGCTGGGTCAACATGAAGCATCAGTGTAAAGATACAATATGGAAATAATGGCACTTGAAAAAAGAAATGCGCTCTGTTTTAAACTATTTCCATTAATCTGATTTTTGAGATAAGATATCATTTAGAGTTTAACAATTCTTATGAGAGACAATTTCAAACACATTACTTATGCTTTACACAACTTCTTTTCAATCAAATGGTTTTAGCCAGGCTTATTCAAACCCTGCTACTTTTGCGATTTACATTACTTTCTTGAACCCCAATTTTCTCGATCGAGCGATGAACACGTTCGAGAGATGCAATTTGAAAATACACATTACTTTAGCATTCTGATACTCTGATACTCAGATCATCTCTGTCCTGCAAAGAATGCTCGCGGCCTTCTAGATCTATAGGGAACTGATATGGTGTGATCTCCTTTCACACTATAGTATTACATGTATCTTAGATTCGCAACTTTTTTGATGCAGCGCAAAAACCTTTTTGAAAACAGGGGACAATAAGATGCACAGGAAAATTATTAACATCACATCTGTACTTACTTAACACCGTCTTTAGTCTACTTGGCATGTATTTGTGCCAAGAAAAAAATGTTTTGAACGCGCGATAATCATGACAGTTGGCAATAACCAAATATTCTATATGAAGCTTATTAGAATGTCACGCGTAACCCGAAATATCCTAATAAATTAGACTACTTTTCCCACAGATGGGTCACACAAATATTGGCCATTTTTGAAGTTACCAACCCGACTCGGCCTATATTTGCCCTATATGCCTAATATTGGGCATTTACTACGTCCCTTAGATATTTATTTTGGTAAATCAAGGAATAGTAGACACAATGTTCGAGAAATCACAGCGAGAGATAATTTTCAACGCACTTTGAATAATGAATCCACAGGTATTAAAAAATTGCAATTTCAACCATTGAGTAGGATTCAATAAATGAGGCAATAACACATTTGATGATTTTCTCAAAAACCTGGTTGGGATTCGGACATAGAATAATGTTTTATATGTCTAGTTTAATGTACTGTATGTTTAACGAAACGTTCATTCTATGATTTAAGGCACATTTTGAGAAAAAAAAAATAATATGTATTTGTTTATTGTTATTTTGAGTTCAAATGACAATTGAAACTTTAAACCCAACTTTAAAATTGGGATCTACAAAGTGAAATTAAAGGGTTCCCAAATTGAAAAGTACGAGATACATGGGCAGTGCTACTGTAAAAGAAGTTCCCGTGAACTCAACGGGTGTGTCACTTCATCCAATACTCTCTTTGTTTGTGTCATGCTATTTTTACAATTGTATGATATAAAATCCTAATAGAAAAACAATAAATAAATTAAAGGCTTTGTTTTTCATTTCCCACGAAGTCTCCATTTATAAGGACGTTAAACATACAATTAATACAAGTGATAAACTGCGATGAATGAAAGCTCTAGACATATTTCAATTTAATTTATCTTCCTGGTTGCAACTCGCGCTGCTACTATTTTTAATTTCATCCGGGACCTCCAATATAAAAGTGCATCGGTCGACGCCTGATCATCAGAGCAGGAACGAGCGCAAAAGTAAAAGGTCTTCAAATATTATATTTGGTGAAAATATCTATAAAAAGTTTCGAAACGTTTTGAAAACGTAAAGATAATGGGAACTCTATGTCTCATTTGCGTCGTACTTGTTACGTTTTCGTCTTCGGTGATGGAGACAAATGGCCAAACCTACGACGGCGATTGTCAGTACAGGAGAAGAGATTGCAGCGATTCTTATTACACTATCCGGAACAGTAAAGATGGCTATTACCGTGGAATGCCCATACAGCAGTATACATGGCAGTGCGACCACTCTTACAACTGGGGTTACAGGTAAGAAATGACTTTGCGCCAAAGTTTACATTTCACATACCATTTACATTTTACTCTGTAGATAAACGTGAAAAGTGAAATATCTTTTCTTGTGTTGGGCAGATAATATTTTCTTTTACTGGACCACACACATTGTGCATAATTTGGAATTTGTACTATATATTTGCCCTTTTGTTGCGTGAATATTTTTTAGATATCAAATTGGAAAAACCTTTGTTTTTCCAGTGCTAGTGAAGGAGCGGCCCAAGGTTCATCCCCAGTCCTTTCCGAAGAGCAGCTGGAATGGTTGAGGACACTTGGGGAGCAGTTCAATGCTGATTTTCAGGTGAGAGCGACCGGTCATAGTTTGAGGGAAATTCTGTGACAGGAACAATCCCCACAATCGCATTTAATTTGTAGGAACAATTTCCCCGTGTTAATTCTGTAGATTCTTTAGATACATAATTATTGTAAAATAGAAAAACCTTCACATATTTAAATGATTATTATACAACAATTGGAAGTTTGATTTAGCTTCTCTGAAAGGGAGCTTTATCCGGGGCTTTGTCTATTAAACATACTAGACGGCTGTGATACCAAGGGTAGCTGAATCACACATGGTATTTTAAAGCTGAAAAATCAGGTTACGTTGGCTCTTATTAACTCTTTTAGCTAATGTGACCTCTAGTGCTGTGTTTTCCAAGTTCCCGTCCACTACTTACATATCTAATACTATATTTCAGCCCGATCCCCCAAGTAAACGCCAGGTGGAGCCACATGTACTTGAGAAAAAACGTCTTAGGGGGGCTAAAATCCCACTTCGGCAGCGGCGACAGAGTCTGCCTCTGGCCAACCGGAAAGAGTATCGCACTGTGTCCGCACTTGAACGCAGTCGATTCCACGACGCTATACAAACTCTGAAAACATCTCCATTGGGTTCATCAAACAAATATGACACCCTTGCAGATTTTCATTTGAGTACTTTTGCTGTTGGTGCACACGATGGAGCTGCCTTCTTAACATGGCATAGAGTATATCTTGTTCTGTAAGTTTATATCTAGATTTTAGTGTTATTAAAAACATTCAGCGCGGAATGCAGAAGCCTAATATAGTAATGTCCTTGGGGCACGGCCTTCTTCTTCGAATACAGAACAGACTCCTCTTGAGGATATTTCGTCGTACTTTGACCCTTCCCCTCCATCCTCCGAACGCAGGGCTCCGATAACAACCTCTCTGAAAGAACGAATAGAGTGGGTGAAATCTGGAGACCTGCATTCAGGAAATACGTCCAATCATTTTCACTTATGACGGAGACTCAGATTTTGAATTTAAATTTAATTATGATCAACGATTCCTAATCTAAAATAGATAATTCACTTTTCGATTGTGCAATAGCACAATGCACAATGCTATTCCTTTTGTAGGTATGAGTACGCTTTAAGGCAGGTTGACAGTTCGGTGTCGTTGCTTTATTGGGACTCGACGCTTGAACAGAGTCTAGATGACCCCAGTACCTCAAATATGTGGCATAGCAGCTTCATGGGCAACGCTAACGGTGACGTGACCTCAGGACCAGCGGCAAACTGGTTGGCTACTGACGGTAATAAGTTATGGCGAGCGGCTAACAATTGTCCAGATGTCCTCACAACTCCCGGAGATATTGCGAATATATTCAGCAAAACTACTTATGGTCAGATTGCGTGTGGAACACCCGGTTGTCAACTCATGGAGCAGATTCACGGTAAAGCTCACAGCTATGTCGGTGGACAAATGGGAAACGTTGATTATTCACCTAACGATCCCATCTTCTGGATGCATCACGCCTTCATCGATTGTGTTTGGGAAGAATTCCGGAATGACCATCAAATTCCAGATCCACAGACCGATTATCCTGCTAGCTATGGCTCACCCGCCCACGCCCCATCTGCCCTTATGCAACCATTTACATTACTTGGAATCAACGTCCAAAACAAGCAAGGCTTGCTCAACATCTTTACAAATAAGATTTACAAATGTGCAGCTCGGCCAAAATGCCCGGACTGTGGCAGTTCGCCGTATTTGTATTGTGATACCGTTGAGAACAGATGTAAACCATTCACTGTCGATCGCAAGAACTGCACCAACTGCGCATATGTTAACATAGACGTCTACTGTTCGAATGGTGCGCCTTACAGCAATGTCCCGTATGGACTTAGTGGTGTTTACTTTGAAACCAATGGTAGAAACTACAACGGCAGACGTCAAGAGTATTACTATGGCGACTACGATTCTTACTATACGGGCAGACCAAACGAGAACTATGGACGACCCGACTATTCCCCCCACTATGTTGGTTATGCACCCGTGGACAGACCTTCTGAGAACGCCGATGGTTATTCAACTTATACTATGAATGCGTACACCGCACAAGGATCCCCGTGCCAAGTGGAATGCGTGAGTGGTTATCGAAATGGTCAAGCGAACTATCAGCCCTGTAATGGTAACACATACAGACTTGATGACAGAGAAAGGTACCCAGGCTATGCGATACCATACGAGAGAGAGGCTGCCAATTTGTATTATCGGCCCTCGTATGACGAATACGTGTTGCCTACACCAAGCCCATCCCCTTACTTCAGAGTTAGGTGCCCGTGTAGGCGTCTCTGTTACGATTACCCCGCTCGTTACTAGATATGGACCAGAGAAAGGTCATTTGTTCTGACCAATATGGACTTAAAATGACACTCCACAATGTCAGCTGCACAATTTAGTTCATGTAATTTTTCTGATTTGGCTTGTTATAGAATAAAATTATTCAAAATTGTCTTGGACTAAACTGTACAAAATCTTGATATGGTTTCATACAGGGTCACGGTCTATATTTTGAGGGGGTGGCTAGAATTCAATGATTATGAACCTGGTACTATAAACTTACCGGTCCTTGATGAAATGTTCATTGTTGAGTTTAAGAAACCCTCGGTAAGAAACAACAAATAGCATTTTGAAGTCTTCTACTGCACGGGGCTACACGAACTGCACGATCCAAAAACAGGTTGAGTTTCATGTTTATAAGCCAACTTGTACGTGAACGTGTGTGAATTATGGTTGTAATATTAACTTGCCCGATGTAGTGTACAAGGTCAAATAGGTAGTGTAATGTAGCGTAAATTGACAAAGGGCAGTAATCCCTGGGGATCAATCAAGTATTACAAGTTCACGTAGTTCTCTTAAATACGTGAATCTTAACCTCCCTATTATCTCGATTCGGGGGACAATTTTGAACCCCTGTATTCGGATTCCGATAATATTTTACAAAAATGGTGTGTTTAGAGGGACCCAAGATAGAATAATAACCTTTTAAACTTATTTTGACTTTATTTTTTGAACTTTCTTATTTAAGTTCGTAATGGTAGTGGTGTCATGGAAAACACTACTTTATATAAACGACACATCATACGATGAGAAAACATGGCCTTCTGTGAGTTCCTTTAAAAAATATTTCTAGTAGGAAAACAGACAGATATGATGAATATCAGAATGACGAAACATATGCTACATTATCTTTCTCTTTAGTCCTATCGTTGCTAGCGCTATCTCCTGTGAAATGTCTATGATGCATATTTGATTGTTTCTCTTGTTTCGGGCTGTTCTTTGACTTATCCTCCATTTCCCTATTTGTTACATTTTCAGCTTCAATGTCTCCATCTTTTACGTCTGAAGTGTCCTCTGCATTTCTTCGAAAACATCCCAAATATAAACGTCTGAGTGTAAACTCCAAAAATTCAAACAAAGTCAGAATGCTCATTCCTACGAAAAGACCCATTTGCCCGCCAAGGTCACCTGAAAAAGACACTTCAATTAGTAAAGGCCCCATGCAATGTTTGAAAATATTGATTAATTATCCGAATCTTATTTGCACACTTCAAATATTATTTGAGACATTTTGCCTCAAAGTTCATTCATTCTTTAGTCCAGACGTCAGGTGAATCTGAATTTCTTTGTATTTTTATGTTTTCAATGTGTTTCCATTTCCGATTTTGTCCATTTTATTTGTACACTCTCAAACGTAAAATTCCCCGGCTTCTCTTCTGAGACACCCCTTCCAATCAACAAATACAACAAACAATTAAACAAAAATACAGGCCTAAATCTTACTGAGTAATCCAGATGGTGTCACAGCGGGGCTCATTTTCGTAAGATGCCGATAGAGGTCTCTAAAGTAAATATCCAATTCAACAATATTATCCCTGCAAAGGAAAAGACAGCCATTCATGTCAAGGTGTATAAGCTAATAGTTTTCTTTTCTTTTTAATTCTTATATCAAAATCTATTACCTTACCTTATATAGTCTTCGGTGACATCAAATATCTCAAAAAGCTCTTTCGCTATATTATGATTGGGAAACGTTGCATAGGATAAAGAAACTGGGTACTCCACTTCTTCACAGGCCACCGTACATTGGGGACACTCCTCCTTAGGATTTTCTTCTATAGCACCTATATACACAGAAATGATACAAACATGTACAACCATACATTCGTCTCTTCGTAAAATATACCGTGATTCTTTTTAGGATTCATTATTTTGGCTACTTTCCCAAAAATCACAGGCCATCGTACATACATTCAGAATTTTATCATCATGACTACTCTTCCCACCCTTGCGCTTTGTATATGAATGTAGCTTACCTAGAATCTCATTTGCACATGTAACTGCTTTAGTAGGAAGACAATTTGGTATGTTGCCTAAAATGCATAAAGATAGATGTCAGTCATAATACTGAAGTAAGCAGTTCCGATCAAATGAATACAAATACAGTGCTCACCAAAAATAAATGACACCTGGATTTGCTCAAGTGAGGATTTCCCATGTTAAAAGGAAGAGCATTTTCAAGTGTCCATGCATTAGTAGTTGAGAGCATACAAAATGTAAAATATACAAAACTTAAGGGACGTGTGTCTAGATACCATTGGAAAGTATGAAGTCTCAAATGCTTCCTGGTCATCTCCACCCCAAGTCAACTCAACCCAGTAAAACTCAACCCCAAGTCAACTCAACCCCAAGTCAAGTCGACCCCTGTAAAACTCAACCCCAAGTCAACTCAACCCTGTAAAACTCAACCCTAGTAAAACTCAACCCCTATTATTTCTATATATTGATAAACGTATAAGAAAGTTTATTTCATAAAAATAATTCTGCTGATCGTGGCATAAGCGAGCCAAAAAAAGATATGTTTTGACAAAAATGATGCAACTTCCTTCCGAATTGGGGGGAGGGTGTGTGCGCACCCCTCCTGGCTACGCCTATATGCTTTCAGTCTATTAATTAGTAAATGTTAATGATTTTGTTCATGCATGTTCATATAAATAAAAAGTTATATTGCATTGTTGATTATTTCTAAATTATCTTAAAGGGGTATTCCTTGCCAGACCATCTCTCTCCTAATATGGTAGCTATAACCATATACATACTTTGCAAGTTTATCAAAAAACAGAAAAATGTTTTGAAATGGTCAATATTGATCACTTAAAAATGTAGTGCTCAATTCCAGTAGGCTGCCATCTTTTAAAATTTCACTCAGGAAGTGATGTCATCGACTCTCAACTTTGCATATAACATTAGGTAAGGAGCTATTAGAATTACTAAACCAGCTGAATATTTTTTTCAATTTGGTCTATGATTAAATCCTTTTGATGATCTCTTCTTTAGTTCTAAGTTGACAACTCCTGAAAATATTTTTACACAGAAGATAAGGGCTTCTTGTTTAGAAGTGATTTTGTACTTCTTTCCTATACTGTAATAGACAAGGTTATAACAGGTGAGAGTCGATGACATCACTTCCTGAAAGAAATCTGAAAAGATGGCAGCTTACTGGGAATGAGTACTACATTTTTAAATGATCAATATTGACCATATGAAAAAATTTTCCCGTGTTTTGCTAAATATGTAAAGTATATATATGATTGTAGCTACCATATCAGGAGAGAAATAGTCTGGCAAGGAATGTTCCTTTAAATTTGATTTCAAAAGATGTCTTAAATTGAATAATAGTTAATTAATCGTTTTCTTTTGGAATACTTTTACAACTTTCTATTCAAAGTATCATGCAAAATGCTTGATTTTCATAAATCAATGACTTAAATCATGCATCATAAAAAAATTAAATTAGACATTGCACAAATGAATAGGGTTGAGTTTTACTGGGGTTGAGTTTTACAGGGTTAAGTTGACTTGGGGTTGAGTTTTACTGGGGTTGACTTGACTTGGGGTTGAGTTGACTTGGGGTTGAGTTGGACTGGGTTGAGATGACTTGGGGTTGAGATGACCTGTCACCTCTCAAATCACCAAGGTCTGAGATTGATGATAGAAAATCAAGATGCCATTTATTTATGGTGAGCACTTTACTTCCTGGACACTGTTCAATTACGAATGACAAAATCTTTCTAAGAAACCCTACCACCATTTACTTCACAAAAGAAGCTGGGATATATTGACTAGGATCGAAATGTTGATGTTGCTGATGGCAAAAGAGTTCATTTTAAAGGTCTATTTGATATGTTATGGTGCTGTCCAATTTGTCCATGTTCTATGGAGCCGAGGTGCAATGTGATGTATAAATGATATTTTTGCTCAGACGCCGACAATAGAAGACACGCTTGACTTATCTAATAGCTCTAATATTACAGTAAATGTTTGTCAGAATTCATACCAGGAATCGAGTAAGGCTTACAACCGCATCGTTCCAATAACTTCCCCTCTCGGCATTCACTGAGACATCCTTCAAAAGAGTACTTCTCGTAAAATTTCAGCTTTGCCTCAGGGTCACACTTTCCCCACGGTGAAACTGCATTTTGTAACTTAAACAAATGAAGGATAAGATATACAAAATAAATGAATGTATTTATCGTATCTGTAAAATGAAGCCTTCTGATTGGTCAGTTCTTGTGCTGTACCAATCTGTATTGCTACTGAGATCGTCCCCATTGATCATCTCCGTCGCGATACAGAAACTATTGGTACGGAGGGAACAATCTCAGTAGCAATACATCTAGGATCACACGATAAAAACGTTATTGAATGTTTTGAAGTGCAATACAGGATATATTCTGCCTCGATATTCTATATTGGCACTCGACTTCGTCTCGTTCCAATACTGACGAAATTTCTCGAGCAGAATATATCCTGTATTGCACTTCAAATCATTCAATAACTTATATAATTAAACTTGCCATAATATTCAAAATTTGAGTAGTATAAACGATTCGGTTCATATGTAATCGCAGGCCAAGCAAATAATTGAAAGGCCTAGGCATTCCCAATCAAAGGACATTTTGAGGTCATTTTCGAGGTTAACAAAAATAAACTTCTGGGTCAGGAAACAAAATCGCTCTTTCTCAATGTACACACCTCGTCATAGCGTATTCCAGCGTAAGCTCTAAATCCCGGTGACACCGCATAACCTTCGCTTTCTACGGATGGTGGCTCGTACTGGGGATGCACCAGAAATTTGATCCCAGCCTCCGAGTTACCGCCAAAGGCAAATACCTCTGTGTAGTCACTCTGTAAAATGGCATGACCAATTAAAATATTTAACTGCTTTTTGTTTCACAGCCTCTGTCTTTCCAGTTTTTGTACCATGCCAATATTAATTTGACGTTGGCGAAGCGGTTGCGTGGCTGATGTCTGCTTATGTACATACTCGTATATGGCAGTAATGCCGTTAGGGTCACCAGAAATGGCTCACAGTGGTTTTATTGTAAGGTTCTTATCTTATTATGGTAAAGTATGCTGTAGTATTGGTAATATCATACAAAAGGTATATAGAATAGAACCATATATATCACCTGGTTGATGTCTAGAACTATCCTTAGACCCCCGCCTGTCCCATGTACTGTCTGCTTATAAACGTTTGGCTCTCGAGGGTATCGGTTAAATGTGTAACAGTTCCCATATGATGTCTGAACAAGGCTGAAGTCCTAAAACAAAACTATCAAGAATATGAAATCTATATATTGACCTGTCATTTACTTCAACAATTAAATGTCGTCTACAGTTTATCTCAGATTCTTTGTAATGTTGAAATATGTAGAAAACATCATCTATGGTGGGTTTATCATACATGGTGGAGCTGCCAGAATCGATGTGAAAACATTGGATCATTTGAAAATTGCATTGCGTCATTTGATTCGAATACGTTTACCTGTCAGCTTATGATTGTATATTTCATTTTCCATTATTTGGACATAAATATGGTTAAAGCTGGATATCAGACTCCATTCGCAAACCTTTTTGTAAATGTTCAACAAGTCTTTGGTGTCCAAGAAGTGGAATGCGCGTCTGGTCATCAGAACAACATCCATTTTTAATAATTAGCGATTAAATTTTAATCATACTCATTCATGATTCTTCACTGGAAGGTTTAACAAGGGGTTCAATTAGAAAAACGAGACGGGGAAGTGTTCACTTTAGGAGGCATTCGAATGTGTAAGTTTCACTGTACCTCAAAGGTACACTGCTTCCCAGCGATCCGGCACCACAGCAATGTTGTGTCATCCATCTGCCAACCAACTCGCCTTGTCAAATTGCCCATATCAAATCCATCTAAAATGATTGTTCATAGAAAATATGATAACAAAACTGGGCTAATTGTTAAGTGAATGCTTCCTCAGTACATATTGTCTGGTTTATAACTTACATAATAGTGCCCTTGTTCCACATAGTTCAGACCAGGCAGGTATATATTAACACAAACTGGGACAATAATTTCCGAGAAATAATTTAACTTTTACGTGGAACGTCAGTTTATATAGTAGCATGTTAATTACATTTGTAATGAAATCCGACTTGACATTAGACATTCCAATCCAAACTACCGGCCATAAACGATTGTGATTCTAGGCAAAGCAAACTATTGACGATTTTAACATTAATTCCGACGCTTTGAAACAAAAGGAATAATGCTAAAACCTGGGTAAAGTTGAGTTATGTTATATTCTAACTCCTGAGCAAACTTCACGTGTTCTTCGTCGAGGGGGACCCCCCATTGCAGATATGACATCAGCAATGCTGAGTTTGAAAGGATAATGGCGTCAGACTCCGTCATTGCGCTGAGTCTGTACCTGGAATATGAAAATATATGCATAATGTAAAAGTAAATTAAGTCTCCGATACATTGTCTTCTTTTAGTAAATCTGGCAAAAGTAAAACTTTACCAGAAATAGTATCGTTTGTTATCAGCTTTCAAACGGACGGTACCAAGTATGACAATTTGAACTCATATTTATATGATATCATCCTCCGATCACAGGGCTTCAAAATCCAGAATATCTTCTTTCTTTTTACGAAGAAGAAGAAGGAGGTACGGATTCTGTACACCTGCTTAGGAGGATGATATGATATCAGATTAGATATCTGCTCTAAAAACAGATTGTTTGCACTGCCATCTTTATTCAAAATCTATTCAAAAATTATTTCTTTCGACTATATACATGCCTATGCTGTTCTCATACATAGTCTTCTTTAATTTTCTTTCGTTTGTCTTGTTATATGATGTTACATGATTGTACTTACTTATTGTAATTGCATATAGTAACAGCGGGGAATTCGAGACTTGTTTGGTCCATCATCACCTCCAATTCAGTGGTTTGTTTCATTTGCATGAAGTGGTCAAATCTATAAGATTAAAAGAACACTTTATGAGATCTTTAAGACCTTGGAAACAGATGGCTTGAACACCATCCATACCATCATTTATTGACAATGTTTTTCCAAAGCTCACATTTTTCATTTTGGAATAATGGTCTATTCTAATGTGGCATTTCCTCAATAATATAACATGTGACATATAGTACTAATATTCGATTATTTGCAGGGCAGTGCCATCTTTTATGAACATACTTGCTATTGTTGCCCGGGGGGGGTACTCACATATATTGGCTATATGGGGACGTGTCGCTAAAGTGGGTCACTTTTCACCGAAATATCCCTAGATGTGGGTCCCATTTTGAAGAAAAAGCCCTAGATATGGATCCCATTTTGATGAAAAAATCCCTAGAATTGGATTTACTTTTTGAAAATTCTAAAACTGGGTATTGCCGGAAGTGGGTCTTGTTTTTGGAAAATTACCTTCAAGTGGGTCTATCTTTTTAAGAAAACCCCTATATGTGGGTCTATTTTTAAAGAAAAAACCTATATGAGGGTAGATATATTTTGAATCTCAGCGGCACCCCCCTGTAAAAACGTTGATCAGTCCCCCCACCTGTATTGTTGCCTATAAGAATTGAACACTTTCTAGACAACATGACTTTGTCTTTAACACAAAGACGTCGGATCGAAACTGATCAATCAACGAAAAATGTTTAACACTAATGACTATAGGAGAATGCAACCTATATAAAACAGCCACGAGAAAAGATTTTCAATTTTAGAACAGATTTATACAAGGGGCTTTTAGTGTTGATTTGTTGCATTCAAAAATCGAATACTTGTCTCTGTCTCATCATATAATATGTGTTACAATTTGTAACAATAATTATAAAAATATACATCGAATTTCAACTTACGTTATAATATGTGACATGACATCGATGCGTTACAAAAAAATGTTTCTATGATTTGTGACACCAAATTAAAATAGATGTGACATGAAAATAAGCATCATAAATTCCAGACGTGCGTACATGTACGACAAGAAATGCTATACTCGTTTATTGACTTATAGTATTATGGCATTATCACATTATTACTCATAACTATTAAAACTACATAACAAAACTCCTTACTACAATAAGATAACGTTACCTATCGACGATTTGTGACACCATATATCCAAAACAAAACAGAGTCACGAGGATCCAAAAAATCCTTTGGGGTTTCCGTGAGGAATCAGCAATCCTCCCCAACCCATGACAAGATGTAGATGTAGCGAACTCATAGTCCAATTTTCGTTGGGATTTAGTGCAGCAACACCCACACGCCATGATTCGAATTTCTATTTTAGATTAAATCTTATTGTTTGACTATCCATGTACTCTCCAGTTATGGTATGAGTTAAACATAACACAAAGTAAGATTTATATTCAAATCTACAAGCCTAGTGATTTCACTCCTTTTATCTTCCAGAAACATGCCGTTTTTTAATTGTTGTTGCCTGCGATCCTTTTCATTTAATTCCGTTCTTTAACTTCTCCGTCACATTGGGGATTACGATTACCTGAGATACACTACCCTTCATAAGTTTCGCAACCGGAAGTACAATTTTAATTTGGATCATTTATAAAATCCTTTTTAATTTCCAGCAATTTGAAAAATCCATTAAAATATTTTCCGAACTGTTTAATTGAAAAACAAAATAAGATTGACTAAGCAGTCTTTGATTTGGTACCCAACGAAAACGTCCAGTCGCCAAACCTTTTCGAGGGGAGGGTAAGACGTATGAGTTCAATTTATGATTCAACGACAAATGTATTCGCCCGGCCGGTACGGATATCCTGCACAATCTTAATGAAGTAATGAATTCGAATCGTTTTGCACTTTATAATGGTGAAATTAAAGGCCATAAATCAATGGAAAATACACAATATAATACTGTGTTGGAAAGAATCAATAAAATCCGATAATGTTAGAAAAACGAGGGGGCCGATGTTTGGTTTGGTAGCCATTTGTCCCAATGCAATTCTTTCTCAGTTGATCAAAAATGTCACGGTACACAATTCTAATTGTACTTGTAATTGTGTTCGCACTTGCGTGTTTGTTCAATCGTTATTCCTCTCCAGTTTCATTCTTTATTGTACTTTGTGTCTTAAAACCTAATCATGTGATCATCTGGATATTTGATCAACGGGTGTAACAAAAATGTGCCAATAAGGATTGCTTTCAGAAATCGCCTGGTACCAGGAAAGTATTAGTCACTTATAAAGTCCATTTGTGACAAAAAATCACGTTGGTCGTACTTCTTTAGCAACTTCTCTCTAATATTATTAGGTCCTTATACTTTTCTTTGCATCGGTGTACTTCATAGAAAATTAACTTATTTCCATTGACTTTATTTTTTGCTTGTTCCCTCTATTTCACGTTATTTTCACGAATACGTGTTGAACATAGTTACTTTGTTTTACCGGAGCGTCGAGTTATTAAAGTCACAATATACTACAATCTGCGATAGTGGAATGATTTATGGACGCGAAAGAAGAGATTAATTCAAGTTCAATGTTCCAGCTGCAACTCTACCACTGTATTCAGATCCTACTTTCAATATCCCAAAGCAAATATTCAACAGTCTGAGACTAGCACATAAATCTGAATTGTTGTGACCTCAAATATCGTTTCAGATATAGAGTAATGTGACATTCCTAGTAGTTTAAAGATTTTTTTTATCTATTCTGTTCACAAGAATACGAGGGTAGAAGTCCTTAAACTGTTCAATTTATTTATTTATTTATTTATTTATTTATTTATTTATTATTATCAATACACTGATCTGGCATTGCAAAAACGTTTAAAAAGGGTTGCATTCCTTGCATCGACATGGCACGGTCCATATCCCGCTCCGTATGCTATGGTCCGTTCGTGTGTACAAGATCCGACCATACCGCCTCTATAGGGAGGAAATTCGGAGGTGAGTTTTATTATTAGAGTATTCTTTGAGTTTACATTTATACTGCGCGATTTAAATTGATAAATATATGAATATTAAATTGAAAAAGGTTGTCTAAGTATTTGAATGCTCAAAAACATTGGATTTATTTGTGGTGACGACATACATGCGGAGAGAGTGAGTTTCTGCTTCCTTATCGTCATTTACGTGTCAAATATACTACATTGTGGTATATTATGTAAATCAAATGAAGCCTTTGTATATATTGATCGATGAAATAACGCCAATTGAATGTTTCTTGGTATATTATTGTTTATTGGTATTAAAGCTCAATAGCTAAGTATGGTTGTTTATCTTTTAGTGCCGATACAGAATGAAACAGACACTTATTTAGACGAAAATAAAAATGAACTACCACATGTACCATCGACATCCACACCCCAAAAGCCAACTTATTCTCATGAATTATCCAGTCGTCCAAACAGACCAGTTCATGTTGAAACGGATGGCATATACAAAAATAAATTATATGATCCAATGATCGTATATGTGCATGCCAATTTGAATATATTTTTTTGTTTTTGTATACGTAAAACACGAATTGGTCGAATTTTTTCACACGAAAAGATTTTTTCAGTTCATTATACATTTATTTCAAATTATATTGCAGTAAAAAAGTTACACAGGTCGCTGCCTAGCGCAATGTGCATTACAGGCTAGCGTTTTGGAATGAACATAAATCAAATTAATTGAGTGAGTTATACATACAATTGTGCTAACTAAATGGTGAAAAGTATGTCAGAATAAAATGGGTTAGGCCAAGCTAAGAATAAAATCAACGAGCCTTCCTTTTAATCGAGAATCCTGTTCAATTGAAAATGAGTTTTTGAAAATTAAAAATTCAGTTTTGTCTTGTTCAATTAGATGGGTCTCAAGATTTTGCTGCTCAAGGGTTTCTTAAAGGTTTTTTCTTTGGGTTGAATGGCGCTTGCATTGCAGAATCGAGTGTTTAGGAGTTGTACTCTTACCACAGACAATTAGATTAGCTGTGTTAGGGCACTCTTTTGTGATTCAAATTAGAGTCCGCATCTAATTCTGTCCAAGGTAATTTCTTGTTTTCGAGAAAGATTGAGTTTAGAAGTTGTATTGAAGTCATTAAAGATTTGTTTTTGATTTTACTTTTGAACAAAGAGATGGTGGGAATAGACTGGAGATCAATCTTAGCACTGGGGCATTAATTAGTCGTGCAAAGAACACGAAAAGATGGAACTATTAACAGGACATGGTCGGAGTGCCCAAATTATCCTCACACGACTTGGTCGAATCCTAGCTGTGGTAGGATCGGATCCTTCTATTCGAGTTTTAAACCACATTTTCATGTACTTTTGTGATGTATTACGTCATGTTTGTTTATCAGTCGCACGCATTAATGCATGTACTTTATAAATTCCACGAAATTAGATATGTATACGGTAATATAAAAGACTTATTGCAATTGAAGTGTATTCTGTCGTGAAAAGTCTATGTTCGACCTATTTTCACCTATGAAGCCTTGATATTTTTTCTTGCTTTCTTCATGAATTCATAGGTAATTATGTTGCCTATAGTTAACCATTCACATAATATCAAAATTCGCTCTGTTTCCTACTTTTTCCTGACATTTTGTCAATTTTGGCCTCTTTGTCTCACGAAGGGATCGTATTCTAGCACACGAACGGACCATATCATACGGAGCGGGATGTGGACCGTAAATTGGTTTTCAAATAAAGTTATGGTCAAACGACTGTGGTAGACTAGATTTCTGTACTTTCTACTCTTTCATCAATGCCGCAAAAAATCTTGAGATGTATTTACTTAAAGTGTATATTTACCCCAAACTGTACATTTTAATACTAATAAGAGTGTAGTCAATATTGACTGTTTTCTAAACACTGCATACTTTTGAAATCATTTAAGGTAGTTCCGTATTTTCAGAAATTTTGATAGTTTACCGTTTACCGATTTTCTATTTTTAAGTACAAATAGCACATTCCATATTTGGCAAAATTTTTTTCAATGTCATGCAGTTTACCATTCCGAGCACTTTTCAACTGATTTTTAGGTTTAAGTTGTCAAATGTGAATCCCCACTGGAAGAACCCCTTGGCAAAAGCTGACTACGGTCTGATGTACCCAAAATAATTAACAGTTGATGGAGAGCAATTTTTTTCAAATTGTGAAAACTGCAGGTTGATTCGAATTTGCTTGAAAATAGTTTTTTAATAACAGATGCCTTTAATATCTGATAAAAGACAGTTATATACCTGAACTGTGAGGAAGTTGTTTTATAGGTCACTATAATATAAAGTTAATTAAGATAAATCCGATATAATTTAAGGATAATGATGAGCACTATTGAAATTTTATAGAATTCAAGAAATGGAATCTCCGACCACAAAATCTTCACCAGCGTCACGGTATACCTTTATGACCGTAGAGTTTAGTTCGAAACTAATTGTAGACAAAATTAGCTTTTAGAAAAGTATCGCAGCTAAAAACTATTATCGCCTCTTTAAGCCCAAAAAATCTATTCTAAAACCCCTCATCAATGGCCTATCACATTTTCGAAACATCAAAGCTTGTAGAAGGATCGAGAAAAAGACCTATTTAAAAAACCTCACAATTGTTCTAAACGCATCACTGACAGTAACCTATTTTGACAAGAGGCAAAACCTCACAATTTCAGGAAATGAACAGTCCAAATGCAATACCAATGTACAAATGAATAAGGTGTTCCTTATCACCTATGTATGCCTGACCGTATCAATTAAGCAAGATTTAGAGCTGCAAAGTCATTATGTTGTTGCATTTTATGTAATTAATCTTTGTTATTTACTCGTCTGCTATCTTATCACAACGACCTCTAATCGGAAGAACGAAGTTGTTGATGGTTGCTGTAACACATATTACTTTAAGGCAAACAGGGGTAGACCACGGGTATTGGAGGATCTGAGAAGGTATTGGTGGATCTGAGAAGGTATTGGCGGATCTCTGAGAAGGGGTTCGTCATTGCTTCATGTTTAAACTCTAATACTGTGTGATTTTGGAGTTGTATACACGACGATCATATACCTCAATAAAAGTGTCATCAAACAATATTTTTTTAGATCACCGCCAAGTCTTTCTCAAAACACAAATCAAGATGATATTGCTAACAGAGTTAGAGGATGAATCTTAAAATCGAGATGGCCACAAAACCACACCCAATTATAGATAAAGATATATATAATATCCTCAACAGAAACTAGGATGTGTGGTAGATAAAATAGACAATGGTTTAATAAGATAAAGTACAAAAATATAGATATTGATTTTTAAATGTATTTCTTAGTTCGATGCATACGAAGCATGGTGTATAAAGCAGAATAACAATTCATTTTAGAAGTGAGCGCTAAATCAAAAATAATTTTGAGGAATGCATGAGCACTGTATTCCATCACATTAAAAAGCAGAATAAACAAGTTACGTTCCTCAACGTTCCAATAACACAACCATTTTAAGGTAAACTGAGAATGTGTCTCATCCTCCTATAGAGTACAATGAATATTATCAGGTATATTTCTTGAAACATTATTCACTAACACCACATGCTATCTGTTCATGACAGCCTCCTTACACTACCCTCCACAAGTTTAGCAATCAGATGTCCCCTTTGGAATCATGTACCAATTTCAGAACTAAGGAACAAAATCAAGATTCTAACATTGAGGGGCTTTGAAGCGCTATCCAATAAAAACTTCAGGTTGCCAAACTTATGGTGGGGAGTGTATTTTTAAAAAGATATACACCAGGTATAACTTATGGCGGGGAGTGTAGTATGCTTGCAAACTGAGGTCATACACACACAAAATTTAACCTTAATAATTCCTCCAGTTTTAGTGCATACGGATGTTTCTACAATTGGAACCCTGAGTACAAAGTCTGAATTGTTTATCCCCAGCAGCAAAAATAATGAGAAGCTGGTACAGTGACGGTCTAAACCAGTGGGGAAATGGTAACACTCCCCTCCATAAGTTTGGCAACTGGATTTTATTCCTTACAGTATTTCTGAGATTTATGACAGATGTATTGAATTTATTTCATTAAAGATATACAGGCTTTGATGAATGATCCAAACTTATGGAAGGGAGTGTAGGCTCCATAAATTCTATATAACGACACTGATTCATTTTAACTACACTTGTAACATGAGACGAAAATCGTTCACTTTATTGCACAATCAGCAATGAATCCTGATTTCATTTTTGTTTATTAATGTATTTTTCCTTCCGTTTATGTGCTTACATATTTTGATACTTGTTACTTTAAAGCTCATTGTAATGCTAATGATGAGAAACATATTTTGGCAGTGAACATTGTCACTGTATATAACAAAGTGATCTGATCAAAATAAAGATTAGTTAAAACTAATAAGCTGGAGATGCACATGGATTTATATCGCCCCTCCAAAAGTTTGGCAACTCTGCTACGATACCACATGTTTTGGATTTTAAAAAATTAAAATAAATCAAATTGTACCTGAAGTAATGAGAGGAAGATTCAAACATACAGACTTTAACAGTCTATCCAATGATGAGTCAAGTTGCCATACTTTTAAAGGGAAGTGTAGAAGCTCTGACTGAGGCAATAATGCAAATCAAAATACACACAGACTGTACATTAAATACAATACTAAAGTTTCCTATGTTAATACTAGGATCATTTCACTGTATCTATCCATCTATGGACACTTACAATTAGACCCATTCAATACATTCAGGTCAGGCATTGATCATTTTTCTTCAATGAAAGATTTACAAATACAAATTGATCTTTTCAAAAATGGGTCCTTGGCTCGAGGAGCTGGCAAAAAAAATCATTGGAATCCATGTTCTTGCAAAGTAATAAATGCAGGTGCTGTCTAATTTTCACATTGAGAACTTGTATTTTTGAATTTTATTTTGGATTTGGGAATTTTCAACTTCACTATTCAACTTCACAGTGCACATTGATAATTCAGAAATCTGAAATTCTAACTTGGGTTTTACAGATCTCCTCTTATCTTCTACTTTATAGCAGGCTGAGAATGGCGATGGAAGCCGATTAAAGTTGCGAGATACAAAATAAAACAGATAGAGTGTGATACGCAGAGCACCAAGTGTATCACACGTGCAACAAAAATATGAGTTAAAAATACCAGTTTCAAACCAAACTGTGCATACACACAATCGTTAAAGTATTTCAATATTCTGCTGTAGTTATCTATGATATGAAATCACTTTTAGACATTCTCACAATACATTTCCATGCTGTCCAATAAGTTTTGCCAATGATATTAAAAATTGTATACATGCACTTATTTTCATTAGCTGTTTCCTTTACATTACAACTATCAGAACATGAACAAATTCAAATTATTCCATATTAGTATTTAAGCATTTTTGGCAAAGCATATTGAACGATCTTTTAGGGTGTTTTCACACACAAAAACTGTTCATCATTTTTATCAAACAATACAACATTTTGTATCAGTTATTATTTACATATTCATGAACCTTTACCATATTTGGTAATATCAGGTAAATATATACACATACCATTCTCTTATTAGGTACATATTACAGGGTGGCCCAAAAAGTGCAACCAAACTCTAATTTTGGAATAGCTCTTATTGGTGGAATCTTTTTTTGTGCAGTGAAGATTCAACCACAAGTGAAAGTTATTTCAATATGAAAAGGTTACATTTCTTGAGTCTCACTGTATATCAATATACACATATTGTAGTACCGTAGAACCCCAAATTTTCATGTTCATCTACTTTTGCTTAAAATATTGCTACCCTCGAAATGCTAGATGTTTGAAGAAAATTGCTAGAAAATTTGACATTTTACAATACACAATCATTACAACTTGGCCAATTTTAATTAATAAATAAATAAATTTCTATACATTAATTTATCTATAAACATACACTGTATTTTTGTCTATTTTACAACATGTTTTAAGCATCTATCGGCAGAGCTTTTAGTTTAACATGTGTTAATAAAACAGCAACAATTCACTGCTTGCATTAGTTTGTACATCTTTAAAAACTCCCACTTAATTCATTTCTTAATCTCTTAATGTTTTTTATTTGCTACAAGCTTAATTCACAACATATGATTTTAGGTTAACGTTGCAAGCGTAAATTCATTTTCTACAGTAGGTTACCAGATACATTTTTTTTACTTATTTAGAAGCCTAATCTGAGAGAAGTCTATCACATTGTATGTCTCGGATTTCTTCGGTTCAAGCATCAGAACTCCAAAGCATTTGAATATGAATTCAGTTCTTCAAAGTGATTCATTTTTATTTTGATTAAATTGTTATGTATATATGGCACAGGCAGGTACCCTGACACTGTTTCTAATATACTGGCTACTATCTCCAGTAAACTCCCTCCCTCGGATTTAAAAAAATCTAATTTTGCTGTTCTATTTTGTCATCCAGCTTATTGGCCTCCTTTTCTTCCTTCTCTTTACACTTTTCTTCTTCCTCAATTTCAGTTTCACTACGGAGCAGTTCAATGATCTTACTCATGTCTTTAGTGTTGATCTTTACATTCTCTTGGCCAAGCAAGTCAATCACCTGTAAGAGAAAAGTCAGTCAACTAAAAGGGGTAACAAATATTAGAGATGAGTCGAGAGTAACTCCCAAAAAACTTTTCACATCTCTTTTTTATAGAAAACACAATTGTTACTTTACTTCATGATAATTCTTAGAAGAGGTTTAATTTCATTATTAGCTTTTTCTTTGATAAGGAAAACAAGATTTGATGCAATGCGGCCTATAGAGGCAAGTTGGAACATTCAGTATTTTTGGTATCAAATCCAAAAAAACAAATTATTTCTCCCGGGGCTTAGTCTCAATATACCTTCATGACATCATCCACATTGATCTCTCCATCGTGGTCAGCGTCCAGCACTTCAGCGATCTTCTGTATTCTCATATCATCAGGAACCTTCTGTATACGTCTCATGGCTAGCACAAGCTCATTAATTGTGATCACATTATCCCTGAAAATGTTGGAACCAATTTGTTCATCCAATTGTTGGGAAATTATTATATGGTATAGCCCAGTTCATGGTTGAATAAAGTAAAATTAGTGTTTACATCATACAAAATTTTAATTTGATTCTTTCTTTAGTATTTTTTTTTATTATTTTATTTCATGATAATATAACAATGGAATGTACAAAGCATATGCACTTGACACCCTTAGTAATTGGGCGTATCAGTGCATATATCAAAAATTATTGCAGAGCAATCAAAAAACATACGTACATTAACATACATTGATCTGAGGAATAACAGTGACAATACTTGAGCAATAACACCAATTCAAAATGGTTCAGGTTTTTTACTTCTATCTTCTAAAATGTCTTTATTTTCGCTATTGATTATTGTACATACGCGCAACATAAAATAAATTCACATACATACAACTTTAATTTCAGTCATTTTGATATAAAATTCCACTGAACAATCAAATACATTTTTTCAATGATTTCATATTTTAACAATGACATCATACTTTCATATGTTCTTTGTTTTTTACTGTTTGATTCTAAAATATATGATTCATAAATACTGTTTGTAACAATGCTGACAAAATAATTTTAAAAATTTGTAATTTTCTTTGTCTTTAACTTTCATTATCTTGCATTTACCTTTTCTTTTCAATGAAGTCAAGAACTTCTTGTCGTTTTTCCATGTCATCTCTAAGCTCTTGACTTCTCTTTACCCTGACCTCCTTCACTTCAATCTCCTCAATGAGTCCCTCCTTCTCAGCATGCATTTGGTCAATGAGGCTTCCCATGGACTGAAGCATCTTGTCGACACGCTTACTCAAACGTTTAGCCACTTTAGACTCAGATACATCTTTTTCATTTCCACCACTTGCAACTACAATCTCCTTCAAGTCTTGCAAGTCCTGCACAGAAATAAATCATAAGAAATATATTTATGAGGGGCATATCCAGGGTCACAAAATAGATAGAGGCAAATTTATATGGATGAGGCAAATATAAAAATAGGCATTTCAATGTAAAGAGGGAAATAATTTTGTCAACAATTTTTCAAAATTTTGGACTGTTAGCTTTTTATTGTTGAAGCCATTTATTTGTACTGAATATAAGCTTATAGTTTGCTTCTGAAATGTTACGCTCCTTATCAGATTTCATTTCTTTCAACTATATATCTATATTTACCTCCTGGTATTCGCTGACATCTTCTTTGAGATGTTCCAGTTCATCTTGTTCCAGTTTAAGGTTCTTCTCTTCAGCAATGTTCTCTAAAGCAGACTCAATTTCCTCGAGGTCTTTTGCAGATATCTCTTCTTCCTTCTCGACCTCTTCAATGAGTTCTGTAAAATTAAAAAATTAAAAAGGGTTGCCTTTTCAATACTCCTGAACCACTCTCTCACAAAAAAAAGTTAGAGACTATAACAATATGTAACTACTTGGGGTAGTAACATAAAAAAAATCAATATTAAAACAAACATTGAGAAGGACACAATACCATTTTGACATACACCGAAAGGTTGTGAGTTCAATCAGCACATCAGCCTCAAACATTAAATTTCATTCTATGTTTCCATTAACTAAGACTAATCATCAATCCATGTAGACTTGATGGGGATATTTTCATACCTTCTTCTTCATTCATCATCACTCTAGGAGCCGTATCCCTAAGTGCTTCATCCACCTCAGCAGCCTCTTCAGCAGCCAAAGCAGCAGCTCTCTCGCTCTCTTCCTTTAGCTGGAACATATAAGACAATACAGATTAGACAACATTGAGCAGCTTATTCATTTCACTTTAACTTTCCCAATCATTTTATGTACTGTAAACAATCTAAATGAAGATAAGACAATAAATTGGTTCATAAACAAACAGCAGTTCTAGGATTATTCAATCCAGGTTTTACCCAACTTAATTCATCATGACCAAAAATTAGACAGACAGATGAACTCATGTTTAGATTGGACCCAAAATAGCTTGGATCCAAATCAGATAAAACCTAAATCCACTCACTTCTTACTTTAAACAACAGGGGTTTGCTAAATAATTAAGAAGACCTCCATACACATCATTTAAAATTTCATGGGTATACCAGGCTAGAAATAAATCTAGACTGGTATAAAGCCCCATAGATAATCAAGCAAAGATAATCGAAATAGAAATGAACTTCAAGGCTGCAAAAATAAATCTCAAGGCAAGAAAGTCTTTAGAACAAAAGTGTCCCAGCTCTTACCTTTGCTTCTCTTTCCTCCCTCTCCTCTGTTTCCTTCATCTCCTCTTGTTCCCTCTTGATTGCCTCCTCTTCCTGTCTGATCAACTCCAGTTTGGCTGTGTTGTCCACTTTCTCACCAGATACCTCAGCCACCTTGATCTTCGCCTCTTGTGCCTGAAATATTCATAAATTTGTATTTAATTTCAGTACTGTATGTCATGTAACAGCAACTCAGTTATGCACATATTTCCAAAATTAACATAAGTAAATGACCAATTATCCTACCCATTATTTAGGGGAAGGGGGCTTTGAATTATATTGAATACTTTGAAAAGTAAATGACCAATGATCCTACCCATTCTTTAGGGGAGGGATGCTTTGAATTGTATTGAATACTTTGAAAAGTAAATGACCAATGATCCTACCCATTCTTTAGGGGAAGGGGGCTTTGAATTGTACTGAATACTTTGAAAAGTAAATGACCAATGATCCTACCCATTCTTTAGGGGAGAGGGGCTTTGAATTGTATTGAATACTTTGAAAAGTAAATGACCAATGATCCTACCCATTCTTTAGGGGAGAGGGGCTTTGAATTGTATTGAATACTTTGAAAAGTAAATGACCAATGATCCTACCCATTCTTTAGGGGAGAGGGGCTTTGAATTGTATTGAATACTTTGAAAAGTAAATGACCAATGATCCTACCCATTCTTTAGGGGAGGGGGCTTTGAATTGTATTGAATACTTTGAAAAGTAAATGACCAATGATCCTACCCATTCTTTAGGGAGGGGGGCTTTGAATTGTATTGATGAATACTAACAGTGCTTTCAGGGAGGGCAGAAATAGTCTCCTTTAATACATCTTCTGTAGGGACCGTCTCAGTGAGGAACAAAGCCCTAGAAAGCAGCAACAGAGACGTGGGGATCTTCTCATTCAGATGGATATCGATCCATTGGTCTAGCTGGAGCTTTAATCTCTGAACAGGGACCCCTAAGGCTCTCATGCCCCTGGCTCTACAGGCGGCTTGGAGTTCATTTACAGTCAGAGAATCTATACCTTCCTTCTGTATCATCTAAAGACAAAGTAGAGGAAAATGTAACGAAGAGCATGTTTGAAAAAAATCATATAAAGTAAAACTTGTGTAAGGTGTCCCACTGGCAGTTTTTACTTTACAGAGTCATGTTCTGTTAACATGTAATTTTAATGATGCAATCTTGTAAATTATGACTTTTTCAAATTCATGTATACAGTATCTTTATATACAGATATAGCATATTTTGAACAAAGCACTCTGAACGTGTGAATTCAAGTTACCTTATCATCTGCTTTCAATTCTCGTAACTTCATTCGTAATTGGAATCTCAAGAAGTTATTGGTGCCTATTGGTGCAATCTCTAGCACTTTACACAGTGCAATTAGCTGAGCTCGAGACAAATTATCCAGAGTAATCTCATCTTCGAAAACCTTGGAGTATTTCACAATTTCATCTGTGGCGACAAATGACCCTGATTGTTGAATCTAAAAGAATATAAAACTTATAAATAAACTCTGCAAACATATTTCAATTCAATTTGGCTTTTGATTTTATTTTACTTTAAACAAACTAAGCTCTCTTAAACAGAATCTATAAGACTCGAATTGTTGAACAATGTATTCTCCACTGAATTCTTGAATAATTTCAACTAAATTCATAAATAAAGTAGACTAAATTCTTGAATAATATAGACCAAATTCTTGAATAATGTAGGCTAAATTACAGAATAATGTAGAGTAAATTCTTGAATAATGTAGATTAAATTCTTGAATAATATAGACTCAATTCTTGAATAATGCAGGCTGAATTACTGAATAATATAGACTGAATTCTTGAATGATAATATAGACTGAATTCTTGAATAATATAGACTGAATTCTTGAATAATGTAGAATGTATTTAGTCATTGTTACCCTATCAAGGAAAGAGGCAAATGCTTCAACTTTATCTCCCTTAGCCTGTTTGTTCCTAACCGCAGAGTCCTCTATAGTCTCTTGAAGGAACTTGGCCATCTCAAGTTTGACTTTCAGTTTCTTGCGAATCTTTTCTTGCTGGAAATACAATTTTCATGAGTCCACTACAAGGAAAAGATTATATTCTATACTAAAGCTATATTGTTTCTCATTCTGTGAATCAGTGATATGCATTACATGACATTTGAAATATTCTGTGATGATTACTGTTTATAGGTGGACAATAGTTTACATTTCTAGGGTTTTCTGAAAATTCTGTTCTTCACGATTCAAATTATTCATTCTATTCTTCCTGTGAAACTTTTACTTTTTTGAATTTTCCATAGAAGGCAGATAAATGATTTGTTAGAGATGCCGATATACTGACTGCAGAATGATGTCCACAAAAAGTTGGAGACTATAAGAATAATACTGGTGGTGACATAAAAATGTCCTTCATTTCACGACGTATTTGTTTGCGTGACACATATGTGCTTGCAAATTAAAAACTGCTGAAACCCATATGTAAAGTTGTAAGACTACCTTGAGCTATGCATTCCAGTTTCCTACCTCTTTTTTCTCTTCTTTAAATGTACTGGGCAGCATTCCTGGGAAGAGCTTCAAGGCAACAGGCAAGAAGAACTCCATAAATGGCACAATAACAAAGATTAGGAATGGTACCAGTCGAAACATGTCTGCTGTTGTTCTCACCAACTGAAACCATACACATGTACATTTCATAAATGAGCATTGCAGTTGAAGGCAACAGTGTTATCATAAAGATACCATATTATATTAGCCAACAAATAAATGAAAGGGACAACAACGCATATAAAAGGCAATATGTAATTGAAAGATACAATGTAAATGAAAGAGCATGTTAATGAAGGAGGTGGGTACCATTTAAACCAGAACAACGGCAACGCCAAAGCGTAGCGAATCCCATCGAACAGAAATGGCTGGCATTTTTACAAACGAAATATACAGCAAATATCATAAAAACACACCAGAAAGGCCACCATTTTCAAAATGGTGGCTCACTAGCCAAGTTGTCATCAGAAGAAATAATATGCTCTTAAGTAGCCACCTATAAAATTTTTGAAAAATCGCACACATGTACTTGTAAAATAACACACATAAAAATGGTGGCCATTTTTCAAAATGGCCGCCTACTACCTAAAGTGTCATTAGACAGTGTGCCACGCTTTTAGTATTCACATACCAAATATAAACAAAATCGCTCCACTACTTTTCGAGTTATAGTAAAATACGATAAAAAGGCGGCCATTTTTCAAAATGGCCACCTTCTACCAAAAGTGTCATAGGACAGTGTGCCCTGCTTATAGTATTCACATACCAAATATGAACAAAATCACTCCACTACTTTTCGAGTTATAGTAAAATACGTTAAAATGGCGGCCATTTTTCAAAAAAAAATTTCAAAATGGCCGCCTTGTACCAAAAGTGTCATAGGACAGTGTGCCATGCTTATAGTATTCACATACCAAATATGAACAAAATCGCTCCACTACTTTTCGAGTTATAGTAAAATACATTAAAATGGCGGCCATTTTTCAAATTTTTTTTTCAAAATGGCCGCCTTGTACCAAAAGTGTCATAGGACAGTGTGCCATGCTTATAGTATTCACATACCAAATATGAACAAAATCGCTCCACTACTTTTCGAGTTATAGTAAAATACGTTAAAATGGCGGCCATTTTTCAAAATGGCCGCCTTCTACCAAAAGTGTCTTTAGACAATGTGCAATGTTTATAGTATTCACTTACCAAATATGAACAAAATCGCTCCACTACTTTTCAAGTTACAGCAAAAATCGTAAAATAACGAGTTAAGGCCGCCATTTTTCAAGATGGCTGCCATGTGGTTTTTTAATATCTACATTTGTAGCTTTATTAATGTCCTTTATAATTTTTTTACACTAAAAACATATTGCTATTACAGTTTTACATATTGCACCTAAATTACTGTAAAATCGGCACTAAAATGGCCGCTATTTTGAAATGAGTGGCCATTTTGAAAATTGGCTTTCGAGCAGAACTCCTACCCCCATAGGGTATATGTGTAAAAAATATGAACAAAATCGGGCCAACGGTATTTGAGTTATTGCCCGGACGGACGGACAGACGGACGGACGGACGGACGTACGTACGGACGTACGTACGTACGGATGGACGGACGGAGGCGTTCCCTATATCCCTCCGAACTTCGTTTGATGGGATAATAAGAGGCAATATGGATGCTAGCCAATCTGATTTTTGTGATTTTGACTTACATGGTTGGCCTATGGAATTCCTTACTCATCTGTCTGTTCATCGGTCTGTTTGTCAACAATTTTCAGAAAAATGAAAATTGTCTATCATCTGGACTTAGGCTCATATCCATTTTATGGGGGTTTTTATGAGTGGCAGCTTTCATTTTTCCAAAAATTGTTGATGGACAGACAAATGGATATAGAGATGGAATGTACAAGTGGGAACTTCCATGTGAGCTAAAATTTTTTGATGGATGGACAAACAAATTGGCAATTATTCCCAATAAAACAAAATCAGCCCCTACCTGCTTTCTCTCTCTCCTGGAGAGTGACTTTCCATTGAGGACGCCCCACAGCATTCTACATGCAATCTTGATATCCACAAACAGCAATCTGAAGCCATTGTAATAATGTTTCACCTCCGCAACAAAACGATGCCATAAAGTTGGTTTCACAATGGCAGCTTCTGGTGCAGGAGCTGGTGCAATGTCTTTCTCCTTTACGACATCCTTTTCCTCTTTTAAAGCCTTAACAGCTTGTTCCACTATTGATTCCTCCTTTTTAAGCCTGGTCCCTGTATGGAGTTCACGTTTATTAATTGATAATGTGGTCTCATTAAATGGATGACGTGTAACGATCACTGGTTTTTCTACTGCTTTTTGTGCTTCTTCTTTCAAAGCTTTGACACATTTCTCAACATTTGATTCCTCTTTACATAGCACCGTATATGTGTGCAACTTATGTACATTATTTACATTAGACGTGTTATATGCAGTTAGTAATTGATTCTCGAATAACCTATAACAACTTGTGTTGAAGATTGGCAAAGTGTTTGTATAAGTTATGAATGTGTCCCGAGGGCCCTGGTGGTTATGCGATGGGCTCCGACTGGTTGGTGTTATGTTGTGTCGCTGTTCCAAATTGGTGTCTACAGCTACTGCATGTTTTGGCTGGTTCACATTTAGCCATCTTTGGCCATAATGTGAAATATTTTTCCGCCTAAAACATAATAATAAAAAGCAAATACATGTAAGCACTTTTTATTAAATGAAAAACCTCTAAATGTGACCCACAAAATAACAGATAAACTTATAAATAAATCTGACTAATCATTATATTAGAATTTTCTTTTTACTCTTATTACCACTGAAACTATGATGTAGTGTCTAATTTTCTCATATTTGGATGTGTTATATAACACAAAGAGCAACATTTAGAAAACAGAACAAGAGAAGTAACCCACAGAAACCCCTATTTAGATAAATTAGGTAAACCCAATTGAATACATTGCAGCTAATTAAGCAATATAGAAGTGAATAAAACACCTGTTTACATCTAATCTATTGAACTGCACAAATTTCCACTTTATTTTTCAACAAATGTAAATTGCCATTAAGAGTTACTTATTTGGATTGAGCTCATATTTGGAATTTACCTGTGTCTGATAGACCAGCAACCATACCTAGCAATGTGACTTGAGCAGCTTCGTCCTAAAAATAGTTGAATTACATTTTATTATTATATCACTGTCATATTCCTCACTCTCTGATTGGTCTGTCCTACACTTGACTGAAAAATAAGAAGCGATATTCAATGGCTGTATATGTGACTGGTGAATATCAAAAGTCACAACTTAGTTCAGTGTATCTAATTTAATATATCCCAGAGAGAACATTGTTATTAATAATTACTTAGACATCAATAGTTTCTGGAGACTATCCCAAACCCTCTCTGAATGAATAAATAAAGAGATTTTATCTGGAACCTTAATATAGTAACACATGTGTAAATTGGTTCCCTAAAAATAGTGCTCCACTTGAGACTGTTACAGAAGTGTTCCGCTAGGCTATACAAGATTAACTGCAGTTTTTACTAGACATGAAGTTACAGTTCATGGAAATATGGAGTAAATAGGTAAGGCATGGAATAATAAAAGAAGCCCTCTCATTAGATTGGTCCTTTATACAATGTTTGATCTGGGACGAACATACTAAAGAGGCATGGACAGGCCCGTAGCCAGGATTTGCCAAGGGGGGGGGGGTTCAGTTTTCAAAAATTTCCAGGGGGGGTTCATATTTGACAATTTTGGCCCAAATATAGCTAAAATTACTTGAGAAGTGCTCAAAATGGTGAAAAACTGGCTACGGGCCTGATGGAGCAGCTCAACAAATCCCCAAACATATAAAGATAAAGACTCTCAATAGACCAATTCACAATAGTTCAGAATGACAACAATATTATTACCTCCCATATTGAAGTGCTCTCATTTCGAGTAGTTTTTTTTTACATCTGTGTTCTTTCCCATTGGAATATATATATTATTAAAAGAGCAAACTTTGTTTGATAATCATATGATATTATGATATAAGTTTTCGAATATATTGTACAATGTGTCCCATAAAGCCTAAGATAGGCTGGGTATATACTACAGTGGGGATCATAAAGAATTGCAAAAGCTATGAAATTTACATGCTGTCGTCGCACATGTAATAAATTCTTACCTCAGTGTATTCAGTGCTCTATTTTCTCTGTCTTAGTAAGTCCAAATATAGTGGAATTTGTGTCCCTAACTAAGAACTTCAAAAGTTGAATTGGATATTCACATGTTATGCCGACTCTTCAAATGTTGAGGTGATTTTGTCGCCCAATTGTGCCGGAACGGAGGATTGGCTCCCAGAATGCAACATGACACGTGCAAGCTTTCAAAATGCTGTTCCGCCATTTTGAAACCTGTCATGAGTAAATACGGTTAACTGATGTTGCATTCTGGGAGTCAACCGTCCTTGGATAACAAACATGGCGATTCATGAAAACATTCATTCGATTTGGTAGGGATTTATCCATTATTTGCAGGTATGAAGCTTTGGATTCATTTATTGTGCTACTTTAGTGAACGGGAATTATTTTTCTACCGCTTGGGAGAGTTTGAGACACGAAACTTGGAAATAAGCTCATTGTGACAACTTGTGAACGTTGAGTTTTATTTTTGTCCCCCACTGTACACAAGTCACTTTAGATGAATATCTTCCGGAAGTGACGAAAATCATGAAATGGATTACTGTGATGTCACTGACTTCATTCTCAGGACCTTAGACCTGGGCCATCGATAAGAAACAAGAAGCAAGTTCTTTGGTATATAACGTGAGTTAGATTTTATATATATAAATAGATGCGTGAAATGTCAAAATCCCACCTGATGGAACGATACTGCATGTCAAATTCTAAGCCCTCCCCCAATTAGGGGTCTCACACAAATCTCTAAATGGTGCATAAGTGGCAATTGTATTTGTTAATATTGGGCCATTCCATTTAAAAAATGTACGTGGGGTATGGATGCAAAATTCTGGGGGGGGGGGTGTTGACCGAAAAATTCTGGGGGGGGGGGTAGGAGACCAAAAAATTCTGGGGGGGGGGTGTTGACCGTTAAATTCTGGGGGGGGGGGGTAGGAGACCGAAAAAATTCTGGGGGGGGGGTATTGACCATGGAATATTCTGGGGGGGGGGTATTTGCAAAGGCATTATGAAGGGGGGGGGGTTAATAATAGGGGGGTGGTGGTGGTAGTCTGTGGGGAATATTCTATAGGGGTATAAGGGTGGAGTGTCTTTCAGTCTTTTAAAAGGCTGTAATAAGTCAGTTAATGTACATGTATTTCTTGAGTATTTTGTGTATGGACTTGTCTGACACCAAATCTCGGTCATGTTTATTATTTCGAAATTTAATCCCAGCCAACAGAACAAAGTATGCTACAGCTAGCTGTATACAGGTTTTTCTGACTTTCATATTTGCAATGTATTTGTGATCCTATATAATGCTTAATGCTAAGATAAGGAAAACTTTGGTATGCTCTTGTTAAGGGTATAACTTTCTCTACAGTGTCATGGCTTTCATAGAACTCCTCTTCATTTCTGGAACAGTAAAACATGATTTCCCCAAAAACATGAAGAATCATTAAAATTAACAAATATGACATTTTTCTCTGAAACAGTTACTGCATATTATTTAAACATTTTTAAATTCAGACAATGAGAATTAGAATTTCTTTATTCTCAAGTGAGACCAGTACATTTTCTAATTTATATCATACATCCTATATACTGGGGATCCACTTGATTACACTGGTTAGCGAAAAGGTTTGTCGGAACGTCGAAGGTACGATTTTTCTTTTTCCTTATTTCACGCGTTGTAGGCAGATTCCCCACAACATTCTTTCTACAAAAAATGTGTATCAGTATCATATGTTTTTGAAAATGTACATGTTTGCGAAAAAATAGCTCAGAGGACAACAGAATCGTTACCCTTTGCATTTGTTTGACTTCACTTCTTAAAAGAGAGCTTCGTCTTCACTCTTTCAAACTAAAATAAACCTGTGAACTCACCGCGCCAATCAGTGTTCGTTGGCCAAATTTGACCGACGTTCTATATATGGTCATTCCTTCTGACGTCATCGTTGAGCCCGGAATTGTGTAATTTATGTTGAAGAAATAATAAATAATGAAAAAATATTGTAGTTACCAATGGAAACATTACATTTTAATTTTGATTGTGTGAAGTGAACAATGGTAGCGAGTTCAACTAACTAATTATGAAATATTCAGTTTTTATTTTTGCTTTTCATAATCATTTAGTCTGTTGAGAAAGTACACAGGTCATCTGAATATATCAGGATAAAACTATTACAACCTCAATATAACAAATTAGTGAACTTGTCTAGAGATCAGGATACATTACACTAATAGGCATATGACCTTACTCTGAATTGAGAGCTACAAGCAGTATATAGTACACTAGATCCAAACAAAAAACAGTGTATGTGACAGTGACCTACATGTAAACTGCAATGTTGGAACCAATATATAGGTTCCAATCTGGCAATTACTTCCTTGTTCTCTACATTATTGAGGAAGGTTACTTCAAACTACCAGCAATATTTTCAGACTAATTCAATCAGATTGTATCTTTGATACTATATACATACACTTTTTGTGCGAACTAGTACGTGAAAATATACTGTTGAGACTAGATGTCATCAAAACCACCATAGCTAAGGCAAAAAAAGTTGACCTAGAAATATCCTGTTACAGTAATATAAGCAATAATTCATTCTGAGCGTATATGACTTACTGACATTCTGTTAAAGGCACGTGTATATGGAAATATTTTGAAAATTTCTGGTACAAAATATAGTATGAAGGCATGTGTTTTATTTCTTTGTTTTTTTCAGGAAATTATCTTTGCATTGCCTTCTTTAAGTAACTGAGTAAGCCTGGTAATTATCTTGTGCCAAAAAAATCTCAGGTTATGCAGACCAAATCCAAAGAACATTATGTTATTTATCATGTTTATCAAAAGACATAAAAGTCGGTGCTAGCTATGTACATATTTCTTCAATTTAATCTAAAGACCAGCCTAAGTGTTCTCTCAAAGCCCAAAAGTTGCGGCTGTCTCAAATCGCAGACTTTTTAAATCGACCAGTATTTCAAAAGACAGCTGTAGCTTTGAGAGAATATTCAAGCTAGTGTATAGAATCAATTGAGTAGACTACATCCTCTAGACGGTATTTTTTGAAATTTAGTTGGAAATACTCAGACTGTAAACGGCCTATGTTAAATGTTGTTGTTCAAACATATCTTTTTAATGTAAATTATAATTCAAATTTACTGATGTAGTAAATTAATTTGCATATTTAAATTATTTTTAAGTTCCACTACATGTAGCTTTATCTCTAGACAATATGCTGTGTTACTTTTTATGTCATTTAATTGTACCTTACTACCTAATTGAATTTTCATAATGTTTATTTTATTGAAGTAATGCTTCCTCTAATGAATTGATAATTTTGTGCTATACAATTCACCGCAATAACCACACGACAGAAAATAAGGATAACAAACTGAGTTCACACTCAGTCTGTTGGATACTAATCAATAATGAGGAAAGAAATATGTGCATAGCTGGTGCAGATATTTTTGGACTTGTGATGTGTGTATTTCCATGAACATGTGCCTTTAACACTAATTTGTAAATTCTGCAAACTGATTGCCTATTTCAATGGTAGGAGCAACTTATAACCTTTATATTGTTTCTCAAGGGGGGATTTTGCGTGTTTCGGGGGGTATGGATGCAATTTTCTAGGGGAGAGGGGTATGGATGCAAATTTCTGGGGGGGGGGGGGGTATGGATGCAAATTTCCGGGGGGGGGGGGGTGGTATGGATGCAATTTTCTGGGGGGGGGGTAGCAAGAAAAAAAATTCTGGGGGGGGGTGTCTCAGCCTGTGCATCCATACCCCCCCGTACATTTTTTAAATGGAATGGCCCATTGTCAAATATTATTTTTTAGGTTGATTGACAGACCGCTGACCCCCAACCTCTGACTCACACTCCATGACTTGTGATCTACTACGATTTATACATTTACTAACACTAAGACTAACATGTGTACAAAATATTCAAAACAAAGATGATAAACAACGAAATAACGATGCCCCCTCATCAGGACAAATGTCGAGTGAGGTCAAGAGTGGAGAAGTTTCAAGTTGAAGCCGAAATTAGGAATCATTTTTACATGGAGATAGTTCACGAAGTTGACTTAAAATGACCAATTTTTCATGCAATAATGGTATTTAAGCAACTCATACATTACCTGGAATAAGTAATCTCGCGTTTTGTTGACAAATTCTGCAGCAAATCTGAGAAATGTACGACATATCAATATTTGGAAAAGCTTTTACACGACGGATGTACAATTGCATCTTGGGACTGTTTGCACTAGGTCTGAGATCTCGCGAGGCAAGTGACGTTTGCAAAGTTCAGCGCGGGTTTTATGAAATTTTACGTGCGATTGCAAGTTGCAACCACCTAACATGAAAATCCATGCTTGCCCAATCATTGAGACTGACGTGAAAATGAATTTCGTATGTATGGTAAGTTGAGGTTAACATATATCGTGGAAATTCGATGTTGAGATCTGGTCCAATGCCCACAGTATTTTTCTTATTGGTAGTCTAAGCTTAGGCTACAAGGCGGTCAAAATGGAAATCAAGATAGTAGGCTAAGAGACCGACTTGGCAAGGCTAGTTACTAGGCTCTATTAGACTATCGTTTTTCTTATTGGGCCTGGTCTACTACTACAGGCCTGTACCCAGGATTTGCCAAGGGGGGGGTTTGAAAAATTCCAGGGGGTTCACTTAGTGACAATATTGGTCCAAATTGGCCAAAAGTGCTCAGAATGATGAAAAACTGCATGATTTTGAAAGATCTACATACGATCTGGCTGGCATCGGTGTCTTTATGGCTACTGCCACAGGGCTACTACGCATGCGTCTCATATCGTTGCACGATCTGATTAATCCAATCGCGAAATAAGGCTAAAAACTAATTTTATGATGTTCTAACTTTACATGTACGGTATCTGGCCGGAATAGAAAGGTTCAGGTATGAATTATTTTTTCTATATCATTTAGGGTGTTAAACAGTTAACTTATGACCGCCAAAACTGGATAATCATCAGGGGCGTAGCCCGCTTTCAGTCAGGGGGGGTGCGATTGCCGAAAATGTTTCAGTTTTCGGTCAGGGGGGGGTGCGATTTTGCCATAAGCAACACAAAAATTAAGATTTCTTTTGAATTTTACAAAAATTGATGCAACTTCCTTCAAAATTGAGCTAGAAGCTTCAAATAAAAAGCATTTTAAAGCTCTTTTCTACCTCTATCCAATGGTCATATTTTCAAAGGTTATGGGGGGGGGGGGTGCGATCGCACCCCCCCCCCCCCTGGCTACGCCCATGATCATGATGAAGATGACTATTATTTTTTGAAAATATCAAGATTTTTTCTGAAATTAGCTTCATGACCTCTTGATCCTTGTACGAATCCCACTGGTCTAAATTCCAACTGTTTGTTTGTTTCTCAATACATGTAGAGTTATTGTGCTGCTTTATAGGTCACATGATGGTGGTAATCACAATCGTCTGAATCCCAATTGTCCCATTTGGAATTGTCCAAATTCCAATGGATCAAATCTCCAGATGGAAATGCGAAAACGAGGACACACCATTGGTCCAAATCCCAGTGGTACGAATCCCACTGGTCTAAATTCCAATTGTCTTTTGTTTTATTCTTATTGTGATTATGGTAAACCCAATGGTCCCAATCCCAACCATCCGATTCTCAATTATCTGAATTCTAATGGTCCGCTGCCAATTTAATCAAGGGTAGAGCAGATGGTAAATATTATGAATTGTGGTATATACAGATTCATGCGTTTGTTGGGATTTGCTACTCCGTGGAGTTGCCGAATTCTAATTCTGTATATATTAAGTCTGAGAAAGGGAATAATTCATTGATCTTTGAGACTCCCCAATCAGCCCAATTAGACTATTTATTCAATTTTTAGAGAGGAATAACACATTCTGATACACATCGCATCTAAAAACCTGTCTGTGTTTAGTTGCTCTGATTTTTCATGCCAATCCCGTTGATCGAGTAGTTGGGACTTCCCATACAATCTCAAAATTCCTGGGAAGTTTATTCTTGTAAAAAAGTTGACGTACGTATGTACTTTCAAAAAAACTAATTTCTTTGTGTTTCCTACCGATCAGATTTACCATATTTTATAATAAGGTACAAGGTGTTTATTTCTAATGTTTTAAGAATCAAAAATTTAAAATAATTCGTAGGAACTGTAAGAAATAAGTGAAAACTTAGAACTTTGCAAGGAATTGACCTTTTGCGATCAGAAATTGTTTATTATACCGTTGCTATGCAGTTCGTTGAAAATTCCTTTAGAGAATTAAATCCCGTGTTTACAAATTTGATTCGTCCATCGATTTCACCTATTCTAAATCGAAAGTGCCCTATACCAAATTCCATGGCGATCTATGATGCAAGAGAGGGCCATGGTTATATGTGATGGGAATAACATAGAATTATTCAAATATTGAGAGAAATAATTAGAAAAGGTTAGTGGCCTTTGAGACATGCTGGAGTTGGTGATCATTAATTTTTCATTGACCAGCTAAGCCAGATACAGGCCTGCTAAAAGAAAATTTATAATTATTGTGTGGAATACAGAAAGGTGTGTGCCAGGGGATTTGTTTGAACTTCTGACACAGCAAATCAAATAGACTAGATGCGAGTAGAAATAATCTTAATTTTTATCAAAATTTCAGTCAAAGTGATATCACATTTGAAATGTACATGAAAATTATACTCTTAAGTTACTCATAAGTTCGCAATGGGTGGAGATATTTGTTGATTTGTATTTTATTTTATATATTTTAATTGTATAATATGTGTGTGACTTTACAAACTGTTTTAACTAACTGACTGTAAAATTATATCTTGAAATTGAAATATCACTTGTACAGTATAAATCCTAGGTTAATTGGCCAAGGATCTCTTTTAGATGGACTTGAAGTATTAATCTTAAATTCATATTTTTTCTCATACCATATAATATAAATCATTTATATTTATATATCATAACTAAATTAAAGATTTTACTATCGATTCAGATTAGCCTCTCTTCAAGAAAAATACCCCGGGAAAAATGCCTGATTTATTAATTAGGCCATAAGAAGTAGATTCTTTGTTTTGCGTCCCCTTGCTTGCATGATTTTGAGTAAATCAGAAAAAACAAACACATCCAAATAGCAATCAAAAGGGTCTGAAAGTACCATCGCATTTCGTTCAATCAGAATTAGACGAAATGGCAGATAATTTGATGTGCATCAAAATTGACAGTGTTATAATTACTTTGGCATACATTGTGTATTTCTTATTTTTTACCCAAAAATAATAGCTATGTTTAAATATATTGTATAAAATGTATAGATATGTGTTTGTAATCACTACAAATTGGTATGTCATCCTTTTTTATGCCCATAAAATGTATACATTTCCCAGCAAACAAGTTTGTGTTTTTCTTGAGTTTGTGTTTGTTTTTCTTGTACCCTTGCATGATTTGGATTTTACCAGGACGCAAAACAAAGAATCTACTTCTTATGGCCTTACTTAAATATTTGTGATTTGATGCATTGTTTAGTCTTTTCACACAGTCTGTGATTTTGTGAAACATCTTAATGTCTTATCAACTTATACATTGTATATTACAGATGAAGTCAGGAAAGCATCCCAGCAGAAGTTTTTTCTCTCAGCAATGGTTTGGTCCATATAAAAATGGGAGTAGCTGGCAGCAAGCAATCCAGTTCCAAGAACTCCAATAGTAAGTACACCTGAGTAGTGAGTATGAGCCTCAGGGAGAAATGCTATCAGCCCCATTGTCAGGCTTTCCCCTGGGCAAATAATGTTTTCAAAATAATTCACCATTTTGAGCAATTTAAAGCAATTTTGTGCCAAAATTCTCAAATGAACCCCTGGAATTTAGAAAACTGAATCCCTTGGAAAAAGCTGTCTATGAGCCTGCTACAAAAATTAAAGATATATCCCCAGAGCATTTTATTCTTGGGCTATTTTCTTTTATTTCTTTAGGCTCATCACAGGGCTTGCATATAGTTGTATAGTCTCATAAATAATTGATTTCCAATTTCTTGATTACACAACTTTTCTTTCATAACTTGTGTTCTATTGATTATGATTTTTGTGAAACTGACTGCTGATTTACCATACTTAGCCTTAACATGACTGCTAGTACTATACTTTACTCTCATTTAAACATTGAAATTTGTCCCATTGAAATCATACCATTGGAAAGGTAGACTGAACCTGCAGTAATAAAATGGGTCACCATTTTTGGACTACAACTGAAGATGCTTCAAGAAAGGACAGTTATCAGTTTGGAGAACAGTTTCCTGTGTTAATAATTTTTTAATGAAAAATGTAGAAATATCAATCAAATTAAATTATGGAAATTCAAAAGAGGACATTTTAATCTACAATATGTAAAAATATCAAAATTGTCCCAAACAGGCGTAACGTGTAGTAGACTGATGAACTTTGTTCTCCAAACTAAGAATGGTCCTTCGATTGGTTCAAAGTACAACCCATAAACATCTTCAGTTATGGTGCATCGGTGCTCTCTCGTATTAAGATAATGTTCCTTGTGGTGTGTCCATCATTCATCAATTTTTCATCCTTATTCATGAGTATGAAGAACCCAGTGCACTGGGGCACTTTTTATAGAACATTTCATAACAAATTCTCAAGTGCTGGAACTCATAACTCTAAAAATTGACCAGATGAAACTGCATTGCTATTGATGATGGCCTATAATGCATTCTATAAAAGCTTAACTGCACCCAGATAGCCACTAAGTTAATGAATCGTTCAATCTTAATACACCACTCCTACTATTCAAATGCATTGGATGGGAGCCTGTCACATCTTCTTATGATGCATGATCCCATAAGGAAATGGAATAAAGGGAGGAATATTTTTAACTGTGTACCTTTAATATTTTATGAGATTGAAGACTTATTGTGATTGAAGACTTGTTGTATATGCAATTTCTTTATAGGTTATGGGCGAGAACTGTGGTGTTCAAGTGGAATTTCAAGAACAATGTATTCCTTATCCCATTGGTGTCATTAAGTAAAATGTTCCATTGGGGAAAAAATAATATTTGAATCCTCAGTGAGGCAGAATTAAGGGGTGCTTGAAAACAGTTAATATCTTTATATAAGTACACATAACATACAATCCCAATTATTTGGAGATGTGTCGACATTTATGGAATTTTTTCTGCATCTTTATTCGATTTTCACACTTTTGTATTTGATTACAACCATTCGATATTCCACTCTATTAAAATGATTCGAAACACGTAATAAATTTGTTTATTTTTACACATTTATATTTGATTTATGTACCTATATATGCGGTAAATGCACTTGTATATGCGGTTTATGTTATTCAGTGTTTGGTAAAATATCACATATTTAAGTCCATGTACACACACGAACAAAGACAGTTGACACATATATTTAGAACACGCATCAAATACAAATACACTTTAGAACCAAACAATGTTCATTTACCGAACAATCATAGAGTACAAAATAGCACGGACATATAGTGACTTACCCCACATAATTAATGACATGTTTCGCATAAAATTATGTGGGGTAAGTCACGTGACTTACCCCACATAAATGACACATGCATGTAGCATAAAACCATTCGGTAAATCACGTGACCAGTGACGTATAAATTTCAAAATGGATGAAACAAGCGAGGAAAAAGAATTTGAATACGATTCATATTCACAATTTAGAGAGGAAATTGAGAAGTTGTTAGATCATTACAACAGACATGAGGCTACATAAGCGATCCTTTGTTAATAGAAGATAGGTTTTCGCGATTGGAGAATCACACCAGAGCTCTTTGAATATATAGATGGCGTAAGTCACATGGTCGAAGTCACGTGACTTACCCCACATCAAAACAGTGAACAATGGTTTATATAAAATCATTCGGTAAGTCACGTGACTTACCCCACAAATGAATATGTTTAGCACAAATGAATATGTTTACCCAATACGAATGGTACTTGGCATCGCACATATTTAAAATACTTATCAAATTTATATTTGATCGGGTCGAATACACTTTTGAAGCATCTTACATATTTGTTGTGTAAGACAGTCAATTATATGTGGGATAGTAGCTACCATTTGTTGTAACTGGGTTTGTTTATGTTCGGTTTAACTTACTCCGTGGGGTAAAAACCGAAGATATTAATGTTACGAATATTGATGCAATAAATACACTATAGACATTGTCCATTTTACTTTACACAGACTTTGTATTAGAATTTTCTATGGAAACCCTGTATATATAATATCACTTGTTTCTGGTAATAATTTGGAAAATTGTATATGTACAAGTGAATCTATAACCAGATGGATGCTTAATTAAATTATGCCAATATAGGTAGAGTTAAGAGTGTCCCTCTTAATCAATGTTGGTCAATATACAGGGTGGTCCAAAAAAAATTGGAACATTTGTTAATTGAATGCAAAATCTTTATTTTTCCTCTAAAATGCACCAAAACTTTACTGAGTATAGTTCAGTCACTTATTTATCTGATGTAAAGTCTATAGGTGCAAACAACAAAATTAATGCATTGAACTAGACAATGTTTTATATGACCCCTCTAATCCTGAATTACAAGTTCCAGCCCAGGACACAGTTTTGAAATTATTCATTCAGTTTGCTGTTTGTTTGTTTTTGTCAAATTCATCTTGATAAAAAATTTCAGCTTGACCAAACCCCCTATATCTTTGCTTTGGAAGATCACGTCTAGTAACATATTCAACATTTTTTATCTAAATTGTTTGGCATCAAGCATATTTTGATGGCTATTGTTGGGTGAATTCGTGTATTACTGATGGAATATTCTTCTCCAGAAAGGGCAGTTTTGACTGGTTAATGAAGCCTCCTCCCCTTTATTGTTTTAATATGAATAATATTCCTCGAATATATCAATATATATGAATATCAATATCATAAAGGAGTCTCCCAGAACACAAATGATATATTATATGTGCTTAGAGTTGGTCTTTAATAAAGCCTTGTAAATAACTGGTCAGTTTTGCCTTAACTGAAAAGTGGAAACAATGATTTTGTCACTTTAGCAGCTGTGTGGGTTATGCAATCACTCACATCTGACATGTTCCCTTTTCCCTCTTAAATAAAAAAATAATTAGTTTGGGCATTCTTTAAGTTGGCATTAACACAATAGTTTTCTAGTAAACCATAGATGTTAAGACCTCTTAACAACTGAATATGATTTTATAAAACAAGTATAGCAAGCATCATGTTCATTAAAGCTTTGACATAAAGATTACTTGAAAAGGTAGCAGCAAAATTGACAAGTGTATATTTGAGAAAAGGGGGTCCTATGAAACATTGACTAGTTTAAGGTGTTAACTTTGTGGTTTGCACCTATAAACTTTACATCAGATAAATACGTGACTGACCTATGCTCAGTAAAATTTTGGTGCATTTTAGAGGAAAAATAAATGTTTTGCGTTCAATTAACAAATGTTCCAATTTTTTTTGGACCACCCTGTACATTAACCTTACACTAATATTTGATATCAATAATATAGTTAAATAGTGTACAGTACATACACTCCCCTCAATAAGTTTGGTAACTGAAAATCTTCATTGGAAAGCATAAGAAAGGCTGTTGATGTTTCAATCTTAATTTTGTTCCTTGAAGGTGGTATCAGATCTAGCAAAGAATAGTAGTAGTGACAATGATTGTTTTTCAATTTTAGAGTATTTTGGGCTCATATATCATTCCTTATCATATCTGTTTTCTTAATATCTCCAAAATTTAAATTGTCTATAAATATGGTGACATTGTTATAGTCTCCAACTTTTTTGTGTATGGTGTTCGGCGGTTGTAGTCTGTAACAAATGGTAGGTGATGAGATTTTTTTAAAATCACCAAATATGAATAGGCTTTGATAAATGACCCAAAAGGGAACTTCTAGTTGCTAAACTTATGGAGGGGAGTGTACATTTGAATTTTGATAGCCATGGCTATAACTCAGATCATTTGTACTTGTATTATTAGTGATTATAATCTTAATTATTTTCATTCTCATTATTATTACAGGTGTGGCGAGGTTTAAGATGTAACCAAATATGCTTTTAAAGAGCTGACTGACGACTGTACCTTATTTTGTTCTCTTACCTTGCCTTCTATGCTGATTGGGACCTATTTACATCCAAAGGTCCAAGCTGACTCTTTTGCTGTATGTCACCGTGAATTAAGGTAATACATTAGGCTATGAATACACTGCACTTTTAGATCTAAACGAGTATATAAAAGAATTATGACTTTTTTTATTTAAAACTAAAATGAAGAAATACCAAGATTGCATACAATTTACAATGCTTTTTTATGTCATCAGCAGTGTGACACTTCAGCGTCAACAAATGGCAGGTAGTGTCATTTTGCATTTTAATGCCTTTTATAACATCCCAGTCCCATCTTGCTTCATCAAGCTTCAGACCCGTCCTTATAGAACATAGTGATTGAGTGAGCATGGGAACATATGATGGTCTTTCCAGATAATTGTTATATTCTGGTTTAAATATAAGCTGATATGACATTGTTCATATTTTTTTGAAATTATTTTACCAATGTAAAAAACTACTTTAATCTTGCTTTGTCAGTGGCATAGGTATGTGTTTAACCCATTGCTTAGATTGGTATAAAAATGCTAAAATGAGCCATTGTTAAATTGTTAATATCTGGAAGTTTCATAAAATACACAATTGAAGGATGAGGCTACAATATTTCCTTTCCTATAGTATGATTTTCATAAAAATTATGATAACATATATTATAATCATAAAGATATCAAAGAAACATCCTGAGTAATCATGTCTTTCTTAATTATAATAGTTCCCTTTTTAAAAAAGATCTATTAAGAATTACATGTACCCCTCAGAACACAGATATCAGAACACAAAGTGTAACCAACTAAATCAGAGCATACTGCTCGTTAAAAAATAAATATGTGGTGAGTTTGAGAATATTCTCTATGTGAGTTGAGCTAAATGTATTGATTACAGTTTTTATTGATTAGCACTATTTCCCATTTCATATAGCTATTGTTGTGTCCTTGAGTCATTAGAGTGTTACTGGATCCATCCATGCTACTGCTAAGACAATGTTTTCATTCGTTATATTAATTATTCACACGTTCCTTCAGTCATATAGACTACATGCTATTTGTTGCCTATACAATTGATTTTAAGGCCATGGGAATCAATACATTCATGGTAGAATGTTCCTAATGGTGATGTATCTGTTTACTGAGCATCAATACTTGAGCATCCTCCCTTGATATCATAATCAATATTACCTATAGTTAAATGGTAATGGTATAAGATATATAAGCATTTCATGATTGTGGTGTTCTTAGTTAAGCAAAATCGGATATAGTCGAACGAAGCCATTGTTAGAGGCATTTGTCGTGATTTAACGCAAACCTTATTGGTTGAGTCTGCTTGTAGAGTGGAACGTTCAATTGCTCTAAACCATGGCTTGATTTTAGAGTAGTGGAACAAAACACGATACTAGGATATTATAACAGGAGCAGAAATGAAGAATGATAGCTAAACCTTACGTCAATATCAAGAAAATAAACTGCGAGTTTTTAATATCATCACATCATAGCAGTTGTAGCCAAGAGAACAGATATGACGCTGAATAGCATATTTTCAATAAATATGGAATACATTCGCTCCGTCATGTCCAATATTAATTAATCTGATTCTTGAAGTGGTTTAATAGTATGAGCCATTGGATTATCTTACCCAGCAATGTTAAATTGTCAAGCACATAGATGTAAATGACCAGCGGATTTTGGATAACATATAGAATAGAAATAGAATAAGGTACAGTAGATTATATTTCTATCCATAAATATTTTTTATGAATCAAGTGTGTGTGTTTAGCTGTATCATGAAATTGCATCTATAATAAAAACTAAATAATGAGCGTATTAAATCATATTAAATCTTATCATTTTTGCGATTTGATTTTTGAGCATGTGATTTACCCTGTGAACCTAACCTCTGGGCTAATCGTATGTTTGATCATAAATTCTGATATCAAAAAAATATTTCCTCCCAAAGAGAATTAAATTGTGTGATCGTCATCAATTCCATACCCGACTTGGTTTAATGCTTATAAGGCTATATATTAAAACCTGTATATTACAACTTGGTGTACAATTTATTTAGCCTGGTCAATGATATGTTTATCCTGGCCAATGATATGTATATTATAGTGCATGATATGTTCATCATGGTGTATGATATGTTCATCATGTTGAATGATATGTTTATCATGGTCAATGATATGTTCATCATGGTGAATGATATGTTTATCATGGTCAATGATATGTTCATCATGGTGAATGATATGTTTATCATGGTCAATGATATGTTCATCATGGTGAATGATATGTTTATCATGGTCAATGATATGTTCATCATGGTGAATGATATGTTTATCATATGGTCAATGATATGTTTATCATGGTCAGTGATATGTTTATCATGGTCAATGATATGTTCATCATGGTGAATGATATGTTTATCATATGGTCAATGATATGTTTATCATGGTCAGTGATATGTTTGTCATGGTCAATGATATGTTCATCATGGTGAATGATATGTTTATCATATGGTCAATGATATGTTTATCATGGTCAGTGATATGTTTATCATGGTCAATGATATGTTCATCATGGTGAATGATATGTTTATCATATGGTCAATGATATGTTTATCATGGTCAGTGATATGTTTGTCATGGCGTATGATGGTGTATGTATGATATGGCCATCTTGTTAAATTGTTTCATCGCCAGGAATAAATCAGAGGGAACAATGGTAGCTTAATATTTTGCCAACACATATATGTCACCTAGCTAAACCTGTATAAAGTATGTCTAAACATTTTATGTCAGGTAATAGCCAGTTATGAGTCATACAATTTACAGGTATTGTCAATAAAGCGTCAGAAGCTATAGATATATGTCTTAGACAATCTTATAGCATGTACAATAGCAAAATGTCAGTTATCATCATTTGTTAATAAATAAACAAACTGGGTTCGGAAAATTGTAATAGCAATGACACTGTAGAGGATCTCTTCAAAATGTCACAGCTACAATGGTGCGATTTTACTTTTTCCATGATTACTCGAAAAGTAGGTAGAATGTCCACGACATTTTGGGCAAAAATATGTGGCAGCAAAATATGTTTCATCTAAATCTAAACGTTTTTGATCTAATAATTCACGAGACGACACAATCATCGATATACTTCTTCACTTAAGTTACGAAAACGGAACGTTGAAAACGGCTAAACATCTGCACTTTTAACTGTTCCATTTTCGTAATAATAGAGAGGAATAATTATGATCATTCTTGCGCCTCGTGGACTATTCATTCACAAATTATTAGATTTTCATAAACATATGATGCTTACGCATGTTTGTACCAAAAAGGTCGTGAAGATTTTGCCTACAACTTGTGAAATCTTGAAAAAAGAAAATTCGTACCTTCGAGACTGTGACATATTGTTATGTAAACGAATCCGTTTCTGTAACTAGTTTGAAGAGTTCCTACACAGTGAATGAGGTTAATGAGCAATAGAAAAGATGATTTTTGATAAATTGGGAGAAAGGCTTCATTTAAGTTCAAAAAGTTAAACACAGTCATTGAGTTTTGCATAAGGTCTATTTTCAGATTGTTGCCATACCTTGTCAGCACAAATTTATTTATGGGCATTTTTACTAAGAACTCAAGTTGGTGCATGTACATATATGAGCATTTTTGATGAAGAACAGAACAAAAGGAAATGGTATTTGGTACAATACATCTTTAGCCTTGTATGAGAACAAGTTGTTTGAATGTCTGCAATAATGTCACACCCACTTTGTTATTCAATGATAACATCCGTGTTATTACAGCTATTGACGTAACCCTTTGATAAAGAAATGTCAAATTGTCATGTCATCTTATTTCTCTTCATGCTACCTATTACGAGAAAATTCTCATTTATATATAAAAAATGTCTAATTGTTCAAGAAAATTTCATTGTATTTCTCAAACTTTGACTGAAGTCACTGATCTTCTGGCATTTCCATACAATTTGGAATGTTATGGACATGACTGGTTACTTGCTAATTCCACTCTTTGTCACTCTGTTTTGCATTATAAAATAGAATATACAATTTAGAGTGTTAGGTTTATTCCTGTTTACTTCAGTTCTTATGAGGAATGGTGTCCAGTTATCAACAGTTGTGGAGCTAAGTTAGTTTCATAAGGGTGAGGGGGTAAATGATGGTTTCATCAGCAAATAGTGTTGACGTTTTTAATATTCAAGGGAAAGATCAATCAGCATTTTAAGATTTCATTAGATGAAGGGGGTCAAACCATTAAGAACATCGTCATCCCTTAAGAACACTCCTTTTCCAAGATATGAAATTATGGATTTAAAAGAATTAATAGATTTAGGATGGTTCGTGATGAAACATGAGCAGAATGAATATATTCCAATTAATAAAGTGAACAGATGCAAATATTACAAAGATGCTTTTATTAAATTTAAGTTTTCCTTCTGTAAATTTATGATTTTGTTCTTCTGTTGTTTATTTGCGAGATGACAATACGACTGATGGGATGACTTTCACAATGTTTTCGTAAAATTGCTCATTTATCTTAAACTGTAGAGGAGGCCTGCGGATTTCATGCAGAATTAGCCTTTTCCTATTTAGAATTCACTAAATTCATCCGTAAAATTCATCATTTCAACTTACAGAAAACTAGAATGAATGGTACAAATAATGTAATCAATACTAGTACTACTCGCAATAAGCATATGGCATCAGAACACTAATAATCAGTATAACGACAACAATCAATAATGGACTTCAATTTTACATTATAGATAATATGATTGCTTCATTCAACTACAGTAATTTTCTACATATACCAATTTCTCCAATTTAGTCTTCACCAATTTCTCCAATTAATCGGACAATTGCATCAATGCACTCATAAACCATATGTTCGTGAATGTATTTGACAGTTTGATTAGTTTGACTTCTCCTGAGGCATTGACCCAGCTAAAATGTCTATATTGTTATTATTTCCTGTTTTTGTATTTTTACATATTCATTGTGTCCATTTACTTTTTTCTAATCACAATATTTTATAATCATAATTTTAACAAAATATTTCGATCTTGAAATATGCATTCTGCTAAACGTATGCTTTGTAAATATCCACATAAAATTTTCATCATGGAGATCACCCTTAATTATTTTGCAATGTATAACAATAAAGCGGAACCCCCTCAGACTGATATCCCGCAAAATAAAAACATAAAAGAAAAAATGATCTTGGCCAAAACAAATAGAAAAAAAAAGGCTGGCTACAATGCGCAACAAATTCTCTACATCCTCATCCTAGCCGTGGCCTTTTAAAGTCCCCGTCTAAAGTTTGAAAATCTTTTTTTATCATTCATTTACTATTTGTCAGGACTTAAAAAGTAATTTTAGAGATTTTTGAACAAAAAAAAATTTTGATAAAAAAGTTGTGAGCATTTCATTTTTCAAATATTCAAATTTCCCGCCATTTTTCAAAAAAAGTTGAAATTTCTAAATCATCAAATATTTCTTAATGCATTTCAAAAAAGATTATCTTTTTAACACCAATGCAAAGATTGAACAAAGGACACACTATTTCAATAATAAAATGCCATATTTAATGGGCCACTTCAATGTTTTAGCATATCAAAAATATTTTGAAACATTAGTGATGTCACTAAGGTACCCAAAACATTTTGAAAAAAATTGAAATTTTTTTTTCGATGTCAATCTTTTCTAAATATGTTAGACTTTCATAAAAAACCAATGTTGATTGTCTAACCAGGTTAAAAGGAAGAATAAATTATGTTTTAGATATCATTGTACCATTGGTTTCTATGAGAACTAAAATTTTGAAATGCATTTTTCTCAGAACCATTTTTATGCACTGATAAGTTCATTTCTCGCTTATTTATGAACCGATTTTCTTAATTTTTTCGGCAAAAAACACTGGAGGATGAATGCTATGCATTGGTATGAATTGTGGCTAATTAGAAGATATGAGTGACCTCTAAAAGTTGGTTTTAAATATATTCACAAATTTTGGAACAAAAAGTTTATCAAAAACCACATTTTGAAATTAAAAAAAAAGTTTCACATATCACACTTTGATCATATTGGGTAAGACTACAATATAAGCCAAAGTGGTTTAAACTTTAGATGGGGCCTTTAAAAATAATTCTGTATTTATGGATGCTTTTGTTTGAATCTTTTGATTTCTATTCTATAGGCAAAGTCTCATAAAGAAAACCGTCTAGCAGGTCAGTCTGTAATATTTAATATCCGGGAACAGGGATCAAAAGATTATCATATGATTTAGTTCGGGATAGGGGATATGGCTTTCCCAATTTAATTTATTTTTCTTAGAATAATATTCCCAGGATATAGCTTTTTTAGTTGAAGATGATATGTTAGCGACATGTTTTTAATAGAATGGGAAGAAATTTATAAATAAGAAGGAATAAACTAGTAAACAGACATAAAGTTAATACCCATGGGTTATGTACTGGGAGGTTTTGGATACAGAGTTTATCCTGGATAAAGCTATGTCCCAGACCTCAGAGATATAGCGTAATAGACATAGGGATATCCATTCCACGACCTAGATACACTATATATTCCTGCACATTTTGTTAGGAAATCGGATTTGCTCGGATTTAAAGATAAGTTCTGAAGAATTTATAAAGCATGACTAGATGAACATTTTAATCCATGGGGATTAATCCTATTGC